CCTGCTTAGTGGTTAAGTAAAGGACAAACAAAATCTATTCGTAGCACTATTCTATCTCATCTTGTAAATACAGAACACAAGATTGGTGTCAACAAGGCGATTTTCTGAGTTATTTACTGCATACCAACAAATCACAACTTCACCTTAAGAGTTCGACTACTAAATATTGCTGAGGCTGTTGGGATCCACATTAACAAGCCTAATTTATGCATCCAAAAGTCGTTAGTTCAGACGTTATTCTTACCTTGGCCATCTAGGTTTGAATGATCCTCAATTGTTGTAGAATTTCCCTGATTTTAATTGATATTCTATTTGTTACTATGTCTTCCCTGGAACTATTTAGTGTTTTCTCGCCTCTTTACTTAATCATTTTGTCATTCCTGTTATTTACTGAAATAGAGTGAGATGTACTGAAATTGAAATATCGGTTTGAATGTGTGGGTTTTCTGCCCAGACTAGTGAATAACTTCCAATCATCTTTCCTTTTTATGATATAATCAAACATTAGAAGCTCCCTTTGTATTATTGATATAAGTATAAAACTTGGGTACTGTGGTAGATAAGATTTTATTTTGATAAATCACACAGTGGTGTTATACAGTAATATTAACTGATGACCACTTTTTGACCACAACTTATTACTGCTCATGATCATATCAAGTCACTCACATAACTTTTACTTCACTTATGCACATAAGTGAAATTAACGATTAGACATTTGAATAAAAGTCAATATAGGATAATGTACATTCAGAAATAATAATATGAGTGTTATCAATCAAATACAATCAGATGGGAAATAAGACGAGTGTTTTGTAGTCAAAATGAGTAACTTGTTAGAATGTTATGATGTATGTGAATTGAAATAGAACTTTAAGATTATTTGTTATCCTTCTCTGATTTGACTGGTGCCACTCAATAACTCTGTACTCTGATGGCGGTTGATGACAGCATCTACCTATCACGTAGTATGCTTTCACATGGACAGCAAACACTACTTGTCATTTGATGTCTGTGGAAACGGTTCGATTTTGTTCAAGGACTACAGACCAGAAGCTAAAGATCAAGGGGCAAAGTATACTGGCAAAAAACTTTCATTATTTACGAAGACAATACATTGCTCTAAATCTGCGTAATGAAATCAAATAATTATTAATAAGAATAATAGCTTTATTCGAAAACAGTACTTTTAGTAAAAATATGGGATTTTCAGCACGTAATACAATATTGCACCTAATTTTATCATTAAAGGGGCAATAATTAAAATAGGGCATTTACATTAATAATATTGTTCAATAAGAAATGAATATAAAATTAAATCAAGCGAAGATATTAAGGATAATGTAACAATGAGAACAAAAAACGGTGTTGTTTTCTTGGAGTTCCCCAGGAAATCAGTAGTGTCTCCTGTCTTACACTTTTCTCATCACATAAAATGTATGCCTGCCAAATACAAGGAATTGTAGAGTTTTTATACTTAGTTGTCCTAGCTTAGTGTCTTCTATAGTTGCTTCTTGCTCTACCCAGTTGATGACGTGAAAGGAGAGAGATGTGTATGATCAGAATGTTCAGAATGTGACAAGATAATATTTGCTAATTCCTTGCAGGAATCCAATTGTCCATCTACTGTAGTATTAACGAGTTGGTTTAACAACAGCCCACTCGCTCTACGGACGGCTTTAGCGCCCCACGCAGTATAGCAAAGTCTTTCTTGAGTAGCTCTAGAAGGCTTGAGCTGCGGAACAGTTTTATGAAATACAGACAGAATACAAGAATTAATAAACGGTAACAGTAGAGATGGAATAATAGCAGATAGTCCTAACTTCTTTACATAGAGAGTCCAACGAAATTTCTTTTTGGAAACTAAAATGATATGAGAAGACCAGGAAAGATCAGGGGAAATAGTCAGTTCTAGGTATTTAACATTCGATTCGGTTTCAACTGAAGTGCCATCTATTATTGTGGAACAGTGAGAACTAACCAGTTCATGTTAGTCGCACCAGCGTCTGAAAGACTCCAGGAGTTTAATCATTCTATATCATGTTTTGGCAATCCTTCTTTTGGCTTCTAAGTGGAAGAGGGCTCCAAGCCTGTACTGTGAAGTTTCAATAGCAGTGTTTGCTAGTCTCACAACCAGCTAAGAGAGATTAAGGAATACGTCAGCCAGAAAACGGAATCAGACCTTTGAGCTTAGCATTCTCATCCCGGTAAACTTAATGTTTTACCTCCACTTTTTGGTTAAAATGTGTTAAACTCAAACGACTAGATGGTTATCTAATACACTTACTTAAAACTAATAAGCTAGTTATATATCAGAATTTTGTTAAATGATTTCATTTATAGCTTTCGAAATTATGCAATGTACCTTAACTTTTTTAGTAGTTACTGGAAGACAGCAACGATTATGCTTTGATATATTTTGTTTCCACACTTAAAAAGGATTTTCCCTTGCAGAGATGTCCGTGTTTCACTGTAAAACTACTCACCAGATACTCAAGAGTTCCGAGTTCTGATGATATTAGATAGCTGAAAGCAGTTAGAGACGTTACTACTGAGCTATTCGGACACTACCAGTGTCCAGTCAAAATGTTTCTGGTTCAACTTCCGGCCAACGCACGGCTAAACCTTGTCTAGTTTCCTAGACGGTAGTAAGCCAGGTAAACAGGGGAGATTCAACTTGCAGAACGGATAATCCCACCTCGAGAGGCAACGCCACCATAACTGAAAATTCAAAGCCCGAAGCCCTATATTCCGTTCAGAAAGCAAGCCATAGAACCAACAACTGTATACTGAAATTATTTGCAATTACAACTGACAGGAATATAAAACATTTTACCTCTTTATTGCATAGATAAACGTGATTCCTCACTCTCCTGAGGGGAAACCGTTGTTTTGATTCACCACAGTGTTCGCTCGTAAACAGTTTTAAGTATGGCTGAATGCATATAACATCTTGTCTAATCAGTTACTTATTTGACAACTGAATATCTTATTACATCTTGTCCTACTGATACACTTTTACAAGTAGTTCAGTAAATCATAATCCGAATACTGTTTTAAATACCAAAAGCCTCATTCATTTTATTTTCAATCAAAAGACGGTTTCGTATCACGTTTCTTTTCTGTGATTTCTGTTAATTTTATAATTTTCTTCACACACACATTAAGTGGACACTTAACTTCTCTACTTCATAAGTGAATTATAATTTGAAGATTTTCAAGTTTCAGTCATTTTTTTACTGCTTTTCATCCATTACAAACTACTCTCTGATTTTATTTGAATCTACGATCTAATTACAGTCAACAGGTATTATGATGTTACATCATTTTATCGCACAACAAAAGCCTATTACATTTATATTGTTTTATTATATCCTTTAGTTCCTAGAGGAACATAGGGCTTCAGCCGCAAGTTTCGATTGCGTTTGCTTCTCTGTCAACGTTTTCACCTGGCTCCACGTCTGCCCACATGTTTTCATCTCCTATTCACATGTCGTCATCCATGTCAGCCTCGCAATGACGACCAAATCTCCGCTTCCCCTTCGGGTTCCACACGAGCGATGCCCTGTGATATGATGTCACTTTATGGCTTTATTGCCAGTCCACCTCCACTTCCACCTGCTTATTTGTTGCACAATTGGTTCCTGGTCGGTTCGCTCCCAGAAATCCCTGTTGCTGATCTTTTCTGGCTAAGCCATCTGGTCTTGAGTACTGAGCGAAGACAGTTGTTGATGAAGGTTTTTAGTTTGTTCGAAGTGCCCCTTCGTGACGAGCCAAGTCTTTGTTCTGTATATAGTAGCACTGACTTCACATTCAAGCTAAAAATCCTGTTCTTATTTTTATTTTCATGCTGAGTGCTGCTGATCTCCTCCACACACACTTGCAAATAATGAAAGCTTGCCTTGCTTTCCAGATCCTCACTTTGACATCCTCGTCATTTCCAACTGTAGTTGAGACGATACATCCCAGATAGGTAGGTAAATGAGGTTGCTTCTTTCGAATTTCTCCCATTTATGCAGATTTTTGTATGTTGTCTGTTGTTGTCGCTGTTGCTGTTGGTCAGGCATCTTCATCACCTATCTGTGTTTTCTCTATGTTCACCTGAAGTCCTATCTTTGATGCTTCTTCTGCCAGTTTGTTGCTTTTCACTTCCATATCTTCTAGTTTGTGGGAAATCAGACATGTATCATCGGCGAAGTTCAGATCCTGCAAGTTTTTCATGTGGGTCTATTTTAGGCCTGTCTCCTCGTTGCCCGTTTTCTTCCGCATTATCTAATCTACCGCAATCAGGAAAATCACTGGAGCCAGCTTGTCTTACTCCCGTTTCCACTTCGGAGGATTCCGTGAATTTTCCGTTGTGGATTACTTGGCATGCATCAGTATCGTACAAATGTTGGATGAGGCGCATAAATGTTACATAATACTGCTGTATATGTGAATACATTTCTATAGCTTTAAATGAAGCATTATAAGACGACCAGCAATAAGAATCAGTTGTAGGTAATGTGCTTTAGTTACTTTTCATAGTGCTTATATTATTAAGTAATATACAATTAGTGTAACTATATACCAGTGATTGATTGATTGACAGAGATGAGTATGTGCTAGCTAACTAGACTGAAGTGACGAAGACACCGGACAGCCGCTTCATTCGTTTTCAAGTGGAGAGCATCTGTTATGTGATAGGGTTGACTCAGCTCAGACGGTCAAATCAGCTCAAACCACCAGAGTCAAACCGTGTAGAACACTGATAAGCTCGGCCCTAAATTATCAAAACGGTCGTCCTGTGTTTAGACCACTTCTCGGATCTGGCTCGGAAGTACTACTAGCTGGTGTGAGTAGTATACAACTATTCGTTTTAATCGATTAGGATTATATAGGATCATAGACCTTAAATCTCTTAAGGAGCGTGTGTTGGTGAAGTGATTAGATATTCAATATATATGAACACTTCTCATTCTTGAGCTTTCTTCTTCTTATCATTATTATTTCTCACTTAGATCAACTTTCCACGTTATTTGGGTAAATTGACATCATGGAATCATGTCAATGTGATGCCAAGAGATATGCAAGTATGGGTTGCAAATGTCGACTATTATGAAGAATTAGGTCATATTTTACAGCAAACATCATTCAGGTTAGTAACTATGGATGCATTTTTTATTTAAAATTTTCTCTTTTATTAATTAAGTAGTTTTAGTTTGTAGGGATTTGATTGATTTCAGTTAGGCAACTATTAAAAATCAGGAGAGGGGTACTGGATAAATGTTTTTCTCCTAGTGCATCCTGCACCCTACGAGGGATCGAACACAGGACCTTTGGGTCAATTTTAATTTTTGAGGTGCTGTTTCGCTATAGCAAAGTAACAAGGTTAACTCATTTATGGTATGGTCGGTTTTAGTGCTTCAAGCCATGTTGGATGGTAGCATGCTGATATTATTGGGATACCTAGTTCTACATCTAGCACAGTGTATTAAATCTGTTCCAGCTGTCCAGTACCCTCTGATTTTGAATAGTCCCTAACTGAATTCATTTCGTAATTGCTCCCGAAATCACTTAAATCCCTTCAAACCAGCACCTGAAATTTGATGTGTTGCTCACTGGTGACTGACTACAGGATTAAATTCCCTAAACCTAATATGAAAACTCATGACCATCATAGCCCACCAAGTTATAAGTGAGGGTAATTCCCCGCCAATGATACTAACTGGTGGTTGCACGATACATATCGCAAATTGGAAGAAGTTAGAATTCATGCGTCATTGGATTTCGGCCCATTGGCTGAACAGTCAACCAGCTGGCGTCGTGACCTGAAAAGTCTACATTCAATCCCCGATGGAGTCATGCGTGGTTACTTCTGATGAGACCCAGATAAGGACTGAACTCCTGCCCATTACTCCCTGTGTGTCAGTGCTTATCTAACTGAAGTCAGTTCGTGATCAATACAGCCTGAAACTACTTCATACTGTTTTGACCACCTAATTACGTCATTCAGCCGAGATAATTACTCTTGCCCCATTTTGAAATAGGTAACAACCTACCGTTATGCAAAATTTTTCAAAGGTAATGGAGAAAAATACTGGAGATCGCGATTGCAGCATGCTTCAGATAGAAAATTTTTACTACAGGTAATGTTGTTAGTTACAGGATTTCATCATGAGCTAACATTGTCTAGAGAACCATTGGAAAACCTGAGAGTACTGGACAGCTGTTTCGTCCTAGTTTTGGACTCTTCACAGTACGCACCCACCGTTACGGTTCGAACGCAGGACCTTCTGGTTACAAGGCGAGCTAGCTCATAGACCATTAAGCCACTGAGACGCGATCCAATGGCCAGCCCATGAATTCTAACTTCTGCCCATTCACGATATAGCTCAACCGCTAGCCAATGTCTTCGGCGAGCATTTGTCCTCACACCCGACCTGCTGCACCCTACTGGTCAAGACTTCCCACTAGAACCCCAGGTAACTACCTACCTGAATAGGACTAGTCGCCAAACTAGGACGAAACAGCTTTCCAGTACTCCCAGGTTTTCCAATGGTTCTCTAAACAATTTCAGCTCACGATGAAATCCTGTAACGAATCAACCAAATCCCCACAAACCAATACTTTAATATGTTTTTAATTATTATATTACTAAGACACTGAGAACTCTGCATTGTATGTAAATGCATTGCTCAGAATAAAGCTGTTATTAGTAATACTACTACATAAATAAAAGTTAGTAAAGGAATTAGTAAGATGAGTAGAGTTACATGAATGTATATCTTATTATCAGGTTTATACAAGCGAATTCTTGCATCTGCTGATTCGCGATGCATAGGGCAACCACCAGACATTTTGACTAGTGGGTAACTGTTCCCTTACTTGATTTGGTGAACATCACTGGTTACGATTTCACTCTAGAATTCCATGAAACTTTTTGTGTAAAGCAAGTTATAAGCAGTCGATTTTTAGGGATTGATTTAGTCACAGGCTTGATCACAAACTGGTATCACTCAGAGAAACATCGGAAAACTCGAAACGCAAACTGGAATGGCAATGTCATCTACGGAATGCATGACGGCGTACCTAAGATGTTTGCTGGCCAATGGAAAGGAAACTGTAGTGAATTTTCACGTTAAGTTGTGTAAATTTCAAACTAAAAAATTAATTTGTCAGTGATCTATTTAAGTATAACTTTATCAGATTTAAACAGTAGCTTGGGTTATCTCTCAGCTATTCTTTTCCTTCTTTTCATTCATTCTTTTTGCATTCCGAACTGGAAATAGGGCTTCAAGCTTTTACAATGGATTTTCAGTAGCATTTGTGTTGCTTCATCAGGTTTCCTTCTTAATGTGACTTATTGTCGGTTACTTGAGGCTTAAGAGTCCATCAGTCTGTGACTGAATCCTACATCATGTGCTTGGCTGGTGGACTTTCTACCCCTGAACCATCAACTCACATCTCATAGCTCAGGCTTTATCTATAGCTGATATTTTTGAATAAAACTATTCAGGTAAATGATCAGAGTTTCTTATCATTATTATTCTCTCTTTTTCTTATTATCCAGTGAATTACAAGACTATATCACCTTTGCAATACTTCACAAATATGGTGGATTTGTTGACCAACAAATAGCACAACTGAAGAGGAAACTTCTTAAACCTTATGCAGGTATGTCTGTCTTTAACAAATGTACTATATCTTTGTTAGTTATACCATATCATCTGGTGAATTGAACATGTAAAATTTAATCTTCATTTGACCGCTAAAAATAGGATAATATACAAATGATTTATATCACTTTGAATGATACTAGGTATCATGGTAGGGTTTCAGGGATACACGATACCAAACCATAATATTACTATTACTATTGTTGTCCTCTTGGGTTCCAAGTAGAACATAAGGCTTCAGAGGAAGATCTGAATTTCATCCTGTTTTCTGTATCCGCGTTAAGCTGGCTTCACGACTGCACATAAGCTCTCGCCTCTTCCTAAGGCGATCTCTTCCATGCAACCCTTAGACCAATGCCCAACTAGTCGTCTTACATTCAGTTTCCACTGGAGGGTGTGTCTAGGACCGCAATGTCACTCGATAGTCTCCTCAGCATGTATCTGGTCCATCTTCGTTGGCTTTAGAATGCTTGTTGAGCAAAAATGCTATACTGGTTTATCTCTAAAGTTTATTATTGATTATTCTTCTTGACCATATGACCTTCAGTATGGGGCGAGAAAAATTGGCTGTTGAGAAAACTATGCAGTGGTCACGTACCACGTCTCTGAGCCATACAGACGCATTGACTTGGCACTAGTGTTGACGTTCCTGACATAGTTCCTTATACTGAATAGAAAAGATTTCCGGGCTGACTTCAGATTATTGACTTTTTATCATGACTTTCTGGTCTTGTATTTGATATCCTCATCCGCGACGCCTTATCACCATTAGGTCAGTAAATTACGCATTGTATTAAAATCCCCTAGATACTGAAGTAGAGCCACTGACGAAGATCTAATTGAAGTGCAAACATTTCTTCGCTTGATTCGTTGTCGTCGTTTACAGTTGGTCACAGATTAATCAAGTTACTTTCATACATAACTGCAGCACCAATTGGCTGGGGTTCAAATCTCAAAGAGAATATGAATCCCTTCAAGGGTGCAGATACGCCTTGTTGACGACTGCCAAAAAGCACGGAAACTAAGTCCAATGATTCTTGCTAATGGCCTAAAACCAACTTATACATATATATGTATACAACAAAAAGATCATACGTGTTTAATGAATAAGAATTGAGTTCCGCCGTTTCAATGGTTTCTCATCTATAATCTGATGATATAATATGGTTGGAGGCAATCGACAGGAAGCCCTTCTTGACCTTGGGTTTCGTGCTAGTTGGCACTCACTTGTCAGGAAGGCGTATCTGCAACCCTGAAGGAACTCACGTACCTTCTGAGATTCGAACCCGCGTCACCAAGTGCTGCAGTCAGAGACGTTGCCACTGAGGAGTTGTTCGGGCTCGCGATTGACTTCCTGTAGGACTGTAGTGGATACTTGATTTGACACTAGTAACCAGTGTGATATGATGGCGAACCAGCTAGAATGGTGGCCACATTGCAAACCTGACTGATAGAATTCAGTCAGCACCGAACAAAGGACTAGAAACATCACACTAGTTAGTAGTGTTCAATCAAAATCATCCATCATCTATCAAAAATGTAGTGAATTTTGACTGTCATGAAGAAGGAATAACAAATAAATACATGGTTTAGCTAAGCCTACTTTCACTTTTGATCACTGATTGATATCAGTTAGAGAGTCACTGAAAATCAGCACTACACTACTGGATAGCTGTCTTATCATAGTTTGGGAGTCATGGGCAATACTCAACCAATGTTTTTCAAACTCAGAAACTCTTGGTTACAAGGCAAGCTCTTAGACCACTCAACCTTACTTTGTCATACACCTATCATAATCTAGGTATTCACGAAAATAATGGACAACTAATATTTTGTTTTCATGACTTTCGACAGCATGGAAATTCTTCAACCCCCGCCATCTTGATTAGGAATAATTAGATCAAATTTGAAAAAGGTGTAGAGGTTAAGGAGTTCACTGTATACATAAATCAGTTATAACCACTCTATGTAATTGTACATGACAGACTTAAAAGGTATTCATAAAATGAGTAAATCTGGGACTTTCTAACCTCCTAAGGGTTCCAGATGTTTGAAGAATTTCAGATTACAACTATGACACTTTGTTAAGTAGGAAATAAGTGTTAGGTGAGTGGTAAGAGTTTCAAGTAACAATTAATCGAATTTCAACAGGTGAATTGTATAGATTACAGTCAGCTGTCAGGATAAATCAACCTGTTTGATTTAAATTTTGATAACTGTAATAAGTTGCGAAACATAGAATACGCTGACCTATAGCGATAGGTTCATTGACCCATAGTTAACGGATTTATTACCGAACCTTTATTCAAATTTGATAGTGGATTGATATCAGTTAAGAAACCATCGAAAACTGTCAGGGAGTACTGGATGGCTGTTTTGTCCTCGTTTATGACTCATCAGCAGCGCGCACCTACTGAGGTTAGAATTGAGGACTTTCTGATTACTAGACAATGGTTCTCTAACTGAGAACAATCCGTGATTACACCTGAAACAAATCAAACATCTACAGACAAACTCTTGAAAACATTTGTTCACTGAATCATTCCTTAATATAAGCATCAGAGACAACTGATGATTTATTCTAAATATACAAAGAAAATAACATTAACAATAAATTTAACTATACATTTTGTCACAAACTAACATCGATTATACAGATCACTGAAAACTAGGGATCAATGGATAGCCTTATCATCCTAGTTTGAGACTGTTTATCAGTGCGCACTCACGATCCCAACAGTAGTCGAATTAGAGGGACTTTTAATTTGTACGGCGTACTGATGGCTACTGGATGGATGTTCTGGTGCCCTGCCGAGAAGTTGTGGCCAGTGAGGTCTACCATGCTAAGCTGAAATGGATTCTCATCTAAGGTATTGGCTGAGGATGAAGTTAGAATTGTCGGGGATCACGTGATTTCAGCTCAAGTGAATGGACAGTCAGCGGATATAGTTTCATTATCAAGAAGGTTGAGGATACGATCCCTGATGTCATCGTGGTTGTGCAGTGGAAAAATCTCCCGAACTATAGCAATAAATCTGTGTGATTATCAGGGGTTTTCGACGATCACTAACTGATACTGCCTCGTGATGAAATTATCATTTTGAATCTCTACAGAAACCCATGATCTAAATTATCTAGATAATCTCAAAAATAACACAAATTATTACATTTCCTACAGATAATTGTTTCTCGATAAGTTCAGTTTATATTTATAAGATAACTAAAGATAATACCCAGTACTGATGTGATTATCTGGACACATAATGTATATCTGAACACATAAATTGACAACAAAGATGTCTATCCTAATGGATGGCATTAAATTAGGTCTGTGAATAGGTAAACACACAGTTCACAGATGTAAAACTCCAATAAACTGCATTTGGAAAATTCCGTCTAACCACTAATATTATTTTATATAAACGAGATTGTATCACCTCTGCTGAATGCAAAACTAATTTTCTCCTTACCAGTATTGTGCAAATTACTGTTCATTTAAGATGCAACAACATTTCTATCACTTGTCCTTTTACAGATACTTTTACTACTAATTCAATGACTTTTAGTTTGATAAGTAGTATGTTAATGTAAAAGGAGAATTTAATACCATTCTAGATAAGTTTATCTGATATGACATACATTATTTAAAGTGAATAACGTTTCGAGCAAAGCAGATTACTTTCTCTCAATCGTCTCAGTGTGTTCACACAACTTTCCACGATCTTTCACATAGCTTTCCTCCCACTTGTTTTCCAGAGAAATTTTTCATATATTCACCTTTTACATTGCCCCATTTCGATTGCACGTACTTAGTACTGATTTGATGGATAGAGATTCGATGACCAACATATCCCTTCAGCAAATCATATTGTGTTTTTGAATAACTGGGTTTCTGGAGGAAGCTGTAGCGATATGTCACCACCTCAAACTGTGTAAATTGAGAATTGCTAACGAGTTCGTAAGCTGTGAAATCGATTTGTCGAAAATTGTTTCCTATTCATGTTATCATCAATAGTCTCCTCATGAGCTTCCGTCGTCTTCTTGGCGAAGTTCAACAAAGGCGTATCAAGAGTGTGAACGCTCCATTGACCTTGCACGTATACTAGTCGTTGGCTGACGGCAGTTGTTATTATTATAGCTGAAATATCAACGGTATTCACCAGCTAAGCAGAGAATTTTACCCAGACCACATTTTTAAGTACTGTTTCGACAATGTGTTAATAGCTAGTTAGGGTTAGGATCAGGGTTATAATTAGGATTAAGGTTAGGTTTATGGTTGGGATAAGGGTTGTAATTAAGGTTAGGTTTAGTGTTAAGTTTAGGGTTAGGGTAAGGATTAAGGTAATGTTTACGATTAGGGATAGATCTAGAATGGATGTCATTTATTTTAATTTGTTTTCTTATTCACACTTTCCTGGTAATAATTCGTCGATCCGCTTGTCGCAAACCATAGTAATTCAACCGAGGGCTTTTTAGGAAGACCGCACAACAGGATAAAAGAAATAAGCGTTTCACAAAAACAGCGCATCTTCAGTCATCTCGGCGAATACATGTATACAAACTAGTCTAACTTAGCAACTGATACTCCTCATTATAACTGGGACGAACTTTTAATTCATGTCAGAGAAAGATACCCTGTTTCATGTTTTTCATGCATTTTCTTGTAAATAAACGTCATTTTTCGTGCAAAAATTCCTCTTTTTATGATCGGTCGGCTGAAGGTCATCGGTGCGTTTACATCCCCTGGGACGCTATTGTTGAACTTCACCATCTTCTTAATGAATTTTTATGGGATATATATTTAGTACTGACACTTCTTATATCTATTTCATTTCGTTATTTTGGTTTTCTTATGTGAAACTTATAAATATCGATAGTTTCATCACACGTAAACTCAACCAGTAGAGGAAATAAAATATACATTTCAATCAGAAAATGGTCAGGGAGAATTAGCTGTATTAGATTGTAAATTTCAACGAATGGAAGAGGGTCAATTATTGATTGGTGTTTATAAAAAGCCAACGAACTCTAGCAGATATTTAAACTTTACGTTATCTCAACCGTTACATGTAGAAGCGGGCTTATTTAAGCGTTTAACAAATCCAGCAGTAACTCTAAATAGTATATCTGAAAACTAAAATGATAAAATGAAACCAACAGGGGAAGTGTTGGTGCTAAATAATTATCCCATAAAATTCATTAAGAAGATTACAAAAATTCACAAAAAAAGAAATTTGTTGTGGAACCATTGACGACAAATTGAACAGGGGAGAATTTAAGAAACAGTTTTATTATATGAGGAAAGTTCATCTGAAACCATAAACAAAATTCTCAGTTGAGAGGGAAATAAACCCATAAATTTGCTCAGGAACAAGCTCTGTTCCAAGGTGGGTTCATAGTTCATTCAGTCACTGAGACCCGATCCAATGGCCTATGAATTCCAACTTCCATCAATTGGCTGTATTTGACGCAACCGCCAACCAATGTCATCGGCGAGTAAATGTCCTCTTACCTAACTTCGTGGACCCCATTGAAGGGTCCTAAACTAAGGAGAAACAGCTCCTCAGTAGTCGCTGATTTTCCAGCGGCCGTCTAAATGATGCTACTTTGCGATCAAACCTGTAAACTGTTCGTTATTTTGGAAACTGATTAACGTTATATGCTGAATGTCAGAAAATGATTATTCACTCGTAATGCTTTGCTAAATTTTTTGAGATATTCAATAACTGCAGTTGTGTAAGTTCTTATTGTATTTGAATAAGGCATTTAGAAGACAAATTTCACGAGATGATATCATTTCGTAGTTTCTTTACAACCGTTTTACAACCAACATGGTTAACAATAATAAAATAAAGTTCATTACAATTGCTCAGTTATATAAAAAAACAAAAGTACATTTTGATGACCAATCATTTTTAGATAGGTCATGTAGTCCATGGAAGGTGAAGAATGAAGCCTATTGTTTTTGTACACACAGTTTAGGCTGTATGTGATTAATCCAAAGTGCTTCCATCACCTTCAATAACCTTGAATTAGAGTTATGTGAAATAATTGTGAAACAGTCATTAATGTTGATTTTGTGACCTGACGTTAATAATTGTTTTGCAATGGATGATGTTGGATTTCTATTCAGATTAATCGTGTTGGGATTTTCTATATGACTTAGTAGCCATTTTGGAACATGTTCTTTTCGACGACATTGGAACATTCTATTGGTTCTACCTATATAGGTGTCACCGCAGCTGCAGGTGAACTTGTAGATACAGTTTTAAGTAGAGTCCACAGAATTTCGTCCTTAAATCGTAGGTACAGGGATCGAAAATGTTCGGCAAGTGAGAAAAAGAGATGCGGTGGCGTAGAATGTGCGTTTGATAGCTGACCGAAGTGATGGGAGCACTTTGGATTAAGCACAAACAGCCTAAACTGTTTGTACAAAAACAATAGGCTTCAATCCTCGCCTACCATTGACTACATGACCTATTTAAATGTGAGTGGTCATCAGTATATACTTTTGTTTTTTTATATAACTGAGTAATTGTCATGAAATTTATTTTATTATTGTTAACCATGTTAGTTGTAAAGCGGTTGTGAAGAAACTACGAAATGATATCATCTCGCGAAATTTGTCTTCTTAATGCCTTATTCAAACTTATTGTATTTGTTAAGGAAGGACATATACTTTATCAAATACAATTCTCAGAGTTTAATGTGAGTTAAAACCACTCATGGGAAGACAAAAGTTTCTCAAACTACTCTGAGGGACTAAGGCAGGGTAATGCATAATTTAAAAAGACATAGGTCCAAGAAGAATATTCTTTTCATAAATTCACTTCAAAACTGTAGAGCTGTATAGTGCTGTGAAAGGTTAAGGAATCCCCTTTAAGGTCCCTTATTTTATCTCAGTTAGTAAAAAAGATATGAAGAAAATAAAAGACAATTCAGTGAAGAAAATTTTCTTTATCGACAAAATCTTCTTCACAGGCTGCACAGTTGTATTTATATTTTAATATAGCGAAAATATTCATTCAGACATCTATAAAACACAAGATAATTCAGTAAGGAATATCCTTTTTGATAATATCCTCTTCTGGCTCTACAATCATATACATGTTTATGTACATAGAATATTCTACGATCGTAGTCAATGACAATATTAGTGTTTTTTAAATAATATCCATCTGTCAAGGAAGATCAATGAAATTAAAGTTCATTAAAGATGCTTAAATAATAATAATAATAAAGACATAATAGCAAATAGAATATCAACTAAAATTAGGAAAATTCTACAACAACTGAGAATCATTCAAACCTAGATGACTAAGGTAAGCATAACGTCTGAACTAACGATTTTTGGATGCACAAATTAGGCTTCTTAATGTGGATCCCAACTGCCTCAGCAATATTTAGTAGTCGGACTATTAAGGTGGAGTTGAGATTTGTTTGCACGCGGTAAATGACTTTGAAAGCCGCCTCGTTGACATCAATCTTGTGTTCTGTATCCACAAAATGAGATAGAATAGTGCTGCGAATAGATTTTGTTTGTCCTTTACTTAACCACCACTCAGGGTGATGTTTGGAAATCCGACGAGAAACACGCCTAATTGTACGGCCTAAGCAGCTAGCTGGCTCCACAGTAGCAGTTAAATTAGTAGATATACATGGAAGAGGCAAAATTAGGCAGTTTGTCTTTTACTCTCGAACACAAAAGAGGAGTGTTTTTGAAGACACAGCGTAATTCAGCATCAGGGAATGCTCTTTTTACAGTATTTCTAAGGCGTTGTGTTAGTATCTCTCTGATGTTGTCCCTGAGTAACTGCATTTGTAAGAATAAGGCCTTTTTAGGAACTGTTGGTACCTTGGACGGCTTTGATTTTAGATTCATATTCTTATCAATAAACTATTCTGGATAACCGTTTTTACTCGGCAACCGTTTAATATTATTTAGTTCCTACTGTACATTTTTTGGAAATATAAATACGACTGTAGAGCCTGTGAAGATGATTTCATCGATAAAGAAAATTTTCTACTCTGAAATGTCTTTTATTTTATTCATAATAAAATATATGAATTTAATTATCTAGCAAAGTAACAAATTACGCAGTCTAAAAATAATAAGAGGTAGAGAGCATCGCTCAGAAATGATGATTACCATTAATAATCACAAGAGGTTGGAAGCATGGACATTGTTCACAAGAGAAAGAGACTCAGAATGTTTTTCGAGTATAATTTTAAGTCAGGAGTTTGAAAAGAAGAAATAAGACGCATTCAAAAGCCGAAGGAATAGAGATTACATAACAAGTGATTGTACGTGTTGAAGAAAAGAAATTCGAAGATCATAGTAGCCAAATTGATTGGATAAACCACTTCCGTACACACAATTCAAGGTTATCCTTGAGTATAACAAGATCTTTTGTGAACGGAAGATGTAGACAGAAGTCCTTTGAATGGCCTTACCTTATCTTAAATATTCTTTTTATTCCTACATGCTCCAAGTGGAACATAGGGCTCCAAGCTAGAGGCTCTAAGTTTCGGTAGCATTGGTGTTTATTTTTACGGGATGCAGTTGCTAGCCACATGCCCATCCTTCCCTCTTTGTTAGTCTTATCACTGGGTTAGCGAGGTAAAGGAATGCGTCGGTGGCCGGTGATCGAACCCCAGACCATATGCATGGTCGGCGAGCATTCTACTGTTGTGTCACTGATGCACACCTTAAACATTATTGAGAGATTTTTCTGTTGATGCAGAATGAGTTTTTAGAACAAACGGCTCAAGAATTGAACTATGGGTCTGTCTAATTTCCCATTTCAGTAACCACATTAAGTGTTCTTTTGCTTGCCTAGACAGTATCATACTGGTATGGCAGGGACCAAGTGAATTAATACGTGCACGTAGATGCTACCAATAGTGGGACACTGCCTATGCGGTTTTGATGAATAAGAGGTGGTGTGAAGGAGGTAATGCATAAAGATACAGTGAAGAATGTTTTTCAAACCGCTTCCAATAATCATCTTTCAAGGATTTTAACTGTTGTGTCACATTTGAGCTTCACATGTACAACTAACCTTTTTTGGTACTTTTGTGGATTATCCACCTTACTTTTCATGTGACCAAACTGGAGTGGTTGGAGTAGAATTCGAGATCGGGGTCCACTAATCGAAAGTCGAGTGCCTACGTCAATGAACCACCTTTCCACATTTTTATCTGCATTTAATCTTCTCTTATAAATGATTAATTCAATAAATATTATCAATAATGCTAGATATACTTCTATTTGTTAATAATTTCAGAAAGTCTTGGGATTGAACAAGTCTCTTATTGGCCGTTTCTCTTGGATATAGCTTCTCCAGGATTAAAACTGATTCTTCAAAGTAGATGGAATTTAGGTCAACTAAATCATGCAGTTAAACAAGTAAGGAGACTAAACGTTTTTAGATTTAACGTCCTATTTGAAAAAGTTCATCTGATCATATTTGACAAGCCGTTTCCTTTTCTAATAAAAATCACTCAAAAGCTGGATCTGTCTTAACAATTATAATTACCATCAAATTTGTTGATAACTTCTCCCAATATAAACAGGATCTACTGAGTATTGAGAGAACTCCGTTCACAAAGTACTTCTTTTCAAATATGTACTGAAGACAATGACACAAGATAATCGTTATTAGGGAGCATTGGACAGCTTTCTGAACCTAGTTTGGGGTTCCCTAGTAGTACATATCTGTTGGAGCTTGAACTTAGGACTTTCTCTTTCCAAAATGAGCTTGTAGACAATTCAAAATTGGCAGAAGTTACCATTAACACACTGTCCACTGGATCAGGTCACTTAATAAAAACGATTGTGAAGGTCTGTAAGTGGTAAAATTTCAAAATGAAAAGTTATCTGTGCATTTGCCTTTGATTACTGATTATCCTGCACCGAAATTCCATGTTTCTGTCAGCATTTTGACTCTTATTACGGATATCTTGACAGTGTCTTAGGATTAATATGAAGTTATCCCAATTGTTGGAATATACGACTTCAGCAGTATACCTCCGTCTCATTCTGTTCCCTGCTGCAATCTCTATAGGGTGCCATGATTGCTAAAGTCTTTCATCTCCTCCCTACACGATCTCTACAATCACTTCATGAGATTCACGCTCCCCTCGTCTTCTCCTATTGGGGTCTCGATCGAACAATGGCCTGGTATGTTGCCTAACACAGCGATTTTCTCAACTTGTTTCCAATCCATCCGCATTTTCTTCTGGTTACTTGTTGGACAATAAGGTCTTGCCTTTCAGAGTTAATTGTTTCCAATCACTTCTGAATGGCCATTCGATGTTCATTACAGAGCCAGTAAAGACAGCTGTTGATGCATGTCTGAGGTATCAAGTCTTCAAACCATATCGAAGCAGTGACAGATTCGATAGTGCTGTTGGAAATGAAAAATCTTGTTTTTTATGCTGGATGCAGTTTAGGTATAGTGGAGAAGATTTGTAGCTGAGGTGGATGTTTTTGATGTGGTTGTGTTCTCTGAGCTGGATGGCTTATTTGAGAAGCTTTCATTACCATACTAGGCAATATCTTCAGCAAATACTTCAATTCGTTGAAGTGAGCTCTTAGATTTCTCCACGAGTTCTGTGTGTTTTCACACCCTCCAGGGTACTTGTATTGGTGCTAACTTTTTCCTTGGCTTGAACTTTGATCCTTTGTGTGTGAGATTTATTTCTAATCGGTTGGTGAATTTTTTCTATGTCAATGTGTCTGTTGATTGACAATTCACTGGAATACCAGGCCCCTAAAAAGTCTTTAGCATTCTTGGTGTTTCATCCGTCTAATATTTGAACGTTGGTTGTCCTAGTTGACTTGATGTCCATGGTTATCTGTATGTAGTGATATGTGGGAGTGGATGTCATGTCTTTTGACGGTTAGCTTATGTTCTTGGATACGAAGACGAAGGGAACGTCCACATTGGCCAATATAGTGTTTTTCTCAGTCATCACAATTTATTTTTTAGATTATGCTAGTTTTACCTTCTCTCGTTGTTGAGTCTTTTGACTGACATTGAGTTGAATGAAGTGAGTTTGTTGGTTTGCGTGCGACATCAATTCCTAAAGGTTTGAAGAGTCTTGTAGTGATTTCTGAGATGTCCTTTATATATGGTAGGGCGATTTTCGTTGTGCTTTCCTTGAGGGGCTTTGAATAGGTAGGTTGTCTTGCGGGTAGATGTCCTTTGATGAAGAGTCGTGGATACCCATTCTTTTGAAAGACGTCCATAAGATGAACCATCCAGTTCAGAAGTTACGACTATATCAAAATGAATGCAGTATACTTCCACACTGATTGCACAGTAGCGAATATCTATCTTGGCTTGAGGACACTGTCTTTGAAATCCTCATATGTGCCTGTATTTGGAACAATGCATCAGAAATAAGTAAAAGAAGTGACTTCGTTCAAATTTCTCCATTTAGCAGAAATGGGTGCTATTTGTTGTTGTTGGTGTTCTGGTTTCTTCATCGCCTCAGTCTTCTCTATATGCACTTAAAGTCTCACCTCAACTGTATTTTCTACCAATGTGTTGTCTTTTGCATGTAAATATTTGAATTTGTTTCACATTATGCATAAATCGTCGGCAAAGTCGAAATCTCTGATTGGACGCTAGTCACTGACCAGTGTAAGGTGTTTAATCCTTTGTTTGGTGCAAATTAGATCCTATCAATCTATCAAGTATATAATTTGGTCGTCATTCTAGGTGGCTTGCCACCACGGTGCGCTTTGAATTGATGATACCAGATGGTTGGAGGCGATCGGCGGGAAGTCGTCTTTGACCTAGGTCTTGTGCTAGTTAGCACTCACCAGTTATAGCAAGGTTTATCTACAACTTTGAAGGAACTCGTGTCTCTTCTGATATTCCAACCTGCATTACTCAGTGCTGCAGTCGGAGATATTACCACTAAGCTATTAGGGCTTGTGACTGACCTCCTGTAAGACTGTACTAGACATCTTGATTGGATTGTAGTCAGTGACTAGTGTAGTGTATCTAGTCCTTTGTTTGGTGCAGACTAAATTCTAACAGTTAAATTTGCAGTTTTTTGTCCGCGAAAGGTATTCCTACCTGCTCGCTCCCCACAGTGTACCACATGATCCAGTCCGCCACAACTAGGAATATCGTCGGTGATAGTAAGCAGCCTTGTCTTACTCCTGTATTCACTTCAAAAGCATTGCTGAGCTACTGTGCTGTGAATCAACTGACATGTAACATCGTCCTATAGCTGCTGAATGATGTTTATAGAGGTGTGAGGTAATCCATATTGTTGAGGCAGTTTCTAAATCACTTCACGGTCAATGGTACTGAAGGCGTTTTCAAAGTCGATGAAAATGAGGTAGAGATAGATTCCGCTTCTAATCACCATCAATTACGAAAATCTACCACCCCACTGATAACTACTGATAAGGCGGTGACAATTCCATTCATATGTCTTTCGACTAAAATGAAGTCAGCTAAATTGGATTAAATCAATAAGTATGACAATGATTCAGTTGAATCGAAAATGACTGCAGAATATTCCCTTGAAGCCAAATAACCTCCCTGTTGTTCGTTATAGTATTCAAAAACTGTTTTAATGTAATTAGATCTAGTTTTCACCCTTCATTTAACCATCAAGTTCTTCCCTTCTTTCTTCCAACTGGTTTTAGTTTCATGTGGAAATTTTAACACCAGTACAAGCTTTATTTGCAAAGCTGTTGAATAATTCAATGCCTGATACAATGAAATGTCATGAGTTGTCAAAAAAGGTAGGTTAATTACTTTCTTATTTATACAAAACAATCGTATTCTCTATCTCTTTTTGTCTCTTCTCTTGTAACAGTTTCTGTAACCTGTAAAGATAACGTTACCAATAAAAAGATCTGTTATTCAAAAAGAATCTTTTAGCTTTGATACTTGACTGTGTATAACTCTTCAACAGGATGTGACACCTCGCCGGTAGTTAAGAAGTTGCTCACATGTGACGACACTGACCATTTCAAATCAGCTGTTTTAAACTGATGCCTCGGGTAAAAGTTCTGGAACTGCCCTACTGAACCAACAATCTCACTAACGTGGAATACTGACAAGGGATTTTAACAATGGTTGCTTCGGAAAGATCCCACCATAGAGATTGAGCTTTGTCTTACAAAAAAATATTGAACAAAATGAAAGATGAAGCGCTTATTAGTGTGGATCTGTACAGAAATGTTTGTCCATCTGGTTCTACAACGTCGCTCCCGTACAGCTTAATAAAAATACACAAACAAGAGGATCCACTCCGCACTGTCTTAGATATAATGAAGTTTCCATGTCACATTATCGCAAAGTGGCTGGTAGAGATTCCTGGACTGGCGAAGGAAAAGCTGCTGAGACACGAAATCTAGGATACGTTTGACTTTGTTGATTCAATTAAGAATGTCAATCTTGCGAATAAAAGATGATCACCTTAGATATTGACTCTCTCTCTCTCCATCTTTATTACACTGAAAAAAGAAACGACTTTTAAACAGTGATTAGCAGGGTTATGAAAAGATAAGATTTGCCCCCAGAATTCAATTCATTTCATCAGTATCATTTGAACAACCTTGTTACACATCTACTAATCAATTCAATCCATGCGAAAATCAAGAGGTTGAAGATCAGTTAGAATGGACAAATGATTGGGGAAGAAGGATTATAATTGACACTAACTGATAAAGTAAACAAAGTGCCACAATAGATTGTTTTGCTCACACATACATAAACTACATTTCTCCTCCGTGACTTCATTCCATCGAGTAGCATTAACATCGGAATATCGATAAACTATCTGAAGGAGCTGTTAATCCAATTCATTATCAACGTTTGCTTTTGATTCAGTATCAAAATCCACAGGCGGATAGATGGAGTAGCAATGGGTCCTCCTACAGGTCCTCCCATCGACCGACTGTTTATGGCTAGCCTAGAAAACAATGTATTATCCCGAAATGTCAGTCAGCATTATCTTTAAGAGGTATACATCAATGATATATTCATTATTTGTACTGAGAATTCGGACCTCGGGGACTTTTTCACAACAGTAAACCGAACCCCCTCCAAAAAAAGAACATCGACTTCAATCTGGAAGTAGATTCTGACTCACTGTCCCGTTTCCCCAATTTCAAACTGTGAAGAAATGTTGATAAGTGACTGAGGATATCCATCTACAAAAAGCCCACATGGAACGGACACTATCAATTTTTGAAGACGTCCCTGTAAACAGGAGGAAGACTATCATCTGTTCTATTTCCTTAAGGATCTGAGAAATATGTTCGGCGAAATCTATTGACAAAGAAACGTGAAATCTCCAAAGAAGCTTGATGGAAAATGCTTTCCTATTCAGATTCATAGACAGGAACCTGAATCTATTTGAAGCTTCTAGACAGTTAAAAGTTGCCCCCAAAACGATTCTGTTTCTTAACCTCGAATTTGAGAGTCATATTGAAGCAAATTATCCTAAAACGGCTTTCGAAATCTCTCGACAAAACATACTTCGTTGTAGTCGAAAAATGACGTTTTGTCTCAAGAAACTATTCGACCAGCATGCTGAAGACAAGCTGTAGCACTGGGACACTTCAGCATGCATATACCCTAATTTTATCGGCAGATGTAAATTAAAATGAAAAAGCACGTCTGAATCGTTCATTCATTTATGGTGTTAACAGTTGGAAACCACTCATTTGTATTATAACAGAGTGAACCTTGAGTATATCTAAAGTAGATTAAACTTCAAAATAACAATCTGAACTTAAAGAGTTCATTCAGATATTCCTTGACCAATATGTCTGAAATTGGCATCATAATTAATGTCTTTTAAAATTAAAGTAGCCTTATAAAGTGCAATAAAGCAAGTAAGATCATCTTTACAAACGTAAGCCTTGCCAGACATAGTAATAGATCTCTTAAAGGGTACTTGCACCGAAAAAGTACATTGAATGGACAACTTATCTATTTCTGTACTTAGAGGATTGTCACCATGAAAAGAAATGGGATTTCGTCGGTCTGATACAATGTAAGGAACATTTGTAGCTCTGACTACAGTGGAATGGGACTTTCTTTGCTAAAAGTCACGCTTGCAGAAAGTGGTAAGCCAAACCGAATTATTAACAGAATCACGAAAGAGAAGCCATCCAAACCAGTCGATTACCCAGTTCGAAATGTATTTGGAATTCGAAGGAAATCAGGCTTCAGATATGCACAAAAATTATCCGTCTGAATCAGCCAGTAATACGTTCTTTGCAACTAGACTCAGTTTGACCTCCACCAGTGATGTGTTGTTCTCCGTCTCTGTAAAATATAGATTCTTTCGTGTATCTGCCTTTATGTGGATCCTTCAGTTCACTTGATCTTGTGGGGTAGGGTACATCGTCCGTAGCTGGAGAGTGAATTACACAGTGATGTGTGAGCACATTGCCGCATGATTTTACAAGGGAGAAAGGAAGGGCATGCAACGCTCTATTCGATAAAAAGTATGTTTGCAAGTATGTCAAAACGTTTCTGTATATAAACTTAATAATTTATTTAGGCTGTAAGCAGCTAATGAGAAGCCAACGGAATAAATGATGGTACCATATTATTCTGCACAAACCATAGTTGTTATTGCTTTATTCAAATTCATCAAGGGGAATAAATGCATGATCAACTTCTGTTACTCTATCAACTGTGAATATGGTTTTAAGACCAACCGTCAAATTCACACTTACTTGCCGCGTTTTCTTCGTTCAAAACGTCTAAAGACCCAGGAGACAGCGGTCACTGATGAACTTAGGCCAAATCTTTGTTTACAAAATAAATATCATGGCCATAAAGAGCTAAACATGTATTCGTGTGCTAGATGGCTGGAGAAAACCAATAGGAAGCCTTGGATCTAGGTTTTGTACCTTTTGGCACTCATCAGCAAGGCGTATCTACAATCTTGAATAAACTCATGTCCCTTCTGATATTCGAGCCAGTGTTACCTAATGCTTCAATCAGAGACATTGCCACCGAGCTATTTGGGCTCGCGCCTTGCTAACAATGGCCAGCAAGCACGAAACCCAAATCTAGGGCTTCCCACTGACTGCCTCCAACCATCTTATAATTAACAGTCCAGAGCTTACTATGATAGTGAGTCACTCATCATGGTGACCATATTGCAAACTTGACTGAAAGAATTCAGTCTTCATCAAAATCAAGGACTAAACGCACAACACTGGTGGGCGATCCAAGTAATTTCAGAATTACAGACTATTGCTGTTAAAAAAACAACAGCTGAGACTTAGATCATTGTTTTGCTCTTAGTTTAATCTAATACAGAATGTCTTACACTGTTTCATGATCTGCAACCGTCATATTTTCACTACATCTTTAATGCAATTTAACTGACAAATACATTTTAACTACTTTTTTTCTAGATAAGTAGTATGAAAATACAACTTATGTCACATAACGATCATATGTGGATGGAAGAATTTTATTCTGAGGTAAGTTCATGATTAAACTGATGGATAAAAACAGTAAATCACTTATACAGATTCCCATTTTGTTGATTACACAGTTGGATTTTAAGCCCATGACTTGGATCCCTTAAAAGTGAACTTATAAGCACAGATTAACTAATAATCAATATTATCCAGTATGTTATCAGGTGTTGAGAGGTTTCCCCAGTTATAGCAGATCTCTAATAAAGGCTATTTCTTTAAAATGTACATTTTCTGTTATGAATCCTAAATGAGAGTTCGTGTAAGTTAAAACAGAGGATAAAAGATCTCATACTGCTGAGAAACCCCTTAATCTACTATTCCAAATCTTCTCAATTTTGAAGTGAATATAACTCTTAGAAAACAAGCTGACTTTTTAAGAGTCAGTTTTTAGCAATCCGCCTTGTTTCAAGTTTGATTAAGAAATGATGTCAGTTAGAAAACCAAAGAAAAACAACTGGAGAGTATTGGACAGCTGTTTCGTCCCAGTTTGGGACCCTTCACCTACTGGAACTTAGACCAAGACCTCTAGGTTACAAGGCGAGCTCGAAGACCATTCAGCCGATAGGATTCTATCGAACGGTTAGGTTATGGATTCTAACTTCTGCTAATTCGTGATTTTAGGACAACAGCAGTCCACGACTAAAAGTGAAATATACAAGATCTCAACAAACTAACTTTAGCCACAGGGTAATCAGGCAAGTTAAGTTCACCAGAGCTGTAGTTAGAGACAATAATGTGTTTCACTTCCCAAATAACTCATTACGTAGCTCGCAAATAGTATTTTATTCACAAATACGAAGTATTTTTTTCTATGCTTTGATGAAGACACCTAGCCAACAATACGCACACTTGTTTCAATTATCTAAGCTATATTGTTTCGAACATAGGTAGCATCAACGAGGATATCAAGGCCGGAGACGTTCCGAAAGGCAATAGAGACCTTCATGACTCTGAGATCATTGTGAAAATCCACTGAGCCAAGCACTGTTTCTGTATGGTTCAGAAACTTGCGGAAAATGTCATTAAAGGCATTTCCAAAAGCCTGATACAAACGTTTATTAACAGCTGCCTTCACTAGCTCTACGGTGAAGACTAGATGGCCAAGCAGAAAGGATTAGCAACACCGAACTCTCGGAACATATCAATCAAGAAACTAATGCTCGATATGACGCTCCACGGCCTTAACTAGAACTCGATTGAGAAATGCTGATTTGGACGTGGGTCTCAGTATGATATTGCGAAGAATGCGTCAGGAACCAGCTAAAGAGGGGTTCAGAGAACAGTATGAAATGCAGACACGCTGTTGAAAAACCGCGTTCTACTGAGAAGTCAAAGGAATGACAAAAGAGCGAAAGGAACAAGAAGTTCAGCAAATGTATCTTTTCAATGATTTCATTCTCGAAAGCAATTGTACAACAGCATTTGTATACATAGGTATACATAGATACAAATATTATTTTTAATTCCGCGCTGTAATGAAGGACACTAAAGGGGATAATAATTTTCAGTGTCATATGAAAGTTTTATGTTAATGCAAACTACATTGGGCTTAGAAATAAAAATGCACAGGATTACGTAATAGTTGCGTTATATGTAAAACAGTTTTCTAATGAATACAGGTATGAGTGTAATTGAAATGAAAAAAGTGAAGGGATTCAAAAAACCAAACATTCATAAACTAAGGGGTCAAGCAGAACTATATCCATAGTATATGTAGAGGCTGGACTGTTTTCTTTTGAACCCATAGCTTGGGCAAATGGTGAGGGCCTCTGAAGTACAGAGAAGCTGGGAATATACTGATTTTGGTAGATTTTTCTTTACTTTGTAAATGATTCTCAATGATGAATGAGTTGAGATACAATGACAGATATCGACAAGGTGTTCAGTTATGGCTCTTCTGATTGAAACAGTGCTGCCCCTTTGCAGTTATGCTGGGTAATATGCTAATCCTGTGTAATTTTGTATTTAGGCCACTTGTTTTCTATATTCACACTAAACTTTTATCATATAAAGTTATCGCCATTATTCTCCATCGTTATTGTGTGGAATTAAATAATAATTGTATCTATGTAAACTTGTGTAAATAAATGTGATTAAACAGCTGCGTTCAACGATAAAATTGCCGAAAAGGCATTCCCTGCCGAAAATCTCTATTCTTTTCCCTGTCTAACGTCCTGATGGGTATTATCCACACTTTGGAATAACAATACACATTCTATGGAATCTGTCAGTACATGTGCGATGTGGGTCATCAATAAATGGAATAAAATTATTTCACATCATTATTTTAGAGCGACAACCGACCAATGTCATCGATGGGAAGTCCATCCTCATTCCCAAATGGATGGACCTCACTAGTCACAACTTCTCACTAGAGCTCCAGGAAGCGCCGTCCTGTAGCAAGTCACTAGCGAGCATCAGATTAATTTTCAAGATTTGATTTGTAATCATTAGATTTATTTTGAGAAGTCGTGACCTGTGAGGTCCATCCAGTCAGGATTCGAGGACAGAATTCCTGCCGATGACACTGGTTGATGCCAGTCGCGTTAAATGCATCACGAATTAGTGGAAGTTAGAATTCATGGACTGGTCAATGAATCAAGTCCCACTGGCCTTGTAACCATCAGGTCCTGGGTTCGAAGTCCAATGGGTGCGTACTGACGATGAGTAAAAAACTAGGACGAAACAGCTGTCCAGTACTGCCTGCCGGTTTTCAATGGTTCTGTAACTAATATCAATCCCTGGTGAGACTGGGAAAGTAAATGTTATCCTCATAAATCAACTCCTGAAAATATTTCATTGTTAGGGAATTCATTATTTCTGTTTGTTAGCAAAAATGTACATCAAAAACCATCTTTGTAAAAAGTATGAAGTAAGCAAACGAATAAAATTAATCCGAAAATTGATAGCAAATTTCTCTACCATTAAAATAATTAATTTTATAAGGAATAAATTAAGATTTATTGCGTATCATTTGGTTATATAACCGCATACAAAAAAGTGTTCACGGTTTCGCATAGCTAAAAGATGCATAATTAGTTAAACGATTATTGTAAGCGCTTTTCTGAATTCCTAAATTCATTTTTATGTTAATTCCTAACTTTCTAAACAACTGATTCACATGTCCTCCTCCATGTCATCCTACCCTCACGCTGACGACCAACTCGCCGCTTCCCATTCGAGTTCCCTTCGAGCGATGGCCTGGCGTGTAATGTCACTTGATGGTTTGTTTTTTCAGAGTATGACCAATCCACCTCCATTTCTTCCCATATTTTTGTTGTGCAATTAGTTCCTGGTTGGCTCGCTTCCAGAGATCCCTGTTGCTGATTTTTTCTGGCTATATGATCTTGATCACTGAGCGAAGACAGTGTCTGCAGTACTCCATAACTGGCTTCAATATCGCCCATAAGCTTTCATATTCCCCTTATCAACCACGTCACGCTTGGACCAGACCCTCAACTCGTCGTTTCTTATCCAGGTACACTCTAGGGTCTGAAGCGTTAGGTCATTTAACAGCCTCCTTGGCTTGTATGTTCAGTGTATTCTCCACTTTCTTCGGAATATTTGTTGGATGATTAGTTCCTGGTTAGCTTGTTTCCACAGTTCTTGTCCTTTCACAGCATTTGTCTTTTCTCGCCATCCGATCTTCAATAGCGACCCACCAAGACAGCTGTTGAAAATGTCTGGAAATCCTTTTGGTAACGCAATGACCCAGTTTCCGAACTATATGGAGGCAATGACTCCACACTGGTGCTGAAAATCCAGGTCTTGTTCCTAAAAACAGCAGATTTCCACACTAATTTCAGAACTATAATAGTGTGTCTTGGGTTTCCGGTTCTGGCTTTGATATATATCCAAGCCGCCACCTGAGGTTGAAACGATTCTGCCTAGGTGGTAAGTGGAAGTAGAAGTGACTTCCTTTGAATTTCTGCCATTGATAGTGAGTGGTGCTTGCTCCCGCTTGTCAGTGGGTATCTTCACCACCTTCGTCTTCGTTGTTTTCACTTGATGTCCTGTCTTTGCTGCCTCCCTGCCTCTTCTGCCTGTAGATATTCGGGTTTTGTGACATGGGACATGAATTGTCTATGATGTCTGGATTCTTCGGAGTCTTCCTCTCACTTCCACGTACGGCCTGCCGTATGACCCATTTCACCACAGTCAGTCATATCAACGGTTGGTAACTAAAAACAAATGTCAGTCTAAAGCCGAATCACAGGATTTTCATCATGAGCTGACATTAGTTAGAGAACCATTGGAAAACCAACCAGGGAGTACTGGACAGCTGTTTCGTTCTAGTGTGGGACTCTTCACAATACGCACCCACCGGTATTCGAACTCAGGACCTTCTGGTTACAAGGCGAGCTCGTATACCATTAAGCCACTGGGACCCGATCCAGTGGCCCATGAATTCTAACTTCTGCCAATTCACGACATAGCGCGAACCCTAGCCAATGTCTTCGGCGAGTACTTGTCCCCACACCCGACCTGCTGCACCCTACTGGTTACGACTTCTCACTAGAACCCCAGGTGACTACCTACCTGAAAAGGGAAAGTCGCTAGTGGCTAGGGGTCGCGCTATGTCGTGAACTGACAGAAGTTAGAATTCATGCGCTGGCCATTGGATCGGGTCGCAGTGGCTTAATGGTATACGAGCTCGCCTTGTAACCAGAAGGTCCTGAGTTCGAATACCGGTGGGTGCGTATTGTGAAGAGTCCCACACTAGAACGAAACAGCTGTCCAGTCCTCCCAGGTTTTCCAATGGTTCTCTAACTAATGTCAGCTCATGATGAAAATCCTGTAATCAGTCAAATCCCTACAAACCAACACTTGAATATTAAAGCCGAATTAGTCCGAATAATGAGTGCTCACAGTTGAAATTTCGAATTTTTTATGTTAACACTTATTTTACCTGAAGTATTCAAGTTAGTGCTGAGTAGATACATTGACCAGGAACTAATCCTGTGTCAAAAAGTTAGAAATACTTTCCATCTTTTACTCAAAATATAACTAATTCATTTTGGTGGCCCTAGACAGCAGTGTTTAAATTTGTCTTCTAATAATTGTCTCTTTTTTTTGGAAACATAATCACAAACATTTCATTACATTTAAACCTCAAGAGATTTTGTTGTATATGCTACTAACTGTTCATTTAGAAGGCAAATAAAACTACAGAGGATTTTTTTATTTCCCCGACTTTTATGCATGAGTTGCGGTCAATATTCTTCTCATCTTCTACCGAAGCTGGATTGTTTTAATTATAAGTTAGGAAGTATATGACTGACTTCTGCGTCTACTTCACTGATGAAATATTTATTTTCAATAATGACATTATTAAAATGTATTTAATTAATTCCCCCTGCGAGGCACTTTATCACTCCTGGTATATTTTATTTGAATTAGTTACTAATAAAACGTCTTTGAAGTGCTTCCGGTAGACAATGGGTATTAACTAATGTCCAGTCGAAGTATCCATTACAGTCCTGCAAACGATTCAACTGTGAACCAGAATGGATCAGTGGTAAAGTCTCTTATTGGAGCAATCTGTGACCCGGGTGAGAATCTCAGAAGGGACGTCAGCATTATTAAGATTTCAAATGAGCACCTTGCCGACTGGTGAGTGCCAACAAGCAGGAAAGCTAGGTCCAAGTCGTCCTGCCGATTGCCTGCAACTATCTAATACTTCCTTTATGCATTACCAATCGAAAGTTTGACTTAACGGTATCATCTGGGTACCTTCGGAACTGAAAAAGAAGCAATCACTGATTCGCTTTCCTTATCATATAGGTTATTTAGACATAACTGACCGAACGGATAATGACCTCAGTTCAGGTGGTTCATGAATGTTAACAATTGTTGGTTTGCAGGAATTTATCTGATTTAAAGTTTTATTATGAGTTAGAGAACCACTGGAAACCATCTAGAGAGTGCCGGACAGTTGTTTGAAACTCTTCAGGTCTATGTACCCAAGGATTGAACCCAGGACCTTCAGATTAAAAGGCCAGCTTGCTGACACAATCAGCTACTGGGATGAAGTCAAATGGCCCATAAATTCTAACTGCTACCAACTTGAGATGTATATTGCAACTGCCCGCCAACGTCGTCGGTGAGTATCTGCCCTCATGCCTGATTTCCTGGATCAGCCTGCTATTCCTGGGATTCCCACCAGAACTTAAGGCAACTTCATTCTGTAGTCAGTCTCACTAGTGAGCACTAGATTAATTTTCGCGAATTGGCAGAAGGCAGAATTTGATGATATTAGATAGTTGGAGGCAATCGGCAGGAAGCCTTGGACCTAGGTTTCGTGCTAGTTGGCACTCTCCAGTCAGCAAGACGTATCTGCAACCTTGAAGGAACTCATGTCTATTCTGAGATTCGAACCCGCGTCATCCAGTGCTGCAGTCAGAGACGTTACCACTGACCACGAAACCTGGGTCCAAGGCTTCATGTCGATTGCCTCCAACTATCTAATATGATCAAATCAATGTGCACCATGATGGCGAGCTACCTAGAATGGTGGCCACATTACAAACCTGACTGATAGAATTCAGTCTGAACCAAAGAGAGGACTAGACACATCGCACTAGTTACTAGTGTCCAATCAAAATAACGCAGAATTGATGGGCTTTTGGACACTATCTCAGTGGCTGAGTGGCAGACGAGCTTGTCTTTGAATCTGAAGTCCCTGATTTCGTTCCACCCGTGGTGTGTTGTGTGTGAGCAATCACAAACTAGTCCTTAAAAGCTGTCTAGCACAGCTTTTAGCTGACATCGTTTCTTGATAAAAGTGTAATCTGAAGTACGAATTTAATGAGTTTTGTGAAAAATGGACAATAAGTTTCGTTTAGTCGAATTTTTCACTCATACTGTGATGTTTGATCATCGATTGGTGTTGTCTAGAGAACTAGTGGGAACCAGCGAGTAAATTGACAGCTGTCTATACCTAATTATGAACTCTGCAGTAGTACAAACTCAAGACCTTTTGGTTACAAGTCAAGCTCGTAGAACATTTAGCTTGTAGAACCTCAACCAATAGTAAGCCCATGAGTCCTAACTTCTACCGATTCATGATATATTGAGGCCAAAACCAGCCAACGTCATCGGGGAATATTTCTCCATACATCTGACCCGGTGGGTCCCAGTCATCATGACTTCTTCCCTCTACATCTCCAGAAAACTTCATTCTGCAGCCAGTCCCTAGCGAGCATCAGATTAATTTTCATGAGTTATTCTGTAGGTATTTGATTTGTTTTAAGTTTGATGAGAAGGTGAAGCCACTTAGAGAACCACTGAAAGTCAGAGAGTACTGCTGAAACATGTTTCGCCCTACTTCATGACTCTTTAGTGGTACACATCCACCGGAGATTGAAATGAGGACCTTCCACTTACAAGGCAGGCTTGTTGGTTTTTAGTGATTCCTCAAATGGCATCAATCCTTGATCAAGCTGGAATCAAATCAAATCCCCTGTAAAACTAAATCATACAATCATACTATTCTCAGAATGTGAATCATTTAGGTGATGCTTTCAAAAAGTAGTTAGATGTCCATGATAATAATTGCAACTTAATGGTTTTATTATTATTATTATTGTTTCCTTTAGTTCCTAGAGGAATATAGGGATTCAGCCGCACGTCCCCATCGCGTTCGGTTCTCTGCCAACGTTTTCGCCTGGCTCCACGTTTGCCAACATGCTCTCATCTCCTCTTCACATGACCTCCTCCATGTCACGCTCATACTGACTACCAGCTTGCCGCTTCGCATTCGGGTTCCACTCGAGCGATGGCCTCTCTTGTGATGTCAATTGATGGTTTTTTTCTCAGAGCATGGCTAATCATCCTCCATTTCTTCCTGAAAATTGTTTGCGTAATCGGTTCCCTGTTTGTTGACTCCCAAAAATCCCTGTTACTGATCTTTTCTGGCCATCTGATCTTAAGCGAAGTGCTAATCGAAGACAGCTGTTGGTGAGGGTCTGTAACTTGTTCGAAGTGCCCTTCGTGACGTGATGCAAAGTCTCTGATCTTTATAGTAGCACTGATTTCAAATTGGAGTTGAAAATCCGGTTATTATTTTCATTTTCATGCTGAGTGCTGTTGACCTCCACACAGACTTATGGAAGCTTACCTTGCTCTTCCGATCCTCGCTGCCTTGATATCCTCATCAGTTCCGTCCGTCTGTAGTTGAAGCGACGATGCTTCCCAGGTAGGTAGGTAAAGGAGGTTGCTTTTTTCAGATTCCTTCCATTTATGCAGATTCTTGTCATTTGTTGTTGTTGCTGTTAGCCAGGAATCTTCATCGCCTGCCTCTGTTTTCCTCATGTCCACCTGAAGGAAGTTCTATCTTTGATGCTTCTTCTGCAGACTTGTTGCTTTCAATTTGAATATCTCCCGGTTTGTGCGAAATCAGACACATATATCACTGGTGGAGTCCAGATCCTCCAAGTTTTTCGTGTGGGTCCATTTAATGCCTGTACCTGCGCTGCCCGCTCTCTGTCTGTTCCATTATCCAGTCTACCGCAATCAGGAAAATCATTGGAGATAGTAGACATTCAGCCAGCATTGTCTTACTCTCGTCTTCACTTCGAAGGATTCCGTGAGTTTCCCATTGTGGATTACTTGGCATGCAGCACTGTCATATAATTGTTGTATGATATGCATAATGGTTCGTGGCACGCCATAGTAGCGAAGTAGTTGCCGAATCACCTCTCGATCAACGCTGTCTAGTGAAGGCGTTTTCAAAGTCGATGAAGTTGATTGAGGTAGATAGCTGATTGCCATTCCAACCTCTGTTCAATGATGATTTGTAGTGTTGCGATTCAATCGATGCATGACTTGTTTTTCCTGAATCCCGCCTGTTCCGGTCGAAGTTTTTCATCCAGGGCTTGTTTGATTCTCTCCAGGATGATGCGGCTTAGTATTTTACTTGGGATTATTACATTATTATTATAACATTATGATTATCTAAATTACTTTTGGTTAAATTTTCTTGCTATTATTGTTTTGACTTCTTTCTCTATTTATGTGTGTGTGACTTTGCAGCTGAAAATTCAACCCAAACAAAGTCTTTTAATGCAATTAGTTAAATTTAACAATTTTCTATCAAGAAAGGCTATATCTACAGATTTATCTAAATTAATACCAGACCTTGGGTAAGTTGTACATGAATACTGTTTTATTTACATCATAAATTTCTACCTATTTTCAAACGTTATTTGGTGGCACTGCGGCAGAATGCTCACCAACCACTCAGGTAGTTCGAGGTTCGATCCCCGGCCTCTCACTTACTCCCTAACCTCACTAAGCCAGTAATAAGAGTAGTAAAGAGGCAAGGTTTGGCATGAAGCTGGCCATCCCATCCCGTAAAAAGCAAGTACCACTGCTATCAAAACTCCAGGCCTCTAGCTTGAATTGACGAGGATTGGTGATCGGTCTTTCCCAGATTCTTGAAGCAACCACTTAATGATGTTAAGCAACACGCGCTTAACAGCATAATAAGCTCTCCTGATAGCTTGATCGAATCTTCTTTCAGTTGCTTCTTTTAGGTCATCGTCTTAAAATGGTAAATTCATATATGCAGGTTTCTGTGAAACTATCAGAACAGTTTTATTGGAGATAATTTTCTTTCCAGTGTTTGTTGATGATCTCAGGATAACCATTCTTAGATGAAATATACATGAGAGTCTTTATTTAATATTCAATTTTATGGACAGAGTAGACTTTGCCTCCTCTATCAAAAAATGTTTTGACAAAATTCTTTCTAAGCTGGATTGAAACAAGGCTTTTAACTTCACCCTATTTTCAACTTATCAGCTACATTTCCCACAGTGAAACTCTAACGGTGTAAATATATTATTGTGTGCGAAGTAGTTGGCTAAAGAGTCCTTCCAAAATTTAAAGAATATTTACTAGAAATGTATAGCAGCTCATTATTGAGTAACAGGGGTGTCACAATTGATGTAACTACTCAGAAGTGGCTTCGTAAGTAAAAATAAAAGTTGTAAATTACGTAGTACTCAACTGCACAAAGGAAGAAAGTGTTAGAAATTCGATAAGGTTAAAATTGTTATTGAGTGAGAATAAAGATGGTAGTTGAGTATCCATTCAATAAGTGTGAAGAGGGTGAGAAACGTTCAAAAGGAACATATAAGTTTGATAATAGTAAATTAGTTAATAAAGTAAAAACAAACTAAAAACATATTTAAAAAAATTTAATTTTTACAGAGAACGACTAGTAAAGAGATTAAGACCATGGTAAAATAAGAGACTGGACAAACTTTTTCTGTATACCGAGTTCGGGGTTGCATTGACGAATCGGCAACGCCTCTGCCATACACAAATGCTGAAACCTAACGTCCTCTGTACCATTTGGTCTCACCTTGTAGATAATCTTGAAAAACGACTGTGATGGGGCTGCGTGGCTTGAGTTCACCAAGTGTTTGAGATTTGAGCTTGTAACTCTCTCGGATTGTCCTTTTGTTAACCATACCGGATAATGTTCAGATATGTGTTTGGAAAGTGTGCGTTTTGTACGGCCAAGATAACTGGCTCCAAGATAACGGGAACAAGTAAATTTATTGACTCACACTACGTCACCTCTCCTCTACTACTCAATAATGGACTACTAAACATTTTTAGTAACTAAAAATACGACTGTACAGCCTGTGAAGATGATTTCATTGCCGTAGAAAATATTCCTCACTGAATTGTTTGTTATCCTCTTCAAATCCTACTTTATTAACGTTTGCTGCTTCTTTTAAATCTGTAACAGGAAACAAATGTTTCCCGTTATCACAGACATGAGCAGTTCATACTAGATATTTGAAGACAAAGAATAACAGTAAAGCCTGAATATTTCACGATACAATTCACTCATGAATCCTATGGAGCTGTAAAATTTAATTATGTCTAATATCTTTCAGAAAAGTACTTCCCTTAACATAAAAACTGAATGAGAAGTTTGAGCTGCAGCGATACTATCTTAAAGGACAACTTAGAGAAGGCAGTGAGATCAAAATCACTCGTCTGAGCTACAAATCTTCTCTATTATTTCAAAATTAATTCATTTGTGAGAAGAGCTACCCGTTCCTATGAATCAACTCGAAATTTAACTTCTCTTTTACACGATTTTTGATATTTCCATCATCTCAAGTAAACGTTTTGTTTACCTCTTTCGCATTATCAATGATAGCCACACTGACAAGGGGCTGTATCTCTTTCGATCGATATAACCACTGGACTATACAACGGGTATAAGCAAAACACACTCTGTAACATTGAAAATGGGTTTGACTAAAAAGTCAAAAACTAATTAATTTTGATTATTTAGATGATTAAAAGTAGGCTGAGAAAACCTGTAAAACGAAACAAACAAAACAAACAAATAAAATCACACTTAATCGCGCTGATGTTGTTGTTGTTGTTTTCGCTGGCATTAATCACTACTGCGTTCCTCTAAAGGCATAGATTGCTATTTCTGCTCTACAGGATTATAGATATTTCTATTACCAAACCTTAATTGGTTGTCTTAACAACTGACTGAGACATTCTGAGTAGTATATATATGTCCCTATTAAAATGGTAAGAGGAACTACTAATAACTTTTACAGGATATTCCTAAGGAAAAACAGTGGAGGTAAATAGGTGGTGAAAGCTATTGAAGCATTAAATTTTCGACTTGTAGATTTTCACAGCAGTCTCACACTAAATTAGTTATTACTGATCCCTAGTGTTTAACTTCCCATCTTCTTTCCTCTTTACGTTGCAATCTAACATTGGGAGCGCCCCTTCCTGATTTTCCAATTCATAAGTGTATTGAATTGTCTCAACCTTCGAGTTGATGTGTTCGAAAAACCTATCTATATCTTGTGTTCTAAGTACAGTGAATGTGTCATCTGAATACCTCCACCATACTTTTGGGGTGCGGGTGAACGTTTAAATCGCTATGTTTTCCCACTTATCCATGAATATATCTGCTACAACTGTGGATATTGGTGATCCCATGGCAACTCCTTCAGTTTGTTTGTATATTTTCCCTTAGAATTGAAATTCTGGGGAAGTCAGGCATAGCTGCACTCTCAGTATTATGTCCTCAAGTGGCACTTTTGTCCTAAGTTCCAGTTCTCGGTCAGAAATGAGTTCGTTTCTGACTGCCTCCATAGCCATATTTATTGGTATGCGTGTGTATAAACTGGCAATGTCAAAACTAACCATTTTTTCTTCATTATCTAATTTTAAAGTATCTAATCTGTGTTTTAGTTCATAAGAATTTGTTAGTCTAGATTTCGAGTGGCTTTTAGGGGGATTTAAAGCATGGCTAAATATTTATATAATTCATAATTAGGTGAATTTCTAAAATCAACTATAGGCCTAATAGGGTATCCTGACTTATGAACTTTAACAACACTATAAATCCTACTGGGGTTATTAGTTTTGGGCATTAAATTAAACCATTTAGACTCACCTAGAAACGGCTTCATTCGGCGTATAAGGTGCGCTGTGGATTTCTTAACTTTACTCATAACTGTATCTATTGGTTTATTAATTTCCACATATGGTCCTGTTTGTATGTGAGTATTTACCTTGTCCAAATAGTCTGATTTGTTTAATACTACTGTTGCATTTCTTTTGTCTGACTTTGTGATAACTATATCCTTGTTATTCTTAAGGTGTTTCAGGGCTTCTATCTCTTGTTTTGTCAGGTTGGGTTTTCCACATTTTTGTCGTTTTAATGTCAGTACACATTGTGCTCGTATTTCATCAGCCGTAGTTTTGTATATTCCACTTAGTGCTGTTTCCGTTTTAGGGATGAAATCTTCAGGTTTAAGCTTGTCTACTGATACATTGAAATTTAGTCCCTTTTCTAATACACTTATTTCCGTAGGACTTAATATATGTGTTGAGAGATTGATAACCCACTTTGATTTATTGATCGCCGTTGACTTTGGATTGTTAACTTCTTCATTTTGAGATGAAGATTTCTCTTCTAATAATTTGTTGAACTTGAGCAATTATTACTGATCCCTTTGATTTCCCTCCTGGAACATAAAACCTCAGTAACACATTTGCATTTCACCCTGTTCTCCATAGTCCTGTTAAGCAGGCTCATCAAACAACTTCTTCCATATCATCCAAGGATCAAAGCAGAAATTGTTGTTTCTTATTCGGTTTCTACTCAACGTCTAGTCTTGTATAGGGTGACATCCAACAGTTTCCTTGGAGTGTATGTCCAATCCACTTACAATGTCTTTGGAATATTTGTTGAACAATATGTTCTACGATACTGATTACTTTTGGAATAATGCTGTTGTCCACATCAATTAAAACGCTAAGTTGCGTGATCCTGGAGAGAATAAAAGGTGCATTGGATGCAGAACTCCACCACCCACAGGAACAAGCGGGATTTAAGGAAGTCAAATCATGTGCTGATCAAATTGCAGCTCTACACGTCGTCATCACAGAACAGAGCATAGAATGACAGTCAAAACTCATTAACTCAACTTTATCGACTTCGAAAAGGCATTCGATAGACCGCCTTGAAAGCAAATTGATTTCGAAACTACTTCAACACTATGGTGTACAGTCTCCATGTCTTTATCAACCTCATTCAACAGCTGGTTATATACAATGCTTCGTGTAAGGCGATCCACAATGGAAAACTCAATGAGACATTCTAAGTGAATACAGAAATGAAACATGGCTGGCTACTGTCACCAACGGTGACATTCTTAATTGTGGTAGAAACACATTCTAGGATTAGCAGGACTAGCCCAACAAACTGTCTGCAGAAGCAGCTAGCGAAGAAGGGATTCCAAGCGAACAGAGAGAAGACGGAGGTGATGAAGATAATCAACCAACAGTCCTCAACTTATCTCGGAAGCACGGTTTCAGTTGCAGATGGAACACATGAAGTTGACAAAATCGGAAAATTCGGGATAGGCTTTCATCATCCTGAATCCAGTCGGCAAATCTTCTGCACTAACTCAGCAGCATAAACAACAATATCTGGATTTACAACACGAATGTGAAGTCAGTCAGTGCTTATGTACGGATGAGAAACTTGGCCAATGTGTCACGAAAACGATTTCCGACAAGCCACTTCAGACTTTCTATCAACAGCCTCCCCTTTAGCTGGCCCCATGCTAAAGATCAAATGGCCAGCCAGCCAGGCAGAAAGAATTAGTAACAAGAAGCCCTGGCAACAACCCACAGGCTATAGCCGATTGCTTAAAAAATATTTACGAGAATATGGAGATGAATTGGGCATGCGTTGAGGAGGCCGTCGAATGATATCGCGCTCAGTGCAGGCCATTGCTTTAGTGGAATCTGAATAGGAAGCGACGAGTGGATGGTCGGTGCGATAGTGACACGGAAGTGACAGTGTGGCGGAGAAAGGATGAGAAATTACTGTTAGTTGTGGAGCTAGCCAGCTGAAGAGGATGTCGTAGAATAGAACAAAGTGGAGATGTGTTGTTGAAGCCCTATGTTCCACTCGGAACCCTAAGGAATAATAATAATAAATCCCGTAAAAATAATCACCAATGCTACAGAAAATTCACAGCCCTAGCTTGAAGCCCTGTGTTCTAGTCGGAACATGAATGAATAAAAGAACGAGTTAAGCTATATTCCATGTTGAAATGGAAACTAATAATGGTGACAAATCATAAATAAAATTATAAACACAAATAAATATGAAATGGCTAGATATTAGGTTACACAGAGTGTCACATCATTCATGAAATATACACACTTAATCAAGGTAGATAAATCTGTATAAGGCATTTAGAAGACAATATCTTCACTTCACGGCGTTTCGTTCCTATTCAGTATAAACGTTCCCTAGTGAAATGTTTGTTTTAAAGGGCCACAAAACATGTACTAGCGACACATTAGTGAATGAGCTTCGACACATACATTCAATTTTATTAGCTAATGGTTATCCAGGAATCCTTTATCAATTGTCAGAGTAGGGATAGACCACATCTTGAAAAGACAGCTTCCTTATTAAAGAAAGCTATCTTTATCAAACTACTGCTCAAAGGTGATCAAATTACGCCGTTAACAGCCCAAAAACTTCGGTCAGCCATCAAACGCACATTCTAAGCCGCATCTCTTTTTCTCACATGCCGAACATTTTCGATCCCTGTACCTACGATTAAAGGACCAAATTCTGTGGACTTCACTTTAAACTGTATCTACAAGTTCACCTGCCGCTGCGGTGACATCTATACAGGTAGGACCAATAGAATGTTCCAATGTGGTCATCGAAAAGAACATGTTCCAAAATGGTTACAAAAACACATAGAAAATCCCAGTGCACTTCATCTGAATAGAAATCCAGCATCATTCATTGCAAAACACTTATTAATGTCAGGTCACAAAATCAATATTAATGACTGTTTCACAATTATTTCACATAACTCTAAGTTAAGGTTATTAAATGTGATGGAAGCGCTTCGGATCAATCACATGCATCCTATATTATGTGTACAAAAAAAAACAATAGACTTCAACCTTCACCTACCATGGACTACTTCACATATTTAAACATGACTGGTCCTTAGTATGCACTTTTGTTTTATTATGACTGAGAAGTTGTCACGTGTTTTATTTTATTTTATTATCATGAACCATGTTAGCTGTAAAGCGATTAGAGAGAAACTACGAAATGATGCCATAATCTCGCGAAATTTGTCTTCTAAATGCCTTATTGAAATTTATTAAGGGAACTAATTGAAGAAAATATTTCCCTACTACGTAAATAAATTCCATATCGTAAACGCTGATAGGGTGTATATAATGGCATAACCCTTCAGTAACAGTTGCTCTTCTTCAATATGGCTGACAAGTGCCACTGACCACGAAACCGAGGTTCAAGGCTTCCTGACGATTGCCTTTAACCATATAGTAACAACAGCAACAACAATTCAGAGTACATTGTGATGACGAGTCACCTAGCATGCTGGTCACACAGCAGTAAACTTGAATTCAGTCTGCACAAATCCCGTAGACCAGACGCACGATATTGGTCATTATTCTAAGGCTTAATCAAAAAGTGTCCTTTACAGTCTTACAGGAGCTCAGCAGCCAGGCGAAATAGCTCAATGGTAACGTCTCTGACTGTACCACAGGGAGACATGGGTTCGAATCTCAGAAAGGACGTGAGTTTCTTGAAGAATATGTATGCGCCATGTTGATGAGTGCCAAAAAGAACGAAAGCTAGATCCAGGGCTTTCCTCCAATTTCTCCAATCATCTAACAACAATACAGCATTATAAAAATGAAACTATTCCTATCTTTTGACAGGTTACATTCACAGTAAGTCTTGGAACTTTGTGTAGACACTAGGCTTCTCAACGTGAAGAAGTAAAACACTATTGGAAGAGAAATAAATTTTGGACAACAAAAGGTTAACGCTTTATCTTCAGTCCTATCTAGTATCTATGACAGAAAACCCAGGATGTGTTCACAAAATATCTTAAATTAATTTTGCTCAGTATGATGAGATCTCGTCTTTCACATAGGTGTTGATCCTGCGAAAGTTATCGGATTTGTTAGCTTGAACATATGTGTAGTAAAATGCAAAATGTTTTATTATGATGTAAAGTATTCTATATATTTAAAAATATAATTTCATTAATGTTGTAAAAAAAGGTTTCCATTCAAAGAGATTAATTAACACGTTTTGTCATTGTAAATAAATTTTGGTGTATTTCTTTAGCCTCAGTTCCGGTGGTAGTAAACTTCTTCAATATGTTGAAAGTTCTAATATACTCGGTAAGTTATATTATAACTATCTTTATAAACAGTACCTTGTTTATTGTAATTGCACTTTACTGACGAGTGATGTCCATAAATTTAGCAATATGTCATCAAAATATCTACGTAATGAATGTTCTATTCACTTCAAATAGTGCAAATCAGATTGCTTTCCATAAAAGGTTTCGGTATATTATTATCATTATTATTCCCTTGGGTTCCGAGTGGAACATAGGGAGCTTGCCATCATGGTGAACATTGATTTGATGATATTAGATGGCTTGAGGCAGTCGGTAGAAAGCCTTGCTTGACCCAGGTTTCGTGCTAGTTGGCACTCACCAGTCAGCAAGGCGTATCTGCAACCGTAAAGGAACTCATATCCCTTCTGAGATTTGAACCCGTATCACCCAGTGCTGCAGTCAGAGACGTTACCACTGAGCTATTCGGGCTCGCGATTGACCTCCTGTAGGACTGTAGTGGATATTTTGATCGGACACTAGTGACTAGTGTGATATGTCTAGTCCTTAGGTCCAAGGCTTCCTGCCAAAACCTCCAACCATCTAATATCATCGAAGAAGAACATGATGGTAGACTACACTTCCTTGATGTCCAATTGAGCAGAGGAGAGGATGGCTCACTCAAGAGGGATGTCTATAGAAAACCTACATCTGTAGGAAACTTCATATATTTCCTCAATTTTGTATCAATCCTATATAAAAACCAATTTGGTCACATGCTTCACGAATTGAGCAAGACGGATCTGTACAGATGACTCTCTAGAAAATGAGTTAGGATACATCCAAAATACGCTGGTCCAAATGGGTTATCCTAGTAGATTTGTAAGGAGATACATGAACACCAGGTATAATAAAGAGAAACTGACAACAGTTGAAAAGAAACAACTGTTCATGAAACTGAAATTTAATGAGGACTTGGCTATTGAAGTCATAAATCTGAGATTACCGAGATCAATAGAACGGACTTATACTGCCGCCACCCTTTTTCTGTCATTTTGCAGCTGCCGACCACTTATGATTGCTCAAGTGAAAGATAAGCTACCTAGCTGTGCCACATCTACGTGTATCTACAAATTAAGTTGCTCCTGTGGAAAGAGCTACATAGGGCGAACAACTAGACAGCTTAACAAACGCATTAATGAGCATCTTCCTTCATGGTTCGGAAAAGGTCAAGTAAAATCTATAAGAAGTTCTATTTTGGCTCATTTGATTGATAGCGGTCATCAAGTGGACAGAAATAGTGCCTTCAAAGTTATGTATAGCATTTCATTGAGCCTTTCGAACGGAATTCGAACCCGCCTTTTGCACATAGCCGAAGCAATGGGAATTAATTCGAGAGAACAATCCTAGTCTTTGTATGCAAAAGAAGTTTGTCCCACCTTTGTCTCTCCCTCGCTTGCCTACGTGAATTCTAATCAAAAACCTTCCACCCTTTCCTATTTTCCATTTCCTTCCTTCGTGTTTTAGTGATATTTATTTAAACTCTGATTATTTGACCACTTCACTTTTAGTACTAAGTAACGTTTAAGATTTGACCTAATTTATTTATTAAATTGTGTACATATGCACATATTACTACCTTTGTTATTCTCATCACCAGCTGCATAAACCTTATGATCAATATTTTGTTATCATTGTAATCATCGTTATTACTGACGTTCAAAACATTTACCGCATTATTATTATTATTTGATCCACAAAATCACCGTCACTGGTTAAAATTGTAATGTACAAATCTATGTAAATTAGAGTAAAGCCTGAAGAACATCTAATAGAAAACAACAACATTGTTTTTAAAACAATTAGTTTCCTTTATGAATTTAATATATTAAATATTCCCATAGTAAAATTTAGAACAACACATTTAAGCGAACAATATTGTTTTCAGTTAGATCTCAGCAGGCCTAACTCTAATATATATAAGTTTACAAATAAAAATTCAAATATAAACCAGTCATGGTGTTTTGCCGATAGGATAATACGATGGTGAATATAAACTGTGCAATTAGACATAATACTAGTAATAATAATAATATTATTAGTAATAATAAAAATGGTCTTATCAATAATAAGGATGAAAAAGTGAGGCAGTCTGTGATAACACGAATAATGAGAAACAGCATGATTAAACAAACAACTGTTCAGGTGGAAGTAGTCGATAAAGGCTAGTAAAAACAAATGAACTGATTAAGTAATGTTAGATTGTAAGGGAAGGAAATGAAACACGTTTTTAATGAAGATGTGATGAGATTAAGGGATGATAAGAGAGGGGTTGAAAATATAAACAAAGGGAGGTGTAGAAGTCATTAGTTGGTTATGTCTTAACAGGCCAAGGGAGGGATAATGGCTGTACGAACTTTTTTGAATACATAGTTTAGGTTTAATAGTTCGAATGCCTATCGCCTCAGCTGTGTGCAATAGACGAATACGAAATCTATTAGAAAGATTCGGTGGTATACGATGAATTACTTTGAAGGCTCTCGTTTCCCCGATTACATGACCACTATCAATTAAGTGTGACAAAATTGAGCTACGAATTGTTTTTGTTTGTCCTTTGCCAAACCACGATGGGAGATGTTCACTAACACGTTGGCTAAGCTGTCTAATAATACGCCCAATATAACTGTCACTGCAGGTGCAGTTGAAATTGATAAATGCACATAGATGTGGCAAAACTATCAAGCTCATCCTTCGTTTGCGTCCCAATCATTCGTCGGCTAGAGAATGACAAACATAGGTGTGCTGCATAAAATGTTCTCCGTATACTCCTTGAAAGTCTCTGGAATAGAATCTCACTTGATAAGTCACCATTAAATTGTAACTTAATAATTTAGATAAAGCAATGTTAAAAAGACCTTTTATGCAGCTCATATCATAATAATTGTGAATGTGAAGCCAATATGTCTGTCTAAGCCCTTGAAACATGAGAAAAATGATGTCACATCCCAATTTGAATGTATGTGTGGCCAAGCATACATAGGGAGGTCTCATCCATCTCTGCAAGTAAGGGCTAGCTTCATAGCATATTCCTAAATGGCTCCAGAAATAAATGGAATCTTCAGAATCCATTAATGGTGAGAACAGGAGACCCAGCTCCTTTATTGCGAAACATATTCTAGAGACAGGAAATAAAATCAACGTTAACAAATCTTTTAAACCTATCTATAAAACGTGTTTGGGGATTATCCTAAAGTTTGTGGAAGCCCAGCTTGCAATTAGAAAGTTTAATTTCACATATATATACACATTCCTATGACAAGTCCGCGTGTGATCAGATTGTTCGAAATTTGTTGCGCAAATACACACTGCACGATTCAGACAGACAATATTGTTCACTTTTATGTCTTGTTCTAATATTAATAATAGGAATATTTAAAGATTTGAAATACTATTTTATCAAATAATACATGCATTAATTTGGCTCCTTTTTTTCTGTTTGTTTATTCCACAAGAGATATCTGTTCTACTTCTTCAATGGCCTTATTTTATGCCTGATTTATCTATACCAAGGTAAGTAATTCGCTTCAATATACAGCTAACAAAAAATCCTCCATTATAGTATTGCATGCATAATTTCACTTGTTAACTTCTTTTTCGATCGATTACTTTCACGAGTATTTAAAATGTCTACAACGACAATAGTTGGGGTCGCGCTAAAAAATCACGAATTGGTAGAAGTTAGAATTCATGAGCCATTGAATCGGGTCCCAGTGGCCGAATGGTATACGAGCTTGCCTTGTAACCGGAAGGTCCCGGGTTCGAATCCCAGTGGGTGCGTACTGCCGATGATTCCCAAACTAGGATGAAACAGCAGCTGTCCAGTACTCCCTGGTTTTCAATGGTTCTCTAGCTGATATCAGTCCGTGATCAACTCGTAAAAAATATTTCAATATTGTCAAAATAAATTTTGTGGCCTGACTCTATAATGCATGTGGACGTATTACTGATGATTTTTCAAGCTTTTGTAGTTCAATTGGATTTCTCTGTGGTCGAACAGATACTGTACGGTGTTCATTTCTTCTGATTTTGATTTCTGGCGATGTTTTTCAGATGTATATCGCATCACATTCCAAGTATTTTATTTTATTGATATAATTAGATGTAGAATTCTTTGAAATTTGGTCTTTTACATGGACAGGATTGCTTTGTGGTATGTGTGTGTGTCTGATATTTTGAAGAAAACTTTGATGTTGTTTTTATTGAGTACTCCTCTGATATCGTCTGACGTTCCTCATCTATATAGAATGATAATTGTTGACTCTCATGTCTTTGGAATACGTCTTCGACAACATAAAAATTACCTCCTGCTGATGAACAATGATCAATCTGCAACATATAAACTGGGATTTTGTAAATTATGGTTTAATATTATTGCTTTGATACAGATATTAGCAGCAGCATTAAATAGCGAAGTATCATTAAAAACAACAACAGCATCGTTTTGTCTTTCATTCATTGGGAAGAACAATAACTTTTTTCATACAACTGGTTCCCTTGATAAATTTCGATAAAGAAAGGAAGACGAAATTTGCAGTATAAAATGATATCATTCTATTTCACAGGTTCTCATCAGCTGCAGACTACCTGAAATTACAATGGTTATATAAATGATAATAACATACTTTAATGTTTGAGTAGTAGTAGAGAAGAGATAAAATTGACGCATCCAAAAAAGAATGAAAGCATTACAATTTTTAGTTTAAGTTATCATCATCAATTTATACACTTTTAAAGTTGAAAAGAGGGGGGAGGGGTAAGACAGAAAACAGAAAAATTGATTAACAGAAACAGTGTTAGCTTGTAGGTTCACATAGCAACTCCAAAAAACAAAGGCGGTTACAGTTTATGAGATTAAGATTTGTTCAGTGAGTTGAGATCACTGAATTAGATGACTAATTATTGTAATCAAAATCAAAATTCAGTTACCAAGGGAGTGAGAGGTTAATCACACTCTCTTTCTGTATGCATAAGTCTGGTTTAAATCGTTTGATTGCGATCGCTTCGGCAAATCGTAGTAAATTTGCTGTCCTTTGTCTATTTAATATTTTGAAGGACTTAGAAATCTCTACGAGATGTCCGGTATCAACAATATGTCTGGTAATTGCACTCTGAGAATATTTGCTTCCTTTCAGGCATAGGTTTCTTGGAATATGTTCAGAAAACCGGATAGAAGCCCTTCTTTCTGTCCTTCCAATGTACTTGCTCCCGCAAGTGCACGTAAATTCATAAACGCAGTTGGAGGTGACATCAGCAGGGTATTTATCCAGTTTTGAGTGGATTATAGAAGGAGTGGTGTTGTATACTGTTATGAGTTTTGCTGCCGGGAAGCTTCTATTTATTGCTCCTTTCAGTCTTCTGTCAATCTTTTGTGACACTGCATCTCCTTTGAATGGGAGACAAATAAACACTTTTTTCTTTTCTACAGTTGGATGCTTTTCTTTCTTATCTTTTTCTCTGCTATACTTCTGTATAAATCCCTTAGGGTATCCATTTTCCCTCAGGCATTTCTCGACGAAATCTAGTTCTTCTTCGACCTTGTTTGGTGAACATAGCTTCCTGGCTCTATCGTACAAAGTCCTCACTAATCCACGTTTATAGTTTATGGGACAAAAGTTGTTATAGTGAAGATATTGTCCAGCCCAGGTTTCTTTTCTATAGATGGACTTTTCTATCTTACCTTGGTTTGTTCTTTCTCCATTTTGATCCAGGAAATTGAACTCATTATTATGTTCATATTCCATGGTGAACTTGATATTTGAATGGATCTCATTTGGGCGATCATATAATGCCGATGCGTGATCCATGTCGCTGCAAACAATAAATGTGTCATCAATATATCGGCGATAGTAGGTTGTTTCATTGATAGCAGAACTTAGTTGTGTCTGTTCAAGGTAGCCCATGAAGATATCAGCCAGGATAGGTCCCAGTGGTGAACCCATCGCGACCTCATCAATTTGTCGGTAGAGTTGATTGTTGAATTTGAATTGTATATCTCTTGTGCAGAGCAGCAGTAGTCGCTTCATCTCTGTTTCCGGTAATGACTTTTATAATAATGAAATCAGATAAATTTTAAAAAATATAATAGAGAATTTATGAATCTGTTGGTTCTACAGCAGACAAAAATAGCAATAGTGGCTAAACGTGTTTTTTTTTGCACACAGATCTTTGTTTGCTTCAAGCAAACTGCTATGACTTCTGGTTTTTATTGCGGTAAGTATTTATAAGGTTTCCGGAATTTATTCGGTATTCACTGGGCCATGGAAAAATACTCTCCAGTGGCCCATATGAACAAAATTATCTAGTATAGGATTCACATTTGATAGTTTTACCCGACACTCTTATTTAACCACAACATTGGTAGACGCTAACGAGCTTGAAGATTTAGCTTTTGGATGAGATAAAGTATAACTAAGTGAAAAGTGAGATACACCGTAGTACTACTTAAAAATGTAACAAACTCCAATCCGGAAATTAACTTAATCAACTTATGTGATAGAAAATATTTTTATTTTTCATAAAGCCACACCTAATGAAAAAAATGTTTGCTCATCATAAATTTTAAAAATATGAAACGCCTTTGGTTAGTGAATTTCATCATGAGCTGATATCGGTTACAGAAGCATTGGGAAACTACCAAGAAATACTGGACAGCTTTTTCTTCAGCCTAGTTTGGGACTCTTCATCAGTATGAACCCAACACCAGGGTTCAAAACCAGGACCTCCTGGTTACAAGGCGACTTCGTAGACTGTTAGATCACTGGGACTCTAACCAGTACCCTACTGGTCACGACTTCCTACTAGAACCAAGGTAACTGCCTACCTGAATAGAGATAGTCGCTAGTGAGCATCTCATTGATATTCAAGTATAAGTATGTAACGCCTTTACTGACAAAATATGTGTTCAGTTTGAAAATCGAATTCAACGCACCTATTATTCACAAACCATTAATGAATGTCAACTACTTGTAAAATGATCATCTTCAAGCGTTAATTTACAGGGATTTGACTGATTTAACGATTGATCAAGACTTAATTTCGGTATGAGTACCATGGAAAACTAGATAGTATTAGAGAGCGGTTTAGCCTTAAATTGTCTCTCTTCATCAGTACGCACCTATGGCCCTACTGTCAGGTTTCGAATGCAGGACATTCATATCAACAGGTGAGCAGGTGTACCATTCCCCTGCGACCAGTTCTAACTCCTAGCACTTCATGAAATATATAGCGAGCCCAACTTTGATCATGGATTACCGTTAGGACTTCATTGGCTTAATCCTGTAGCCAGTCGCTGGTGAGCACCTGATTGGTTTTCAAGTATATGATTGCAGGGATTTGATTGCATTCAACATTGATCACGAAGCAGGTTCACTTTGAGCACCATTGAAAACCAGCAGGGAGTACTTGGATGTGATTTCGTCCTTATTTAAGACTCTTCAGCATTGGTGTAACCAGATATAACCTGAAGCTTCTGGTTTTGAGCCCTGGTGGCACTATGGCTTTGTACCTCTTAAGAGTCCCAAAGGGGACGAAACAACTGTCTGGGACTCTTGACCACTTTTTACTGGTTCTCTAACTGATGTCAGTATGTGATCAAAGATCAATATAACATAAACATACGTTTCTTAATTTGTTACAAGGAGAATACGTAATTGTTACCTTTGGTTGAAAGCAGTACACTAGAAAATGTATGAATAAGAAATCATGTACACTGTCTCCACCAAGTAAAGTTTTCGAGGATATGTGAAGAAAGTGCCCCCAAGCATTTAACATTGAACAAGGCTACCCTAGATAATTAATGGATGTACTTGTACTGTTTCTGAAAAATTAACAGTTATATTGAACAATATCCAATATTGAGGCATTTTAAAATCTCCAGTTTCATTTTTTCAAATTACTCAGTTATACTATTTGTTTCTACAAATAAAACTGATGCTTTTAAAGTTATAAAATATTTTTTATCACTCCTAACGGAATATCTTCATCTTCTTTCTATACCAGATACTTAAATTGTGGATATTTATGGCATTCAGTAGCCAAAATTATATCGAATTTAATTATCGACAATAGTAAGTTGTGTTTTTTAAATCTTTCCATATTATTTAAATCCTAAAGCTCATAAAGTAAAAAGATAGTTTTATCATTCTGTCGGCCATATCTTCAATATCTGTGTCAAAGTATACTTTAAAATGATTAAGAATCCGAAACCCTTTTTTTCCAATATATCTCAATGGTTACAATTTGTTCCTCATTAGAATTTAAGACACCTCAAAATTCTACAAATTCGTGTTATTGAACTCAACTACTTAAATTTAATTTAGTAGTTAACGCCACATTTGAAAAACCTGATAAGTTTGTCGTAACATTTGAAACGATGGGTTGATTGAATGAAATAGTTATGGAAATCATAAAATTTATTGAGCATGGAGTGAGGATAAATTATGTGCCACGCGTCACTCAGAGGGATAGACGGCGATAATTGAAAAGGCGGATTATATTGGATGAAAATGTAAAGCTGGACTGGCATTACAATTAAGAGTGTTTATCGTCTGATTTCCGAATAAATATTAATAACGACTATGTAACAATGAGAACAAACGAATGTTGCTTACTTAGAGTACCTCAGTAAATTGGTAGCGTCTCTTGTCTTACACTTTTCTCACTACATAAAATGTGTGCTAAAGAAGATATCGTACATATAAGTATAAAACTTGGACACTGTGTTGAAGTATAACTCCATAATGGATAAGATTTTATTTTGATAAATCACACAGTGTTTTACAGAAATATTAACTGATGACCACGTTTCGAGAAGAAACTATTGCCACTCATAATCATATCAGGTCACTCACACAACTTTTTACTTCATCTATATACATGAGTAAAATTGATTTGACATTCAATTTTATTTTGTTGATAATACGCTAATATTATTTCTGAATGTATTTTATCTTCATTCAAATGTCTAGTTAATTTTACTCATGTTTATAAATGAAGTAAAAAAGTGGTTTGAGCGGTGCCTTGATATGATTATGAGCAATAGTTTGTGCTCGAAACATCATCAGTTAATATTATTACTACATAACACTGCGTGATTTATCGAAGTAAAAGGTATCGTAGAGTTTTTGTACTTAGTCGTCCAAGCATGCAGTCTTCTATAGTTGCTTCTACTTCTACTCGATGAGATGCAAGGAGAAAGTTGTGTATACGGAGGATGTTTAGAGTGTGACACGATAATATTTGGTAATTTTTTGCAGGAATCCAAGTGTCTATCTACAATAGTATTAACAAGCTGTTTTAGCACCACCCTGCTTCTTCTATCTGTTATGTTTCATCATTTAGGTCTTTTCTTGTAATACTTAGTGTTACTGCTCGATTTGTTAGACACTTGACTAAGCCCTCATTTACAGACAACGCATGAGATGAATTGAAGTTTAAATATTTATTAGCAGAATGCGTTGGTTTTTTATAAACGCTAGTATGCAATTTACCTTCTTGTGTTCGTTTGATTTTACAATCAAACAAAACTAATTCCCCTTGTTCATTTGTTAGACTGTAAAATGAAAAGAACAGAAGAAATTAAACTGCACACTACCGTTTATAAGAAGCTAACGCACACTATTAGATATTAGACTTTAATTCATCCCATTTGTTGTCTGTGAAGGCTGGCTTAGTTAAGTGACTAACAAACCGAGCAACAAAATCACTAAGAAGTACAACAAAACACCAAAACGGTGAAATGATACAGATAGAAAAATAGCTGGTTGGTGTCAAATAACTATCCTGTAAAATTCATTAGGAAGATAAAAAATTTCAGAAGTAAAATAAAAATAATGGCAAAATTAATGATAAAATAAATGGGAAAGAATTTAAGACATTTACAGTTTTGCCATATAAGGAGGGGATATCTGAGACCTTCCCTACGTAAGATTCTCAATAAAGCAGGAATTAGGGATAAATTAGACCTAAAACCTCACTCAGAGACAAGTTCTGCAGGCTAAAGGACACCATGGACCCAATGAAACAAAATAATATAATTTACAAAATACCCTGCAATGACTGTAAGGTCAACTACATAGGTGAAACTAGTAGAACGGGGATTGTCAGATTGTTTGAACATGAGAATTTAGCTAAGGTCAGAATGATTGATCCCACGAAGATTAGTAATTAAGAAAAGAACTCAGCAACAGCACTGCATCCATTCAGACACGACCACACAATAGGCTGGTGGGAGAGGGTTAAAATTCTAAGAAGTAATATAGGTAGATGGAGAGAGTTAGAGGTTGATTACTGAATCCCGCATGGTTCATCGAGTCTACACCCAACACATGTAATAGGAATGACTCATCACTTATGCCAGAAATATATAAAATATTACTACCAATAGAATCAAGCGATGGAAAATAATGGAATAATAAAAACGAAGTTAGAAAGTTGTGTGAGGACCCTGATATGATTACAAGTAGTAAATTTAACACTGTCAGTAAATTTTGCCCACAATGGAATTATACTCTACCACAGTGCACAAGTTCTATTCTTAAAGTTTTGCTGGGTTTTTATGCTGCTCCACTAGTCTGACTGACTGCCCCTGTTCTAATACTTTAACCTATGTATTTTACCTGACAATCATTGAAGCAGGGTATTAGATAAACTAAATTGTTTTGTTTAATTGGCTCCACAGGATTGATCCTCTAACTGACGAAGCTTATTACTAATTCAGTCTTTGGGTTTGAATGCCAGCCACTTTAATTCCTGCATTGTTGCGAATTCCCCGTAAGGTTTCTGAGGTTCCTTCCTCGTATGGAAGTACTACTACTGATTTAGATTCCGTATTTTTGGTGTTGTCACCATTCTGGTCATGTCTGAAATACACGTCGTCATTAATAAAATCATTATCACTATCATTGCTATTATTATTTATTTTATTTTTACATTTTCCTACATACTTTCTAACTTATTTATCAGGGTAATTATTAAGTTTCAAAGCTTCTCCTATATGTATCACTTCCTGTCTAAGATTTTCCTTCTTACTACTTAGGTATTGTGCTCTATCACTTAAACATCTCACCAATCCTATTTTTACTGACATAGGATGGGATGATCAGAAGTCCAAATATCTGTTTGAATGTGTGGGTTTCCTGTAAACACTAGTGTTTAACTTCCCATCTTCTTTTCTTTTTACGCTACAATCTAATATTGGAACCTTCCATTCCTGACTTTCCAACTCATGAGTGAATTGTATTGAAAGTTATGTTGCCCTCACGACAAATAAGAAAGAATAGAAGGAAACCTTAAACCTCAAGTTTCTAAGTTTTGTGATTATAACTGATATAATTATGAACAATAATGAATTTTGTTCGAAACTCCGTCATCCAGCAAATAATACTGTTTCACTGACTTCGTGATATATCTAATAAACAAATTAATTTGAAATTACATACTAACATAATGCTCAAGATTTATAGTTAAAGTTTGATTTCATTTAGAGATACACTGAAAACCAGATACTAGAGGACATCTGTTTCCTCCAAGTTTTTGACTCTTCGACAGTACCTACCCAATGCAGCTCGAACCCAGGAACTTCATGTTACAAATCAGTCTCATAGACCATTCAGCCACTGGGATTTAAACAAATGACTAGACCATGAATTCAATCTTCTAGGAATTTTTGATTTTGGGGTGAACACCAGATTATGTCATCGGTGAGTATTTGTCCTCACTGTCGACCAGGTAGGTACCACCGGTCTGGAACTATTCCCTTTGGAACTCCAAGCAACTTCGCACTGGAGCCGGTCACTAGCGGATTCAGATTGATTTTCAGACAGCTGGCTTGTGGGCATTTGGCTTGCTTCCAGTTTGATCGTGGATTGATGTTAGTTATGATTCAATAAGAACTTTTAAACTTGTTAAATATTGCACATTCTCGAATAGTTACCACGTCGTAAAATGATCTCGATTACCTCATAATATATCACCTTATCTTATTTAAGCATATGATTTGTTTACTACTAGGGAGAAGAGATCACAGTGGCCCTCGTATCTTCGCTCTGTTAAATAAGTTATGTGCATGGAGATACTCTTCGAAAATTAATATCACATCGAATATCATAAAATAAATGACGTCTATACTGGCCAATCCATGAGACTTACTCAGTTTTCTGAAAACTAGCAGAGACGCTGAAGAGGAACTGCTTTCTAAAGATGGAACACAGTTCGTAGTGGTGATTTAATGTCGTCAATGAAATAATCTAAAATTTTTTCTTGATTCAACTATTTAAATTTATGAATGGTTTATTTACATTGTGAGTTAGTCATTTAGTGACAGAATGCTCGCCAGCTATGTGGATGGTCCGATTTTGATTCCTGGTTGACGCTTTTTTCAGCTTGCCCTATTTCACCAGCTGATAGCAGACCTAGAAGAGATGAAAGCCCGGGTGTGAGGCCAGCAACTCAACCTCTCATAAACAGCACAGCGACTGTAACTACAGGAAGTTTGAATCTCCGTGTATCACTTCGGATTCAAGGGATGAAAACAACTATATTTTTATTAAATGAATTAAAACTGATTTGAAATGTGAAAAAAAGATCGATTAAACACAATATCGTTTTCTTCTTTTTTTGTTTCCTCTAGAATGTTTTGATGTGAAAAGTTTTTATGGAAGTGATACAAGTGAATTTGAACGATATGTAAGAAAATTTTTATTAGATTCAAACATGCTGGTAAGTTGGCCTGAGCTTTTTCTGCTTGAATTTCATTCTCCTCTCTGAAGTTATCCTTAACCGGCCCCAGGAGTGCTCATAATCTCTCGTATACTCTCCATCACACAGTATCCTTCACACTACTCTTGGACCTACACCAAAGTCGTCGTTCCCTCGTCGAGGGTCTGTCATACCTATTATGTCACTCAATGGTCTACTCAGTGTGTATCCAGTCCATCTCCATTTACTTCTGTAAACTTGTTAGAGTATTGCTTCTTGACTGGTTCCTTCCTTCCTAGCTAGGGATCTGATCTTTAGCACCGAGTCAACGAAGGCAGATATTGATCAATGTCAGCAGCAGTCTGTTTGAAATAACTCTGGTGATGAAAGTGTCAAATGTGAACTTTGTCTGTTATTGATTAGTAGAGTAGATTTTCCAGCTAATTTAAGATTAACGAAAATCTCTCCTGCTCTTCTGATCCTACCTCCCTTCGGCATTGTGATGATGCAGACTAGGCAACTGAAATAAATGACTTCCTTTAAATTTCTCCTGTCAATAGTCAGGTATCTTCATCACTTCTGTCTTCTCTACGTTAGCTCGAAGCCCTGCATTCACTGCTATCCTTTCTCTCCTGCTAACTTGTTGGTTTACCGCTGTAGATCCCCTAGTTTGTTTGACATTTAAAAAAACATCCACAAAGTTCATATCGTCCACAGTCTTCTTATCAGCCAAACGTATTCATGTCTTCTCGCTCCCCAGAGGTCTATGGCATAGTCCAGTACACCACAAACAGGAATATCATCAGTGATACTACGCATGTGTACTGTCCACCAGTGTCTCTCTTCTCTCCTTTATGGCTCTAAGACACGGTCATTTACAGTGGAAGATATGAAAAGGCTAGTTGTCTTTCATCATAGATGCCTGTCTCTCATCTTTAGTGGTATAATATAGTGAGTAATACTCAGACTAGGCGTACAGTGTTAGCTAAGTTGGGTAAGTCAATCGATGAGGTGGTCAAGGGGATTCAACCAAGATGGCGCATTAGCATGCCTGGCTACCACCTTCCTCTCTACAGGCAATGTCAGACGATATGAGATTACATTGGAAAACAGTTAGAGGTAGTCAGACCAAAACTTGGAATCAGTCCATGAAATTTTTGATAGTTAGCTTGAGCGACATATGGAGGCATAATGTGCCCAGTTTTATCCTTGAGATCCAAAGAACTAATGGCTTGAGATAGTGCTAAAGATGCATTCTCTCTTTATAGCCTACTATATTCATTAAAGCTAGTTCTTTTTAATATTACTATTATTTCTCCCTCATATTTCTTCTTATAATGATACTTTTGAATCCCTTTTCCTCGTTTTTGTCTGTCCTTGAAGTTAACTGTTGAAATTTATTCAAAAGCAGTCATATGTATTTGCACTATTCTCTTGCAGAACCAGCTTCTCCGAGTAAAATTATCTATACCTTTAATTCCCCTATTTTGCTTTCTTCTAAGGATCATTGGACATCATGGTCGAAAACACCGCATATCATCCAGTCAACTTTGGCTATTGAAATCACTGGACGAATATATGAAGAATATTTACAAACAAATCAGAATCAACCAGATTCCAATTTACCAGGAATATTTTTTACAACTAAAGAACTATTTTATCAATGGATATTTCAAGTAAGTGTGTGTGATAATGGTGACAGTTTGATAAGGGTGCTAGGTTCAGTCAACTAGCGATCATAGGATTTTGTATATGCAAGACTTTATTCTCAAGCTGTAGAATCGTGTATATACGAGAAGCAGTGAAAACAGGATTCCAGGTGAACATAGAGAAGATAACCAACAGAAAACAACAAGCACCAGTCAATGTCAACGAGAGACATTTGAGAGAGGTCAGTTCCTTCACTTATCTAGGAAGCAGGGTTCCAATCACAGGCAGGCGGATAGCACGGATGAATATGTCAAAACCAGCCAGTCAGAATCGGAAAAGAAATATTGAAAATATTCTGCACTAACTCAGTTAGCATAAAGAGCAAGATTCGGATTATATTCAACAGAAATGTGAAGTCAGTCAGTGAAAAAGATTTCCAATAACCTACTGCAAGCTTTTTTCAGCAGCTGCCCATTTCGCTGGTCGCATAATGAAGATAAAATGGCCAGCAAGAAAGAATTACTAAAAAGAAACCCTGGCTGGCTGGGAACAAACCACCAGGCGAGAGCTGATTGCTCAAAAAATATGTGGGAGAAACTGTAGACTGATTGGGCATACGTTTGAAGAGGCAGTCGACTAACATCGCACTCAATGCAGGTAATCGCTCCAGCGGGATACCAATGGGCATTGACGGGTTGGTCGTGTGTTCGAAAGTGACCTGGAGGAGATCATGTGGCGAGTTGGGGGTGATGAGAGATAATGGGCAGCCGTGGACCCAGTTAAAGAGGATGTTGGAAAATAGAAGAAAGTGGAGATGCGTTGTTGAATCTCCCTGTTCCACTCAGAACCCAAAGGAATAATAATAGTAATACAGGAGTTTCCAAATCACGGATGTCAGTAGAAAGTCAAACTGTTTGCTTAATAACTAATACAATAGTTAAGGCAAGTAAAGCCGAGTAAATTTTAACTTAGTCATAGATGCATATATATGCTTCCGAATTAACCCATACAAAACCTATGGATACTGGCGTGTGCATTAAGACGTTTTCATGTCATAAGTCTTATTCTTTTAATTAAATAACAATACCTACAAATCTTAAAATAATACTTTCCACTATTTGTCATTTTATTCTCCACATCCAGCTTATCTGTCCTGGATTCGACTACAGCAATATTATAACGCATAATCAAGTTTTATTGAACAGTATGAAAGAATGTGATGCAATTCGTACAGCGCTGAAAGCATCGCCTACATTTAGATGGCTTATGAATTGTCCAGAATCGCCTTCGTCTTCACATAGGAAAACTGGCAGTTAACTGTATGGAGCCTATTCATCAACTGAAAGCTGTAAATCAATATTTTTTTAATATAAAAATACATCCAGTTCAAGAGGTGTCAATATCTGCTTAGAGATTTATGTGATGGTAATAAAAGTATCAGAAATTATTTGTACATATGAAGAAAACAATTGATAAATAAATATTCATTTGATTTCGTTTATTTTTTATGAAGTGGTGTAGGGTTGCTAGCCCTGCGCACAACCTTCCCTCTTTACCTGGGCCTAGGACCCACTAGAAAACTAGCAAGCTAGTTAACTAAGGCACCCTTTATAGTTTTGAAGGAAAAACTACAATGGATGCCTTCACTACAGATCAGATCAGAGAAAAGTCGGAAACATCATGTAGCATCACTGCGGAAACCTTCGTGGAAGAACATTGGGACTCTCTGAAGCCGATGTTCAAGGAAACGTGTACAAATGTTCTAAGAAGAAAGGAAAGACACGACAAAAATTGCCTGTCAACAGATTCCTGAAAGCGAATAAAAGAGAGGAAGATGGTGAAAGAGAAGATAACTCAATGCAAAGATGACAATAGAAGAAGAAGCTGAGTTCAATGTATACCACACTGAATAAAGAAGTGAAGAGGAGTGCTAGAAAAGACAAACGAAAATTATTCGACACACTGGCAGGCAACTGAAGCAGAACAGGCCGCAGGCAAAAGAGACATCAAGACACTATATCAGATAATCAAGTCTCTCTTCGGGAAGAGATCAACCCAGGTGATGAAACTAGTAAAACATGCTCAAGGGAACCTGATCACCAAGGAGGAGAAACAAATCAAACAATGGGGCTGATCACTTTAAAAAATTCTTGAATCGACAAACACCGGCAACTCGTCAAGAAATACCACCAACCATAACAGCACTCACAGGATTGCCTGCCAGTGAACATCAACCCTCCAACGAAAGCAGTAATCCTGAATGCGGTCAAGCTACTGAAGTCCGGCCTGGAAGGCAGCAGGACCAGACGGCATTCCTTCCGAAGCACTGAAGACGGCCCCAGAGATTACGGCAGATGTTCTCATCCATTACTGCAAAAGGTTTGGAAAGATGGAAGGTTGCCTAATGATTGGAAGAAGGGATACCTCGTCAAACTGCCGAAGAAGGGCGACCTAGGTCTATGCAAGAACTGGCGTGGAATAATGCTCTTGTCCACGCCAAGTAAAATAGTATAAATAAAAGATGTAGTAGTAGAAAAGTAGTGGAATAAAAGATGTGCAGGATGCAAAGCTCCTACAGCCTGGAATAAGATGGATCCAGGAAAGGCAAATCCTATGCTGATCAAATTGCAACTCTACGGATCATCACCTAACAAAGCATAGAATGGTGGTCAAACCAGTACCTCAATTTCATCGACTTCGAAAAGGATTTCGACAGAGAGCGTTGAATGAGAATTAATTTTGAAACTGCTTCAACACTACAGCGTGCAGTGCCAAAGTTTTCATCAACCTCATTCAGCAGCTGTATTACAATGCCACAGTCAGGTGATCACAACGGAAAATTCAGTCAGACGTTCGAAGTGAATACAGGAGTAAGACAAGGCTGACTGCCTATTATCACCGATGATATTCTTAACTGTGGTCGACTGGAGTATGTGTCAGAGTGTGCTCAGGCAGTGAGAAGACAAGAATACGCTTTACTTACCGATAAGAAGATTCTAGAAGATCTGGATTTCTCGTATGCATGATTTATGTTTAATGTCACACAAACTCGAAGACTAACAGGCAGGCGAAGACCAATAAACTGTCTGAAGAGCCTGGCAGCCAGTGAAGACAGGACTGCAGGTGAACATAGAGACGATGGAGGTGATGAAGATAACCACGCACCACAACCACCAGCAACAACAACCAACACCAATCACCATCAACGGGAGAGATTTAACAGTGGTTACTTCCTTCACTTATCTAGGAAGCACGGTTTCAATTACAGGACAGCGGAACGGATGACGATGTCAAAGACAGAATCGGAAAGGCAAGATACGCCTTAATCAACGAACCTGAAAGCAGTTTGGAAATCTCCCGCACTCAGCACAAGGATCAAGATTCACATTTTCAACACTAACGTCAAGTCGGTCCGTCTATACGTGTCAGGAAAATGATTTCCAACAGGTTGCAGACTTTTATCAACAGCTGCCCAATTCGCTGGCTCCATAATGAAGATTAAATGGCCAGCCAGACAGAATTAGCAACAAGAAACTCTGGCTAGCTGGGAACAGACCAACAGGTGAGAGCCGATCACTAAGCAAATATGCAGGAGAAAATGGAGGTGGATGGATCGGGCATACATTGAGGAAACAGTCAAATGACATCGTACTCAATGCAGGCCATCGCTCGAGTGGAATCCCAATGGGGAGTGACAAGTGAGTCTTAGGGGCTAGGGTGATGTGCAAGAGATCCTGTAAAGAGACGAGAGACTGTGGGCGGCCGTGGTCCGAGCTAAAGAGGACCGCAGAAAATAGGATAAAATGGAGATATTTTGTTGAAGGTCTCCCTATGTTCTACTCGGAATTGAAGTGAATAATAATAATAATTATACTTCTAAACGGAAAGGTATACTTTAAAGAATATTCTATTCAAAGAAAATTTCTATAGCCAGTGAAGCTTTGTAACAATCAATGCTTGTGACTGCAGCTAAGGAAATAAATTATTGTAAAAATATTGTGAGTAAATATTAGATAAGAGTAGATTCACTCCTAAACAATCCATAGTTAAATAACTAGTTGTAAGATCTTAATAAATATATACATTGTATTCTATAATTGCTTCCTTCGGTTTCGAGTGAAACATAGATAGGACTTCAGGTGAACATAGAGAAAACAGAGGTGATGAAGATTCCTGGGCAACACCACCAACAGCAACAACAACAACAGACAACAATCAGCATAAATGGGAGGAACCTGAAAGAAACAACCTCCTTCACCAACCGACCTGGGAAGCATCGTTTCAACTACAGGCGCATGAAACTGACGAGGATATCAAAGTAAGAATCGGAAAAGCAAGACAAGCTTTCACTACTCTCAAGTCTGTGTGAAGGTCAACAACACTCAGAATCAAAAATAAGATCCGGATTTTCAACTCCAATGTGAAGTCAGTGGTACTCACTATACGGATCAGAGACTTGGCGCGTCATAAAGAGCACATCAAACAAACTACAGACCTTCATTAACAGTTGTCTTCGCTCAATACTTCGCTCAAGATCAGATGGCCAGCCAGAAAAGATCAGCAACAGGGATATCTGGGAGCGAACCAACCCAGCAGGAACCGACTGTGAAACAAATATGCAGGAAGAAATGGAGATGGATTAGCCATACTCTGAGTAAACCATCAAGTAACATCACTAGACAAGCCCTCGAATGGGACCCGAAAGGGAAGCGGCGAGTTGGTCGTCAGTGCAAGGGTGACTTGGAGGAGGTCATGTGAAGAGGAGGTGAAAACGTGTGGGCAGACTTGGAGCCAGGTAAAGACTCTAGCAGAGAACCGAACGCAATGGAGACGCACGGCTGAAGTCCTATGATCCTTCAGGAATTAAAGGATACAATAATAATAATAACAGAGTTTCAACAGCACATCTTCACTTCATACCGCTCTCTGCAGTCCTGTTCAGCTGGCTCTACAATTACCTACGAGCTCACATCTCCTTTTCTTTGTGATCCTCGTCTTTCAGCATTTCGGTTCCACTAAAGAGTCTTCTTGGTATGTGTTGTCACTCAACGGTCTCTTCAGTTTGTGTCCGATCCATCTCCATTTCCTTTGGTATAATTGTCAGTTGAGCAGTAAGTTACTGGTTGATTCATTCCCAGATTTCATTGTTACTAATCCTTCCTGTCTATATGACTGACCTACAGTAATGAGCCAACAACAAAGACATTTGTTAAAAAAAAACTTTGCAGAGGTCTATTGGAGATACTTTCAGTGACGCCGTAAGTCTCTGAACCATATGGAAGACTGACATAAACCAAAAATGCCTCAGTAATCCTTCAAGTCCATGCTAGAAACGTACTGATGCCGAAACCGATGAATGTGATAAGATTGATAATAACGAATACGAAGACATATTCAGACAGCCTTTAATGTAGTAGAATACTTGGAAGTTTATTCATCTCAAAGAAGTTTTGGTGTAGTTATAAGGTTTACAAGTATTTACTTGTAATAAACAGCTCAAGCATTTTCATACGGAAGATTTCAGGAAGTAGTTGGATTTGATAATTTACACTGTTGAGGGAAACCAATATAAACTGAAGACGATAAATGAAAACATTGATGAAATGCGAACACAACTCCTAGCTGAAAGATAGGGAGTGAAGTAGTGGCTGAACGTGTTGACCACTTCACTTATTTGGGGAGTTGCATCAGCCATTTCCAGTGGGCTCATCGCTGAAGAAATTACAATACGGATACAGACAAATTACGCCATCTCTGGCGTAGATGTGATATCCGGTTGGCTGTCGACCAACGGACGTGTGTACTGCTCGTCAGTTCGCTCTGTCCTCCTCTATGGCTGTGATTGAGACATGGTCATTGAAAGTGGAAGACATGAAAAGGCAGGCTAGCTGTCTTTGATCATAGGTGCCTGTGTTCTGTCTCCCGTGTTAAGTGGTATAATAAGGTGAGCAATATTGAGGTTAGGCGTCGGTCGAGTGCTAGGTAAGGAGAGGAAATCAGTCGACGAGGTTGTGAAGTAGTTGCATCGATTGAGATGATGAGAACGTGTATTACGTATACCCATGCCTCGATAGGAAATGTTAGCTGACATAGGATGGATCAGGTTGGAAAAGTGATAGCTAGTGGTGGTCAAAGCAAAACCTGACTTCATCAGTCATTGAAGTCCAGAACAGTTAGTTTAAATCAGCCACGTCGGGATGTGTAGACTTCCTGACTAGTTAGGGTCCTTGAGGTTTTAAAAACCAGAGACTGGAGACAATCAGTGGATATGGATCAAAATCTTTCTCAGTGGCTGATGCAGACGCATTCATTCTTTGTGTTCTTCCATATCACTATTCCTTTTGTCATATATTTCTGTTTATTACCTCTCTTTACTTTCTTCTCTTGCTTTGTATGCTACATGAAGTGCAGCAACTCGAACTGTGTTGTACATCTGTGCCAAGTTCTACGTTGAAACCAGTCAGTCAGTTTGACATGCCACTTAAAAGAAAGTGACCTACAATTTCATTCAGGATTCTGAATTTCTTTTAAGCAAGTTTACGGAAATCTCAGAGAGATATTCCACTTTATAGCAGTTCAATAAGCAGATTATTCTGCAAATTCGAATCGATTTAATCCCATGGAAACATATTCAGCTTCATCAGCATTAAGAGCCACAAATATCAAAGGAAATATTATTATGACATATGGGAGAACGTACAGACCATGGTGCTCTATCTACATCATGACTTTAAAGAGTAACCAGCAATTTTCATACCTCCTTTTTCAGTACAGTGATAATGATCTAAATTATACAGTTTTTGTTCAGCGAAGAAATTTCTTTTCAACGACTTCATTTTCAAGCTGTACAGTCGTATTTATATTACAGAAAAGGTCATTAAGTGGCACTAAATAATTGCTCAGTCGAAGAAGAGTCGAATTCCTCATTTCACTTCCTTGATGTAAAGCTAGATAGAAGAGAGAATGGCACGTTGCTAAGGTCGATTTACCGAAAGCCAACATTCACTGGGCAGTACACTAACTTCAACAGTTGGGTACCGTTAGGGAGGAAGAGAAATCTTATTCATTCCTTATGCTCTAGAATTCGTAAAATCTGCTCTGCAGAGACAATCGATAGTGAATTAGATAAGCTTCGATCAAATCTCCTTAATAATGGTTATCCTACAAGGTTTATCGAACGTAACATCAAGAAAGAACACGCCCCCAGACAAATTACAGTGCCGAAGAAAAAACTGTTTATGAGTCTGGCATTCAAAGGTGACACCATTTCAGAATTGATTAAAAATCGTTTATCTAAATGTATTAAACGTACTTTTCCTGCAGCTGATTTACAACTTGTTTTTACCAGCCGAAATATGATTAGACAATGCGTCAAGGATAGATTACCGCTTTTGTCCACTTCCATGTGTATTTACTCTTTTACCTGCTCTTGTGGAGCGGTTTATATTGGACGTTGTAAGCGTAATCTCCGAAAACGTGTAGCTGAACACTATCCAGTCTGGTTAATGAAAGGCGAACGTAGAACCGCGAAGTCGTCTATCTGTGATCACCTGTTAGAGTCAGGTCATTTAGCCCCACGTGATTCATCTTTCAAAGTTATCTACATGGCAAAACCGAATCGATCCAAAAGTTTACGTTTTCTTCACTTATGCATAGCCGAAGCTTTAGCTATACATGAACAGAAACCTAAATTATGTGTTCAAAAACGTTTTGTCAAACCCCTTTCTTTACCTTGGTCATAGTAATGTTCTTTCTAGTTTTTACTTTATTTTATTTTACCACTTGAATTCTTTCCACTTCACTTCACATCTTCATTCTTATCGTAATCGTACTTTTATTTTATAAAATTTTTTAGACAACACTTGACCTTTTTAAAACATTTTTCAATTCACTTATAAAACAATCTTTAATAATTTTGTAATTTATCCACTTCAACTCTACCCCTTATAACATTTTAATAATCGTTATTCTTATCACATATACGTATATTGACTGAGCAATTATTTAGTGCCACTTAATGACCTTTTCTGTAATATAAATACGACTGTACAGCTTGAAAATGAAGTCGTTGAAAAGAAATTTCTTCGCTGAACAAAAACTGTGTTTTTACTTATGAATAAATGGGTATTTTTCGTGATCTAAATTATAAATGAATGACTGGCTATTTCAAAAACCGCTCCGAACACACCGGGATCATAAATTGAGCATTCCACGGACTTTTGTAGCAGACAGACTATTGAAATTCACTCTCATCTAAGAGTGCGTCGGTGGCATAGCGGTTAGGACGCTCGCCGACCATGCACATGGTCCGGGCGCGATCCCCGGGCACAGACGCACTCCTTTACCTCGCTAAGCTAGAAATAATGCTGGTGAAAAGGAAAGGTTGGGCATGAGGCTAGCAACCTCATCCTGTAAAATAAACACTGCTACAGAAACTTCAAGCCACTAGCTTGAAGCCCTATGTTCCACTGGGGAACGTGAAGGAAAAAAAATAACAGTGTTTAGTTCTCAAGAATCATTTTGAAGGGATTTGATGTTTATTTAACGTTTGAGTACGAGCCAATACTTTTTAGACAACCATTGAAAACTAGATGTCTGTTTCGTCCGTACTCGGAACTCTTCATCACTCATCACCCCACTACCAAGGAAATAACCTAGGACTTTCATTCTACAGGGCGAGCCACTGTGCGTCGGTGGCACAGTGGTTAGGACTCTCGCCGACCATGCACATGGTCCGGGGTTCGATCCCCTGCCGGCGCACACCCAATATCTATGGTCGGCCTGAATTTGGGCTACCGATATCCATGCTGAAAATTCCACACTTGTACTGAAAATACTGTGTGGAATCAAACTGTAAATCAAAATAAAAAAAATAAATAAATTTAGCGGCCTACAGATTGCAGCTGCTAACAATTCGCGATTTTAGGGTGACATTTGGACTAGCCAATGTCATCGGCTAGTATTTGACCTAGTGGACTCCACTGGTTACTACTTCTTCTCAGTAGAACACCAGGCAACTGCGCCCTGTAGTCAGTCACTAGCGAGTATTAAATCACTTAAGAATTCTAGTAATTTTTAAGAATATTCAAAATACCAAAAGAGCATCGGATCACGTGAGTGGTAGGCAATCATCCTACCACACCAAGGACAACCAAACGAATATCTGTAATTCAAAAGAGATTGAAGACCAAGTGTAAATTGCAGTGGTTGCAGTGCTTGTTATGTTCACTTCCGATCACCCTGATCATAGAATCTCCAACTTAGGTTAGGTAATTTAAAGGAAGAAGAACTACTGAACAGTATTCGTTTTGTAACTATATTCTAATAGCGATATGAAAAAATTCGTCCATTTAGACTATTGTGAATACAAAAGGTACGGGGGAAGAAAATTACACTTTCATACAAAAATCATTCGGATTTAATCATTTCATCACAATTCCACTGATTTCAAAGAAGAAGAAAATACACAACAGCACAAAATGACAACCGGGAAGTTTTGCTGAGTGCTACTCATCATATGAAGCAAAAATACATAAAGAAGGAAGGAAAACATTTCATGGGGGGGTTGGACATAGATAAATACTATTGATTAGAGAATAGACTATTCACATAGTTTGATAATTTTGAGTATAATGGTGTATCTTCATCACTGGTGGTGGTTGATGACGATTTTCTTTCATTGGCAATCATTAGTGCTACATTACGTCCACCGATGATAGCCATTTCCATACAGGATGCAGCTAATTCAATAGCATTAGGATAATAAACACCTGGAGCTAATTTGAACTCGCCTAGATCAGTGTATGGATCAGTCTAGATTTGAAAATATTTAGGGAAAAAACAAAAAAGTAAACACAAATTATAATCTCATATAAATAAATAAATACAATTCAAGAAACAAATTATCCTAGCTAAACATGTACATTCTTAGTAGAATGCACTGACGCATAACTGACATGCTAGTGACCTAGAGAATCATTTGCTACCAAGGCCAAATAGAGTTGACTTACAGTATGCGATTGGTATAGTCCTTCTAAGTGAAGGCACTGAATACAATCCAAATTCAAGTATTGGTTTGTAAGGATTTTGTTTGATTGGTTGAAAGATTTTATCATGAGCTGACATCAGTTAGAGAACCATCGGAAAACCAACCAGGGAGTACTGGACAGCTGTTTCGTCCACGTTTTGGACTCTTCACGGTACGCACCCACCACCACGGTCCGAACCCAGGACCTCCCAGTTACAAGGCGATCTCATACACCATTAAGAGACTGGGACTCCATCCAATGGCCAGCCCATGAAATCTAACTAGCCAATGTCATGGGTGGCGAGTATTTGTCCTCACACCCGACCTGTTGTAGTACCCTACTGGTCACGACTTCCCACTAGAACCGTAAATTCTTCTGAACACCTTGAGTAGATATCTTTGAATGTTTGGCATGCAATTTACTTCTGTCCAGTGTAAGATTCTAAAACTTCACCGAACACACAGATTATCTGTCTCACTGCCAATTACGTCTGGATCTGATTCTTTCAAACTGAATTGCCTTTTACCGGATATCAGCTTGCCAATTATTATTATTATTATTGTTCCCTTGGGTTCCTAATGGAACATAGGGCTTTAACTGCACCTCTCCACTTGTTTCTGTCTTCTGCTGTACTTTTCACTTGCATCCATGTTACTCCATACTGTTTCAGCTCCTCTTCACATGATCTCCTCCATGTCAGCCTTGGACGTCCCACTCACCGCTTCCCTTTCGGGTTTCACTCAAGGACCTGACGCGCGATTTCACCCAGCGGCCTCCTCAGCGAGTGTCAAATCCTTCTCCACTTTCTCCTGCATATTTGTTGGGTGATTGGTTCTTGTTTTGTTTGTTCCCATAGTTTCTCGTTCGTTCATGTTCTTTCTGGCCATCTGATCTTCAGTATAGAGCGAAGACAGTTGTTGATAAAGGTCTGCAATCTGTTGGAAATATTCTTGGTGACCCGCCAAGTTTCCTTCACACAGATGCTTGTAGCTTAGGGGGCACTGAGACAGAAACTAACTCAAGCACTACATACCTTGGAATAGCTCTATCCTCTGACTTTTCTTGGTCATCCCATATCCTGTCAATTTCTAAGAAAATATTCCGTTTAACCTACTACACTGAGAAGTTAAGATGATCTGGAACCCCCAAAACTCCTACTTTTACAGTTTGTTAACTCTTCTATCTTACCCCTATTGTATTTTACTGCTCCGCCTAAGTCTTTCCCGGGCTACTCAAATAGGACGGCGTCATATTGCAAAGGGTATTAAAGTAGGCCTTGTTAGTAGGCCAAGTAGTATGCCACTAAGTCAGCCTGTTGCCACTTGTACTCGATAGACACATCAACTCTTGTGTTAAATGGTCCAAATCCATATTGTCTGACTTTCAACATCTTCTCAAGTAGGACATAAAATTCATCATAAAAGAAAATATACTCATACAACCAAGTACAGAAATTCAGTGACACTGTATTTGGCCTGCGTCCTTTGTGTTACAGATAATGTTGAGCTTGAAACTTGCGACTTACGTTATTAGGAAATTAAATGAATCCTTTATTCTGTCGTATTTGTAAATTATATAGCGACAGCCTATTTCAACTAACTTAAATCTTAGCTATTAACTTTCTTAACATAATTTTACACTTTTTGTGCATTTTTGACTCTGTTGTCACTGATTAGTTGGAGGATTTATTCATGAGCTGACACCAGTGAGGGAACCATTGGAAAACCAACTAAGGAGTAATGGACAGATGTTTCGTACAAGTTTGGAACTCGTCATCAGTACGCACTCTCTGCCACGGTTCGAACCCAGGACCTTCTGGTTGAAAGGCCAGCTCGTAGACCATTAAGCCACTACCAGGACCCGATCCAATCGCCAGGCCATGAATTGTAACTTCTGCCAATTCACGACGTAACGCGACCATTTCGCGATGTCTTCTTCGATGAGTTACTGCCTCATTTTCAACCTGCTGTAGCCTATTGGTCACGGCTTCCCACTAGAACCTCAGGTCACTGCCTGAATAGGGTCAGTCACTAGTGAGCATCAGATTAATTTTCAAGCTCATGATGAAATTCTCCATCCAATCAAACAAAATCCCTAGAAAACCAATACTTGAAAACAAAATCTGTTTTCTGAACATTTTGTGCTGTGTAAGCCACAGCTCCTTCTTCAGCAGCAAAATTATTCGTATTTTATTCACCAACAAAATATATAATCAAACATTACATAAATTGAAGTGAGTCAATTTGATGGTCACTTGTCAGCAGACATTTGTACCAATAGAAAAATGTAAACGGTCATCATATATATTTGTAACGACTAATATGAAATTGTCATATATCTGTCTGTTTTCGACATAGAACTTTGCATATATGTGCGGCAGATCAAGTCGCCACACTTCATGTAGCACACAAAGCAAGAGAAGGAAGTAGGAGAAATGCATAATAAAGACAGTAAACAGAGGTGTGAGACATAATTGATTGGAAATGGTTATCCGAAAAAGCTACTAAATAATATTATCAAAGTAAAAAGGGGAAGAAGGGAAAACAGAAAATTGAAAAATCTTGGCCCTCTAATTCTCTAGACAAAGCTTTGGTGAATGTCAAAGATACGATTCCCGAAATGTCACAAGCCAATTGTGTCTATAGGATAAAGTGTTCAGAATGTGAAGCTTGTTATATAGGGGAAAGCAGTAGACAGATGACGGTCAGAGTGAATGTACATAGACTATGCTTGCTAGACTGACTGTGATGTTTGGCATGCGATTCGCCCCTGTAAAATCTAAGATGATGTTGCAGGATTCGACTACACCGACCCCTAGATTAGAAACAGGAAGTGAAGTGGTAGAGCACGTTGACTGCTTCACTTACTTGGGAAGTACTATCAGCCCCAACGGGTTGATCTCATACGAAATCTCAGCACGAATACAGGGGGCTAGTGTCGCATATGCCAGTTTACGCCATCTCTGGCGTAGTAGACGTGATATCCGGCTATCGACCAAAAAGCGTGCGTACTGCTCAGCAGTCCGCTCCGTCTTCCTTTATGGCTGTGAAACTTGGCCATTGAGAGCAGAAGACATGAAAAGATTAGCTGTCTTCGATCATAGGTGTCTGCGTTCTATCTCCCGCGTGAAGTGGTATAATAATGTGAGCAATATTGAGGTTAGGCGTCGAGTGCTAGGTAAGGCGGGGAAATCAATCGACGAAACTGTGAAATTACATCGACTGAGATGGTTAGGACATGTGCTACGTATGCCTAGTCATCGCCTTCCTCGACGGACAATGTTAGCTGATATAGGGTCAGGCTGGAAAAGAGCTAGCGGCGGTCAAACGAAAACATGGCACCAGTCAATGAAATCTACAACAGTTAGTCTAAGCCACGTAGGGAGATGTAGACTTCCTGACTAGTTGGGGTCCTCGGGACGGTAAAAACCAATGGTTGGTAACAATTGGTGACATGGCTCAAAATCCTTCTGAATGCTGGCGCAGATGAACCCACTCCTTGTGACTTATGATTTCCAATTAAACTGTTTTGTTCTTCGTTATTACTATTCCTTTGTCTCACACCTCTGTTTACTGTCCACATTATGCATTTCTTCTCTTGCTTTGCGTGCTACATGGAGTGTGGCGACTTGAACTGCCGCACATATGTGCAAAGTTCTATGTCGAAAACAGAAAGACAGACATAGTCTATGCACAAAACGTCCACCTAGAAATGAAGTGGAAGAAAGATCAGCCATAGCAATGAATGCTATAGACAGTGGAAATAAGATGGATTTCGACAATATCGAAATTTCAGGAAGAGACTTTCATTCATCACATGAAGAAAGGCTGACCTCTCAAACCTTGCATATTTTAATCACATTGAATGCAGTAAATAGGAGAAAAGACACGGACTTATCACCTATATGGCAAACTCTAATGATGAAAGACAGATGAGAAAACAACAAAAACCTCTGTGAGCTTGCTAAAAAAAATATTATAAGGTTTATCACATGTGGATTGAGGTCCATTCCATATGACAAATAACATATACTCACACGCACACATACTCATACAGAAAAATATGCACATATAACAAACAGTTTGACACTAATCATTACAAATATATGATGACTGTGTACATTTTTCTATTGGTACAAATTTACCGAGTTCCATACAGTATCATAAATACTGTTTTGGAATAAAGCAAATTATTATCATTGTTATTTAGGTGATGGTGCGGGACTGAACCACACCGACGCCTAACTTAAAGATAAGCAGGAGTGAAATGGCAGAGCGTGTCAACCACCTCACGTATTTGGGAAGTTGCATCAGCCCTAAACTCAACTTCATCGACTTTGAAAAGGCCTTCGACAGCGTCGATCGAGAGGTGCTTTGGCAACTACTTCGCTACTACGGGGTGCCACCGACAATTATACATCTCATCCAACAGCTGTACGACAATGCTGCATACCGAGTTATCCACAACGGGAAACTTATGGAATCCTTCGAATTGAGGACAGGAGTAAGACAAGCTGGCTGCCTACTATCGCCAATGTTTTCCTGATTGCAGTGCACTGGATAATGCGACAAACAGTGAGCGATGAGGAAACAGGCACAAAATGGACTCGCACAAAAAACTTGGAGGATCTTGACTTCGCCGATGATATATGTCTGATTTCCCACAAACTGGAAGATATGTAAGCAAAAAGCAACAAGTTGGCAGAAGAAGCATCCGGAGAAGATAGGACTTCAGGTGAACACAGAGAAAGCAGATTCCTGGACAAGAACAACAACAACAGACAACGATCAGCATAAATGGAAGGAACCTGAAAGAAACAACCTCCTTCACCTACTCACCTACCTGGCAAGCATCGTCTCAACTACAGGCGGAACTGACGAGGATATCAAAGCAAGACAAGCTCTCACTACTCTGAAGTCTGTGTGGACGTCAACAGCACTCAGCATCAAAAATAAAATCCGGATTTTCAACTCCAATGTGAAGTCAGTGGTACTCACTATACGGATCAGAGACTTGGCGCGTCATAAAGAGCACATCAAACAAACTACAGACCTTCATTAACAGTTGTCTTCGCTCAATACTTCGCTCAAGATCAGATGGCCAGCCAGAAAAGATCAGCAACAGGGATATCTGGGAGCGAACCAACCCAGCAGGAACCGACTGTGAAACAAATATGCAGGAAGAAATGGAGATGGATTAGCCATACTCTGAGTAAACCATCAAGTAACATCACTAGACAAGCCCTCGAATGGGACCCGAAAGGGAAGCGGCGAGTTGGTCGTCAGTGCAAGGGTGACTTGGAGGAGGTCATGTGAAGAGGAGGTGAAAACGTGTGGGCAGACTTGGAGCCAGGTAAAGACTCTAGCAGAGAACCGAACGCAATGGAGACGCACGGCTGAAGTCCTATGATCCTTCAGGAATTAAAGGAAACAATAATAATAATTAGCCCTAAATGGACTGGTCGCTGACAAAATCTCAACATGAGACGTTTTCCAACTGACGCCATTTCTGGCGTAGACGTAGTATCCGACTGCCGATCAAAGAACGCGTGTACTCAGTACTAGTTCGCTCTGTCCTCCTGTATGAATTGGGAGACGTGGCTATCGAAAGTCGAAGATATGATAAGGCTAGCTGTCTTTGATCACAGATGTCTGAATTCTGTCTCCTATGTTAAGTGGTATGATATGGTGAGCAAGATCAAGTTACGCATAGAGTGTTAAGTAAGGAGGGCCAGCCTGTGAAACTGCATCAATTGCCATAGCCCAGGGGACACGAGTTATATATGTGCATGCTTAGCCATCTCCATCGCCTTCATTGACGGGCAATACGTGAGCAGACATCACATTATAAATATATAACCACTTACCACAGGACGATAAGTTGGATACGCTAACCATCGGATAACATTAATTCGATTGTGTTCATCGTTAGGATTTTCTAAGAGCAATTTTGATAGTGCAGTTTTTGCATCCGGTAAATCTTTTGGTTCAGAATATATACTCCAAATACCATCAATAGCCTGTGTGGTATCTTTAGACTTTACTGCTAAATGCATTATACTTCGGATAGGATGTTTTTCATGTGAATAATAATTTGCCACAGGAAGAAATGATACATTTTGATTATCTCCCAAAGCTTCTGAAAAATAATTCAAAAATATAGAGGCATAAAGTTAATAGGATGTGATGACAGAAAGGAAAATTTGTTACATTGTGTGTGTGTGTGTCATACAGGGTTTTCACAGTCTATGATACAAATAAAAAAAATGTGCATAAACCCATTTTTTAGGCAATCTAGACAGCCTTCCAAACTTTGTACAGTATAACAACAGGTTTCATGTCCTCATTCCTTTTTTGCTTTCATCATACATAGGAAGACATATCTGTTGAATGGCTCCCCGAAGGCTTCCACCAGCTCAAATAATTTCGCCTCTCTGATGCCAGTGAAAAATAAGTTTATTTTCCATGTTTTAATACTTTCTTTGTGCACTGAACTTTCTGTAGCGGTTTGATTGATAGCTCCACTCTTGACCACCCCTCCTCTTTTCCCGGGCTTCGAACCGGCTAAAAACAAGTGAGGTAGTCAAAAATAGGTGAGGCTGAAAACCTAGGTGTACTGGAAAGCTGTTTCTTCCTAGTTTGAAACTCTCATTGGCAGTAATCCCCCACCCGCCAGGGTCCAAATCCAGGACCTTCCCAGTTACAAGGCAAGCTTGTGAACCATTTAGTCACTGGGACAAGTTACACCTTTATCACTCTGACAGTTTCGAAATCTTCTTCAGTGAGCATTAAGAACAAGATTTGCATTTTTGACACAAATTTTAGGCCAGTGAGTTCTTCTACATGGCTGAGGAGCTTAGCACTTTATGTAAAGCATTTCCATCAGGTTGCAGACCTTTATCAGCAGCTGCCTTCGTTAGCTCTATATTGAGGCCAGGAAGAAGGAGCAACGAGAAACTCTGGAGACGAACCAATGAAGAAAGTATTGCCAACAAATATTCCAAAGAAAATGGAGATGGATTGGAAACACACGCTGAGGACACCGTAGAATGATATGGCGCGCCAGGCATAACCTCGAATGGAACGCGAATGGGGCATCCAAGGGCAACATGGAGGAGACCGTGCGAAGCTGAAGTGGATGATCATTGGAGGCTTTGGGCCTAAGGCAGCGTTATATAAAGAATTAAAGAAATTTCAAATTCATGGGTTACGGAATTCCAGACCAAGTGACTGAATATATTCAACAACCTTGGTCTTATAACCTTACGGTCCAGTCCCAGGTTTCATCACAGAAGGTGTCTATTCCCCTCCTCCTGGTTTTCAGTGACCTCTAGCTGATGTTTTTTTCGTGATGAAATATGCATTGAAATATATATAGGAAGTACAAAACCCGATATCGGTTTAGGAGTAGTAATCATGAACAAAACAGACGACTGCTTCGAGAAGATGAATACCATCCTTAATCAACATTAAGAATTCTCCCTATAACACTGAAAAAAAACTGACAAACACTTAGTTGAATCGGTGGATGGTGACTAGCAATGGAACCAAGGACAAAGCGCGTTTCATCCTATTTTGAACTCGTCAGCCAGTGGATGTACCCGTATTCCCCAGTGTTCCCACTGTGGCACGAAACCAGTGTCCAAAGTTTCCAACGCCAGAGCGTTATCTAATACACCAAATGGCCTAAGAGAGCCACCTCTCGTGCAACGGGTCTTATCAATTATTTAATTCAGTTTTAAGATTTTCCCGTCGATTGATTGGACCGAAGTGCACAAGACGTGGTGGCTCTCGTCGCTCAAGTGGTCTAGTGAATAACGCTTTGTCGTTTGAAACTATGGGCACTGGGTTCGAGCCTCGGTGGCAACACCATCACTCACTAGGGAATTCAGGTTCATCCAACTGACGAGTAGGCCCAAATAGGACGAAATGTGCGTTATCCTGGATTCCACTGCTAGTCACCATCGACCATTTCACTTCAAGTTACATGACCAGACATCGTCAAAGCATCTGCACACAAGGAACCGACATGTCAACCTGAGACCGAGCACTTCGGTCCAATCAATCGACGGGAAGAATCTAAATTGAATTAATAATAATAATAATAATGATTTACTTTATTCCAAAAACAATACTTGTGATACAGAATGGAATTTTCAGCATTGATCACAATATTGCATCTAATTTCCTCAAATTATAAATAAAATTAATCACACAGAAAATTTTTCTACATTTACAATAGGGTTAATATAAAAAAAATAAAAAACATAAAAAACATGCAGCATATAAAATGGAAATAATAATAATGATAGCAGCTAAGGTAATGATAATAATACAAGTGGAAATTGCCGTGGGCTTGTTTCACACAGTATTGTCGATGCGGTATACAAATCCTTGCATGATTAAAATATTGAATATGATGTTCTCTTTACAAGATATGGTGAGGGAAAAAAAAGATTACAGCAGTCATAGAGATAAGTTAGTGTTTGCAGTTATGAAAGTGAAAACAAAGAATCAACAGGACGATAAATATAATAGAAACAGTAAAAGTAAAACTTGAAGGTATATAAAGATGGATGGAGGAGATTGTTTATTTACTAGATGAAAAAAGGTTAGTCAATTCTTGCCTGACACTATTTTCATCACATAAACTACGTGCCAAGTATGGTATCATAGAATTTTTTTACTTAGATGTGCGAGCATACAATTTTCTGAAGTTACTTCTTGTTCTACCTGAGGAGATGCAAGGTGAAAGCTGAGGGTGAAGTGGATGCTCCAAGTCAGACAAAATCCCTTTAGCAAATTTACTGCACGAAGTCAAATGCCTATCGACAACGACGTTAACTATGTAGTCCACTGGTACACCACTCATCCTACTGACAGTCTTCAGCATTCTACGAATTGTGACAAAGTCCTTTTTAAGCAAACCAGGAAAGAATAAGGGTGAACAATAAAGAAGAACAGGTAGGATGCAAGAGTTTATGAACTGTAAGTTGAAACACTGAAACGTTTGAAGCAACAAAACTGTACCTCAAAAGGTTTGCATGGATTACTCACACCTTCTTGCCTTCTATGACAAGTGTACGTGTGTGATCAGAATGTCCGAAATGTGTTGCCAAATACATTACACGTTTCAGATAAAGTACGTCTTCTTATTGTGCTGTTGAAATTCATAAAGGGAACTAACTGCTTTAAATTTTTGAAGCATAGAATATCGCTGATAAATTTAATGATATAGCTCCTGTAATCAATTTTACCATCGGGAAGGTAAGAGATGATAGTATTTTATTCCTAGACGACGTCCTTATGATTAGAAAACAGAGGACAGCACAGTATGAAGGAGGAGGGTAATATAAAGAAAACTTACATGGACTGGTTATGAGTTTACCCATCTTGTGGGGATTCGTACCTTTGAAATTTAAGTGCAGTTTAATAGAGTGTGTTCGGTCTACAGAGCTAGAGCAATATACCTTAATGAATGTCTTAACGAAAAACTCAATATTATTAGACAATCACTGAGTGAAAATGTTTATCCAGGGAGTGGGTTTACGCCAAGAGAAGTTAATGCGTCATTAGTTTCGAAGAAGAAGACCTTGTTCTTAGAACTGCAACAACGTTCAGAGAATGTAGTAAAAACAGCATTCAATGAAACAGTAGAAGTTCATTGTAACTCCATTATGGACAAAATTTTATTTGGAGGAAATCACACAGTTAGTTGGAGGATTTCATCATGAGATGACATCAGTTAGAGAACTATTGGAAAACTAGCTGGGAGAACTCGACAGCTGTGTACAATTAGTTTTGGACTCTCCAGAAGAACGCACCTACCGTCACGGTTCGAACCCAGAACCTTCCAGTGACAAGGCGAGCTCGAAGACCAGTAAGCCATTGGGACCGATCCAATGGCTAACCCATCAATTCTAACCTTTGTCAATTCATGACATAGCGTGAACACTTAGTAATGTCTTCTTCTTCGATTAGTTACTGCCTCACCATCAAGCCCTGTAGGCTAAAGAACCCAATTAAACAAAATAATATAATTTACAAAATACCTTGCAATGACTGTGACTGAGGTCAACTACATAGGTCAAACTAGTAGATCAGGAGTAGTGAGATTATCAGAACATAAGAATTTAGCTAAGGTTAGAATGATTGACCCCACGAAGATAAGTAATTTAGAAAAAAACTCAGCAATAGCACTGCATGCATTAACACACAACCACACAATAGAGTGGTGGGAGAGGGTTAAAATTCTAAAAAATAATACAGGTAGATGGAGAGAGAGAGATTGATTGCTCAATCCTGGTTCATCGAGTCTACACCCAACACATGCAATGGAAGTGACTCAACGCAAAAATACCAGAGACATGGAAGATATTATTACCAGTTAAAGATAAACTACACAAACTCGCCTCCTGCATGTGTATCTATCAGTTTGACTGCTCAAGTGTGAAGCAAATTACATTGGGCGCAAAATTATGCATGCATATTCCTCATGGGATTTCTGAACATCATCTAGCATGGTTAAGCAAAGGGACTGACAAGATATCCAATCGCAGCTCTGTTTAGCTTATTTTGAAGACAGTGAACACAAAGTCGATGTGTTAAAAAGGGCTTTTAAAGTTATCTGCCGTATTCTGACTAATCTTAATATCACTTTATAAGTTCATGTTATTTAGATGCATAGCTGAAGCCGTCAGAATCTGCCTTAAGAAGCCCAAATTATGTGTTCAAAAGAAACTCCTTCAGAGGCTTTCACGCAACCTAAGCTATCACTACTTACTAGATTACAGTAATCTCACCATTTCCTCTTCCCTCTAAGCCTTTCAAAAGCTACCACTATAGAACCAAGTGAAGAGGTTATCCATCTTCTCTGCTGCATTCTAAATTCCCAAAATGGGAATTCTGTAATAGGAAACAGGGATTTGATTACAACTGGGATTCGTAGGCTATGTGATGCATACAAAAAGTTAGTAAACCCATTAAAGTGTATAGAGAAAAAAGCCCAGACAATCAATATGAAAATTCAACGTATCATTGTAGTATGTATGTGTGTATGTATGTAAAGCGTAACTTACTTTTAGGCAAACCAAACAGTGAATAATTGATGCAACCAGTTAGAAGTGTTCGATTCATTTCATGATATTTTATCTGAGGCAACTTTATATCATCAGATGTAACCAGTTTAGATTCTTGATGCAGTGGCATTGATAAAATTACATAGTCGAATGAAGATTCTTCAGTCTGCTTTGTGTCCGCTAACTCATAGGACAAGCATAGTCTGGAAAATTAAAAAAAAAGAAATAAATATAACAAAGAAGTATTCTCACATGAAACGATCAGAGTAGGGTCCACCTATCTATCTGGGTGTGAGAACAGATATTCAGTCATGACATTGTACTGCGCAACAGTCCTTTCCCTACTCCGTTATAGCTGTGAGACATAATCATTGAAAGTAGGAAACATGGGGAGGCTGTATTCTACCTCCCATTTCAGGAAATATAATAATGTGAATAATATTGAGGTTATGTGTCGAGTGTAACGTAAGCAGGGAAGCACACTCGATGAGGTTGTGAATCTACGCCGATAGAGATGGCTACAAAATGTTTTACACACGTCTAGACATCTCACCCTCCTCAACGGGGAAGTTAGCTGACATAGGATTAGGTCTTTGACAGCTATTTTGTGCCACATAAGGAGGTGTAAGCTCTCTGGTTGTGGTCCTCGGAACAATTGCTGATATGGCTCAAAATCGTTCTAATGACACAGATGCATTCCGCTCTTTGTGATCTGCAATATCCATTAAACACTAGTGTTCTTCTATGGTAATATGCTTTCTCCTTCACACTTCCACTTACTAACGTTCTTCCGAACATCTTATTTGTCTCTTTCGTCCTCTTTTGTGTGCTACATGGAGTGAGACGACTCAAAGTGGTGCACTTCTGTGCAGAGTTCTACGTTGAAACCAATCACTGAGTCAACGATACTGGCTGGTGGAGGGTGCGCTAGGTATCGTGAATTGACACAAGTTAGAACTCATGGGATGACCATTAGATTTCTTCTCAAGTGGCCGAATGGTCAGTAAGCTTGACCTCGTGAACTGAAGATATTGGGTTCGGTCACCACTGTTGGGGTCATAGGTACGTCATGTTGAAGAGTCCAGAACAAGGACGAAACAGTACCGCCCATTTGGTCATCAGTGATTTTGTATTTGTGACCAAAAATAGAAATTCTTTAACCTCTAGTAAATTATTTTGAATCAAATGGAGGTGAATGTGAAAAGTTCAACTAACAACGGACTAAGGTCAATCAACTATTGCTAAATTCTGTTCAGACATAGTGAATGAAACTTCTCATACAGCAAGGGAACAGAAACTCTGAGCTCTCAACGTAGAAGTATGAAATAAATACAGCAATTATTCCATTTCTATTGGCCACATCTCACAGTGATAAAGATGTGTGCAGCGAACTGCTGTGCAATAGACAAGTTCTATGACTGCGAAATATAATCAATATCGGAACACCAAACACCTCAGACCGATCATAAGTTTAAAGAAAGAGTATATAAACGATACCAGACCGAGGGCTGCTACCTTGACGTAATGGTCGGGTATGCATATCAATCACAGCGGACCAATGAGGTACATTGGCTGGAACTTATCTTCTTGCAGATCCTACCATACCAGAAAGCTTGTGTGGATAGCAGTTAGACTAAGAGCGGTTACCGTCATCGTTTAAGCTGTTTACACCAAGTTGACGAGGTTTGAGGGCACAGTCATACCTGCTTGGAAGTAGGGATGTAACAGTAGTAAGCAAGTGAACTAACGAATACACACTGAAATGGCCAGAAGTGGTATCTTATCCTTAACGCATGAGTAACTTAACTGTCTGCAGGAAAATGTGATTCTCAAGGTGGTGTGCTTGACATATCTTCTTCAGACATAGTAGAAAGGCACTTGCTAAGAATTCCTGCTTCAATGTCACTCCTACAGTTTATAGCTAGATGAAAAAAGTTTTCATGGGAACAGTTGTAGATTACGGCGACGGAGTTTTTTCTTTCATTTTTGTAGGCGGATATCCGTTTTTCAGTATAATGTTACATAGAGATTTTAATTCCGTCTCTAAGTGTATCTTCTGAACAAACTTTTCAAATCCTTAAGCATAAGGTAAGTACTCAGTTTTGCTTTCGGACCAGTGAGATAAAACTGCTAGGGTAGTTAGTTAGAGAAGCCCAACTATAAAAAGAGCTAATAGTTCCCGGGTTCAAATGTTGCTGCATTTACTTAAGCTTGGGTAACACGCTGGGTGTAATGCCAACAGACCTCACATAATAAGTATTGTAGATTTGGATACTACGATTGTTGTCACGTTTCTCTTTAGTATTTTAGTAGTTAATCTCTTATACAGTTTACTTAATATTTTTGTATCTACGCAAACTATTATTATTGTTTCCTTTGATTCCTAGAGGAACATAGGGCTTCAGCCGTGCGTCTCCATTGCGTTCGGTTCTCTGCTAGAGTCTTTACCTGGCTCCAAGTCTGCCCACACGTTTTCATCTCCTCTTCACATGACCTCTTCCAAGTCACCCTTGCACTGACGACCAACACGCCGCTTCCCTTTCGAGTTCCACTCGAGTAATGGCTTGTCTAGTGATGTCACTTGATGGTTTCCTCAGAGTATGACCAGCCAATCCATCTCCATTTCTTCCTGCCTATTTGTTTCACAATCGGTTCCTGGTTGGTTCGCTCCCAGAGATCCATGTTGCTGATCTTTTCTGGCCATCTGATCTTGAGCGAAGTATTGAGCGAAGACAACTGTAAGTGAAGGTCTGTAGTTTGTTTGAGGTGCTCTTAATGACGCGCCAAGTCTCTGATCCGTGGAGTAAGTAGCACTGACTTCACATTGGAGTTGAAAATCCGGATCTTATTTTTGATGCTGAGTGTTGTTGACCTCCACACAGACTTGAGAGTAGTGAAAGCTTGTCTTGCTTTGATATCCTCGTCAGTTCCGCCTGTAGTTGAAACGATGCGCATAAAAGACGGTTAAATAATTTCAAAATTGACATACCATTTCCCTTTATGACTTAGAACAGAGAAAGGAAAACAGGTTGTGCAGAATAAGATAGTACCACATCGTTTATTTCATCGGCTCCTCATCAACTCTGTACAGCCTAAAGAAGTGAATTAGGTGTATGGATAGGACAATTCTAATACACACATGCAAGTTTTACATAACAGGAAATTTCAAACTTCTTAATAGACAGTACTCAGAAAATACACTTATATAACCACCTATTATACACAAAAGACTCAAGTTAGAACAACAGATACATTAGGTGGATGAGATGATGATGAGCAACTAATAAGTTGAGTAACAACAATACGAGTGAGCTGAGTTTAAATAACAGAAACTAGAGATTCAAGTACTGGTTTGCAAGGATTTCATTGGTTTCAGAATTTCATCACGAGCTGATATCGGTTCGGAAAACCATTGAATAGCCTGGGAGTACTGGACGGCTGTTTCGTTCTAATTTAGAACTCTTAATTAGTACGCACCCACCGTCATGACTAGTGGGGTAAAGGAGGTCGAGTGTGAGAACAAATACTCGCCACGGATGACATTGGCTAGTGGATAGTCGCGCTATATCATGAATTGGCGGGAGTTGGAATTCATGGACTGGTCATTGGATAATGTCCCAGTAGCTTATTGGTCTATGAGCTCGCCTTGTAACTGGAAGGACATGGGTTCGAAAATCAGTGGGTGAGTACTAACGAAGAGTCTCAAACCGGGACGAAACAGATGTCCAGTTCTCCCAGACTATTCAATGGTTTTCTAATCGATATCAGCTCATGATGAGATTCTGAAACCAATGAAATCCTTGCAAACCAGTACTTGAATCTCTAGTTTCTGTTTATTTAAACTCAGCTCACTCGTATTGTTGTTACTCAACTTATTAGTTGCTCATCATCATCTCATCCACCTAATGGATCTGTTGTTCTAACTTGAGTCTTTTGTGTATAATAGGTGGTTATATAAGTGTATTTTCTGAGTACTGTCTATTAAGTTTGATATTTCCTGTTATCTGACACTTCCAAGTGTGTTGAAATTGTTCCCTACAAACCAATACTTGAATAACAATGAGATGCTCACTGGCGACTAGCCCTATTCAGGTAGGTAGTTACTTGGGGTTCCAGTGGGAAGTCGTGACCAGTAGGGTGCAGCAGGTCGGGTGTAAGGACAAATACTCGCCAAAGACATTGGCTTGCGGTTGCGCTATATCGTGAATTGGCAGAAGTTAGAATTCATGGGCCATTTGATCGGGTATACGAGCTCGCCTTGTAACCAGAAGGTCCTGGGTTCGACCCCTGGTGGGTGTGTACTGCTGAAGAGTCCCAAACTAGGATGGAACAACTGTCCAGTACTCCCTGGTTGGTTCTCCAATGGTTCTCTAACCTACGTCAGCTCATGATGAAATCCTGTAACCAAACAACCAAATCCCTACAAACCAATACTTGAATAAACTTAATAATTTGTTAACTCTATAAGTAGCTGATGAGAAGCCTTATTCAAATTATTCATAACGAGGGAGAATAAATAAATCGTCATTTTCATGACTATAATATCAAAAAGCACTAATAGGTAAATATTACCGACACACTAAAAGACACACGCATACACACACACACACACTGTAAAAGAGTCATAGTCATCAAGTAGAATAGATTATACTAATTACCGATTGTTATTCACTCTTGTGATCTTTTTGACAGTAGCGTGTACAAACTCTTTTGGTGCATCAGTTGGATTATCTGCTAAGGCAGTTTCAACTAATTTTTGTGGAATTTGTTCAACTCCTCCATCAATAGTGAACAGATCAGATACTGTACACGCTGAAGATATCAAACCTTAAAATGTATAATGTTGAAAGAAAGAAAATCAAAATCAAAACATCAAATTATTAGACAGAGAATAGAATAAATGGCCAAGTTGAACTTTAAGCAACACTTGAACTACCAATGGAGTGCTTTCACACACTATTGACCTTGAATAGTTCAAACGAGATTTATTCACGTGAGTTGAAGCATCTGTTCCACTTGATTTGACTTAAGTCAAATGACTGCTCTAAGGCAGTTACGTTTACCAATTTGGTGAGAACCAATTCTTTCAGTATTGCTTAGATTATATGTGGGATTGATTAGGAAAGAAGGAATTTGTTCATATGATAGTGTGATGACCATAGAATGCTTTGCCAATTGTCGGTTGATGGATATGTGCATCGTTGTGTAATTTGTTTGAGACGAGGAGTTAGTGTCAGGGAAGGTAAGCTGAAGATTCTAATATTTCATAGGAACATATGATACCTCTTCACAGAAAGGATTCGTCGAGAGGATTAGCAGATAGAAAGTCAAGTACTTTAATACCTATTATTGTTCAACTGGTAAAACAAGGATCTATAATACACAAAGATGAGTCATCCCTTGGATATTTCCACCACAGAGTGAACCACACCAATGATTTTGTGGATCCACCACCCACCAATTCTATCGAAGGCTTTTGGGGAAGGCTACAGAATAGGATTAGAGCCATTAATGCATTTCAAAAGGATGTCATTTATAGTCATTTAGAAGACTATATATGTATAGGATGTGGTGTAACTTTTCAATTGATACTCCTATGCTAAACTGGGAGATGTTTTATCACATGTGAAAGGTGTCCTGTGTAACACTTTTATACAGGTTTATGCATCTTTATCATAAATATGTGTATTCGATACACAAAGATGTCTCCTTCATGTGATTGGTGCGTTCAAGGTCATTCGCTGATTGGTAGTCAGTGGTGCTTAAAGTTTAACTTTGGCGAATAAATAATTACAAAATATTTGCCGCATATCAACTGATAAAATAAACCATATACAGATAGATACAGATAATACTGACAGAAGGTGGCATGCCTAAACCATAGGTTTCCGCGTTCTGGTGGCTGGTTGGTTAACCAGTTCACTTAGTAACTTGAAAGTAAGTCCTGTGTTCGATCTCCAGCAAGGGTCATTGATATATTGGACAACACCTTGTGGAGCATCAATCTTTGAACGTTCGGCATGCGATCTCCTCTCGTCAGATGTAAGATGATGCTATAGGACTGGACTACACCGGCAGGAGTGAAGTGGTGTTGACGTGGCATGTTGACCTCTCCAATTATTTGAGAAGTTGCAGCAGCCTCGATGAACTCATTGCTGCCGAAACCTTAGGACGGATAAAAAGGGTTCATGCGAAGTTTATCAACTTACATTATCTCTGACGTGGGCGTGATACCTGGTTATCGAGCAAAGGGTATATATATATATATATCCTACGCAGTAGTTCGTCCCGTCCTCCTTAGTGGACTGTGAGACTTCACCACTGAAGGTGGCAGACATGAAAAGGTGAAAGGGTTAGCTGTCCTTGATCATAGGTGATTGCGTTCTGTCTGCTGTGTGAATTAGTTTAATATGATAACATTGGGGTTAGACATAGAGGGTTGGGTGGTTAGTAGGGTAAAAGTCAGCCGACAGGGTTGTGCAGGTGAATCGCGATTGAGATGACTAGGACATGTGCTGCGCATGCCTCTCACCACTTTACGTGAGTACGGTAGGGTAATACGATACTGAGAATTGTGAGCAAAATACACTTATTAAATCACGCTGACATCAAATCTATCTACCTGCTATTCTATGTTTTATGCCGATTAACATATCTCTACATAAACATACTACTGATAAACGTTGTCAGTAGCACGCACCACAGCGCTACTAAAAATTATTGCACACTAACTCTTACTTAGGCATCTAGAAGGCAGACTGAATAACACAAATATCTCCTTACATATTCTAGTTCTGCGTGGGGTGAGAATAATAATAATCACACATTAAGTACATTAAGACAACACATACAGTTTGCAATCTTCTCTTCACTCACTGAGAAATGCAGGCACATCCAGCTGACAAGTCCCAAATAGGACGAAATGCGCATCCTGGATTCCACTGCTAGTCACCATCCACCAAATAATACTAATTAAATGCCAAGACGTCGTCGAAGCATCTGCTTAAGAAGCCAACATGTCAACCTGAGACCGAGCACTTCGGTCCAATCAATCGACGGGAAAAATCTAAAATTCAATTAAATCTTCTCTTCTGGTGTGTTCCATTTCAAGAATGCTGGCAGTTAACGTCAAAAATCAAACTTATAGATATATAATCACATATTTGAATGAATTACAGTGCGTCGGTGGCAAAGCGGTTAGGACGCTCGCCGACCATGCACATGGTCCAGGGTTCTATCCCCGACCACAGACGCACTCCTTTACCTCGCTAAGTCAGTAACAGAACTGGCAAAGAAGGAAGGTTGGGCACGAGGCTAGTAACCTCATCCTGTAAAAATAAATCCTGCTACAGAAACTTCAAGTGTCTAGCTTGAAGCCCTATGTTCCACTGGGAACGTGAAGGAATAAAAAAAAAAACAGCAAACCAGACTCACCAACAAATGCGTGAGTATCTAAATTCTGACAGTAATTGTTTGAAAGTATGCCAAATGCGAATTCATTGATATATTTCTCTCCAACTCCCAATTTTTTACGCAACCAATCACCATAGGTGTACTTTGTCATTTCTACAAATTCTTCAGATAATGCCTTTAAAAGTAACGCTGGAGTAGTGTAACAATTACCACTATTTTGTAAGCGATATATCCTATAAAATATGTAATTAATGTAAAAACAAAAAAAAAAATAATAATCACCAACAAGTATTAGAAAATAAAAAAAATTCAATTCTGATGCTCATTAGTGACTGGTTTCAAGGCAAAGTTGTCTGGAGTTGTCTAGTGAGGGGGAATAAGGGACCAGTATGTGAAGTCAGCCAGTACTTCTCTAAACGGGTCAGAAACTTGCACTGCGCGTCACGAAATGCATCTCCGACAAGTTACAGAGATTTTTGGTCAACAGATGCCCACTTCTCTGGCTGGCTCCATACTGAAGATCAGATGGCCACTGAGAAAGTATTAACAAAACAAAACGGAGATATAATGTTGAAGCCCTCTCTTCCACTCGGGACTCAAGTGACTTACCATCTTCAAATGACATTAATTTTGTCAAATATGCTGACGACTTAACTGTATCTTTGCCTGTCAAATGTCAAAGCGACTGCTCTAAACTAAATGGCTTTCTATCAGAAATCAGACAATGGTTCAAGGAAAACGGTCTTACCTTAAACCCCTCCAAATGCCAAACAGTCAATTTCACCCTTAGGCATAAATCTGACCTAAACAAACTGGTTAGCACTCACGAGGTGTGCAACATAGATGGCACTGAAATAGAAACTAAGTTGGAAATTAAATACCTAGGCGTCATTATATCTGCTGATCTCTCCTGGTCGTCTCATATCTTGGCGATTTCTAAGAAAATATTCTGTCTTACCTTCACCATCAAGAAGTTAAGACATTCTGATATAACCCAACCCTTACTCCTACAATTCGTTAACTCTCGCATTCTGCCTATTATTCTATATTGTTCCCCCTTAGTTTTGCCCAGGCTATTGAAGAAAGACTATAACATATTAAGCAGAATGTTGAAGGTTGTCAGTAGGGTAAGCAACATGCCACTTAACCAGCTTGTTAATATTCTGGTTGACAGGCACATGGACTCATGTGAAAAATGGGTCAAATCCATTTTATCTGACTCACACCACCCTCTTCACTCACAACTCTCCCCTTCCATCTCATCAGGTAAAACCAGAAGCCTATATAGAAAACTATATGCTCGCACCAGCAAGTACAAAATCTCAACCATACCCTACTTAGCCCGTGTTCTGTGCGATAAAGAAAGCATTTGGCGTGACACCTATAATTCATTAAATAGTCAGTAGAACAACTGGACCTCGTCTTTCCAACTCATGTCATTTATAGGTACAGCATTTCTTTCTTTCTTTTCCTTTTCTCTCTCTTTTTCTTTTTTTCAGTTACGTGCTACTTTGTTTCTTTCTTCCGCTTTCGCCAGTATATATGATAGTACCTACTTTTCTAACACCTTCAAATACTGTTCTACTTTGGCTTTGCTACTGACATGCCAATATGTTGTTGTTATAATGAACTGAGATTTCCTTATTCTATGTAGAATTCTATTTATTGATAATGTACTAAGTGGATGCAATACTGTAGTAAAAATGCTCAGAATTCCATTCTGTATCACAAATACTCTTTTGGAATAAAGCAAATTATTATTATTATTATATGACAATAATGATCCGCCATGTTGCATGTTGGGACAAATCCTCGCCGATAACATTGATTGGCAGCCACGCTATATGTATCGCAAACTAAAAGAAGTCAGAACTCATGGACTGTTCACTGGATTCTGGTTCAAGTGGTTGAATGGTCGTCAACAAGCCCGGTCTAATAGCCTGAAGGTCTTGAATTCGATCCCTAGCAGTGAGGTTGTGCGTACACATTACTAATGAAGAGTTCAAAACTGGGACAAAAAAGCTGTCCATTACTGCCTGCTCGTTTCCAGTGATTCTCTAACCACCAACATCAATCCCTGATCAAAACAGGCAACAAATCAAATCCCTATAAACTAACCCTTGGGAATTTCAATAAGACATTTACGAGTACAAAAAGCGAATCAAATGGTACTTTTGATGAAATTCAGAAAACATCACACATAATGGTCGCTAGGTTATCATCAATAATAATAATAATAATAATAATAATAATAATAATGGCTTTATTCCAAACAGTATTTGTGGTACAGGTATGGAATTTTCAGCGTACATCATAATATTGCATCTAATTATCTCATAAATTTTATAAGGATTTAAAATAAAAAGCAACAACAACAAAAAGAAAAAAAGAGAAATAAAAGAAATAAAAAAGAACAGCATTGCATTCACATATTTAAACAATGCACCACAGGATATGATATATAAAATTAGTGTGTAATAGAATATATGAGCAACAATATAATAGTAACAAAAAAAGGAGAACAAAAGCTAATGGGAACTATTTGTTAGAGTGCCGCAGTAAGATGATCGTGTCATGCCTAACAGTTTTCTCATCACATAACAGCTGTGCCAGATAAGGTATTGTGGAGTTTTTATACTTGGTAGTCCTGGCATATAGCTTCCTATAGTTGCTTCTAGTTCTACCAGATGAAATGCAAGGAGAGAGCTGCGTATAGAGAGGGTGTTCGGGGTCTGACAATATAGAATTCGCTAGTTTCTTACATGACATTATATGTCTATCCACAATAGTGTTAACCAGTTGATTTAACGAAATCCCACTTCCCCTACTAACAGCTTTTAGTGCCCTACGCAGCGAAGCAAAGTCTTTCTTAAGTAGTCCAGGGAAGATTAATGGGGAGCACCCGATACTAATGACACCACCCGATACTAAATAATAATCGAAAGCTCTCAATCAAGTGTGCGTTTCGATTACTAGACGAGGCGAAACATAGAAGTTCTCGCTGTCCATAATTGATGGTGCTACAGTATGTTAGTTAATATCCATACACCAAAGATATTCCTGCTTACGGTAGACAGGATCATGCGGCAAACAATCGGAAGTGAGAAGACCGACAAAAAAGACCTTACAGGATTTCATCATGAGCTGACATTAGTTAGAGAACCATTGGAAAACCTGGGAGTACTGTACGGTTGTTTCGTCCTAGTTTGGGACTCTTCATCAGTGGGTGCGTACTGATGAAGAGACTCAAACTAGGACGAAACAGCTGTCCAGTACTCCCAGGTTTTCCAATGGTTCTCTAACTAATGTCAGCTCATGATGAAATCCTGTAAACAATCAAATTCCTACAAACCAACACTTGAATAAAAAAGACCTTAGAAGATCTGGATTTAGCAAATGATTGATACATATATAATGTCTCACCAATTCGAAGATTCATACATTAAAACCAACAAGTTAGCGCAACACAACAGGCAGACAGCGATGACAGGACTTCTTCAGAAGAAGAAAGCACAGAAATGATGGAAGATACGCAGTCCCCACCATAAAACAGCAAACACCAGTCATCATTTGTCAGATAAATCTAAAGGAATTCGTCACCCCGTCAACACCTCGACAGTATCAATTCAACTACGGATAGCACGAATGAGGGTGTCAAAGATGTAGCCCGATCAGAGAAGCAAGACAGGCGTATACTCCTTCGAAATCAATCAGTTTGGAAATATACATTACTCAGGATGATGAACAAGACCCCAATTTTCAACCATTGATTCTCTACATGGTTCACAGATTTGGTGCACACATCACTGAAAGCATGTCTAACACACTACTGCAGACTTCCAACCATTGACACGATACTGTAGACCAGATGGCTGAACATAAAGAATAAGACCGTTGAATGGAAACTAAGTGAGAAGAGACAAATTGGGTGTCCTAGGGTGATAAGGAGATCATGTAAACAGGAAGTAAAAGCTTTTTACCAGTTGTCGAGTCAGCAGACAACACAATCCAGTGTGTTGCTAAAGCAACAACTCGAAAGGTAAGGACCGAATAAGTAAAGTAATAAAGATAACTATGATTGTTCGTTGCAGTCCACTTTAGCTGGCTCCACTATCTCCCATAAGTTATCGTCTCCCCCTCCCCTACACGGTCACTTTACGACTCCAAACACGTTGTTTCTCATCCGAGTATCCCTGAAGCTATGGCCTGACGCATTATTTCACTAAATGGTATCCTCCCCGTGTGTTTGATCTATGTCTGTTTTGTTCGAAATATTTGTTAGCAAATAGGTTACTGGTTGTCAGACTACCTTCTGCTCATTCTTTCTGACTGGCCATCTGACCTGATAGAAGTTTGAAGCCTGCTCAAACTATTTCTGGTAATGCGCAAAGTTCTGAACCGTATCAAAGCGCTGATACGACTTGAAACTGGTGTTGGAAATCTGAATTTTGTCCTTCATGCTTAATGCAGATGATTTCCACACTGAAGTCAGATTAATGAAGGCCTGTTTCGCCTTTCCAATCATCACTGGGCTTGATATCCCCATCACTGCCACCCGTCTGTACTTGGAACGATGTTAGCGAAATGACTTCCTGGAAACTTATTCCGTCAACAGTGATTGGTGCTTCTTAATGTTGTGTGTTCACCTGAAGTCTTATCTTTGCTGCCTGCTTATCGCTCAGCGATTGCCCAATCAATCCACATTTTCCCATGCATACATATTTCTTAGGCAATAAATGGACAATTGGTTCGTTCTCGGAGATCTTTGTAACTCATGCGTTTTGGTCATCTGAGTTTTAGTACGGAGCGAAGCCGGCTGTTGATAAAAGTTCACAGCCTGTTGGAAATGCTTTCCGTGATGCGCCGAGTTGCTGATATATACAGAAGAAATGACTTACATTGGTGTTGAATATCTTAATTTTCTTCGCTATGCTGAATGCAGCAGATTTCCACACTGATTTCTGAGTGATGGTGGTCTGTCTCGCCTTTCCAATTACGACGAGTTTTGACATCTTCATCATCATCATCATCATCATCATCATCATCCGTGTAGTCACCTTGAATTGAAATGATGCTGTCTACATTAATGAAGAGAGTGGTCGCATTCAAATTTATCCCGTTGATAGTGATTGATACTTGTTGTTCTTCGTTGGTTATCTCCATCCCCTTCGTCTTCGCTAGAATTCCTGCCTCTTCTGTCAACTTATCGGTTTTTACCTATAAGTCTTCGACTTTGCATGGCATTAGACATAAATCATCCAGGAATTCTACAACTGCTAGAGTCTTCCGCCAACGTATTCCTATCTTCTTGCCTCCCCCTCCCCCAAATTCTGCCACACAATCCAAACCACCACAGTTAGGAGTGTCATTGGAGATAGTAGGCTGATAGCCTTGTCTTACTCATGTCTTGACTTCAAACACTTCACTGAGTTTTCCGTTGTGAATCACTTGACATGTGGCGTCTTTATATATCTGTTCAAAGAAGTCCTTTTAGAGAATTGAGGCACTCCTCAGTGTTGATGTATATTCCAAATTACTTCTCGGTCAACGCTGTCTACTGAAGTTCTTTGCAAAGTCGATGAAGCTGTTGAGGTAGAGGTTTGACTGCCATTCTATGCTATTTTTGATGATGATGATGATGCGTAGAGTTGCAATTTGATCAACACATAATTCGCCTTTCCTGAATTCAGTCTGTTCCGGTGGGTGGCGGAGTTCTGCATCCAGTATATCAATTATTCTCTCCACGATGACGCGACTTGGTATTTTACTTGGCGTGGACAAGATTGGCATTATCCCACGCCAGCTTTGCAGAGGTCCTTTCTTTGGTATCTTGACAAGGTAGGTGCGTCGGTGGCATAGCGGTTAGGACGCTCGCCGACCATGCACATGGTCCGGGGTTCTATTCCCGGCCGGCGCACTCCTTTTATACCGGCCGATAACTGCTACCTTGCCGTGGTGGTCGGGCTTGAATGCCGCAGTGACCCAACAAGCTAAACTGGCTGGGACTCATGTCCCTGCAGGTCCTACCATGCCAGGAAGGTTGTTTGGATAGCGGTTAGACTAAAAGCAGTTACCATGGGGTACATGGGCTCCAGAATCCAATCGGATCAAATGGCGTACGAACCCATATGGGTCACCGGCAACCATGGGAACGCAGCACCTGACGCTGCTCCGCTGCCTTGCGGGTTAGACTCCAAGTCAAAGGCTCGGGGGGTGGTCCCTTAAGAAAACCACCTGCTTCGGTCTGGGCACCCGGGCAGTATCTCAGCCCTCACACAATGAATGAAATAAAGCAACAAAATATCAGTGGAACTTATCGCGCGCTCGTAACAATGCGTTCAAGCAATAATGATGTCTCAAGTAACACATCTCTTTCCAACCTTACTTTTATTTTTATACTTAGTTTCCTGTATTTTACCTTTGCTCACCTTGACTTCTTAACCTTCGACAGCCTTTCGCCTTTGTCTGGATTCCTAGCCTATCTGTGTCGTGTTGCAATTTCCTTCTTTCTTCCCTTCCTGATGATAGTTAACGAATACTGTTTGAACTTGTTAAACATGACTGTTTTCCTTCCTGATGAAGTTCTTTATCCGTTTTCTACTTATATTTTTACTTTTAATCTATGTTGTTTTATTATTATTGTGTGGCGCATCTTTCTTGGTGCCATATTGTACCAAGTTTTTCTGCGTTTAAATAAATAAATAATAAATAAATATGACAAGGTAGCCTTTCTTGCAATCATTAGGCACCTTTTCTTCCTTTCAAACTTTTTGCAATAATGGCATGAGAACATCTGCGACAGTTTCTGGGACCGTTTCAAGTGCTTCGGTATGGGGGAATTCCGTCTGTTTCTTATCAATCATATACACACTAATACTTTCTCTCACTAACCTGGAGAATATGGCAACTTTAGACGCCGTATATAGTCTTCCGTTGAGTATACTTGTCCCGTAACGCCAAAATAAACGGAATGGTGTGAGAAAAGGAAATCTGTCATTGATATTAGAAAATACTGATTTATATTGTTCATCATAGAGAAAAAAACGCTGATCAGTATCACCAAGACGACTGATAGGTATTTCTGCAAAACAAAAGAAAAAGTTTAAAAAAAGATAACGATTTTAATTTATTTTTATGACAGAACTCCAATGCTTTCCATGTGCTTTACTTGCTTATAAGGTGGTGTGGACTTTGGCATTATGATGAAAGATATTTTTTGCGAGAGCTGAGATACTGCCTGGACGCCCAGAATGAGGCAGACGGTTGTCTTAAGAAGCATCTACCCCCATTCCTCAAGGTCTTTGACTTGAAGTCTGGACCACAAGGCAGTGGAGCAGAGTCAGAAGCTGCTTTCCCATGACTATTGGTGACCGAACCAGGTTCGTACGCCATTCGATGCGTTCGGATTTTGGAGCCCGTGCACACTGTAGGTTTGGAATCAGAGTTTAAATTCGCCCTTTCACTTTTGTGAGAAAACACCCCTAGCACGTGAAAGCAGTGAATAGAGCATACCTGGCACAGGCTATGAACGCGTCATATTATGGGAGTATTTCGAGACAGGCAGACTGAAGTCTACCCATCCTTACCCTGAACACAAGTCATTTAAGCGACATGGAACAGTATTACTGATAAATAACTTCAAAATCGTAAGACATGGTTTCTATAATCCTAATAACTTTTCTTTATCCAATTAAGGAACAGTAGGACTTTTCAAATATCTAACACTGGCCTTGTTTTTCTCATTTTCATTCCTTTACGTCCTAAGTGGAAAGTAGGGCTTCACAAACTTAAGCTCTGATGTTTCAGTAGCGGTGGCGTTGTTGCCACCGTTGCCTAACGCTCAACCTTCCCTCTTCCACCGACTAAGCGAGGTTTAGAAGTGACTCAGCCAGGATGTGCATGATCAACTGTTCAGGCCGCTGTAGAGCTTTAGGAATAATTGCCTACCCTAGATACTGAGGATCTGATGGCCGGTAGGTCATAAAGGATGAACAACAAGAAACTCCAGCAGTATAGTAAACCAGTGAAGACGCCTATTGCCCACAAAACATGCAGAAGAGGGTGCCAATAGACTAGACATACGTTGAGAAGATCGTTGGTCACTTCTTTCAGTTACCACCTCGGTAAAATAATGCCAACTACAGGCAGATAGCAGAGATGGGCATGTCACGACCCAGGGAGGATCAAAGAAGCAAGATAGACCTACATCACTCTGAACAGGCTTCCTACTATTGCCAACATCAATCTTCACCCCATACTCAAGCTCAGATGGCCAGAAAGGATTAGCAACAAGGCGCACTGGGATTGAATTAATCAAGAACACATTGCTTCACAAATATTCCTAAAAAAATGAAGACGGATAGGACCAACACTAAGGAAACCATCGAGTGACATCACCTGCCAGACCCTCGAATAGATCCAGAGTAGGAAACGACGAGTTGGATATCACTCCAAGGGTAACATGGAGGAAATCGTGTGAGGAAGAAATGAACGCCTATGAACAATTGTGGAGATAGTTAAAGAGGACTAAAAAGAACAGGACAAAATGGAGATGAAGATGGAGATGTTGAAGCCCTCGGAGCTCCATTCGGAACCGAAAAATAATTAAACTGCATGCAAGTATAACAAACTTACTGAATTTTTTAGCAAATGATATCATGTAATGATTGCTAGAATGAATAACACTTGCTCCAGATTCACATACATCCCCACAAAAAGGTACTGCTTTCATTCGACCACCAATACGTCCAGATTGTTCAAAAAGTGTAATAGAAACCTTATTGCCAAATAGCTGTCGTAAATAATATGCTGAGCTTGCACCACCGACACCTCCACCAACAACCGCTGAACAGATAAAGGTAATAAAGCTGTGAAGAGATACAATTCATCGCATCAAATATGGGTTTAAAAAAAACAAAATCCATTAGGGATTAAAGCAATGTGGTAGGTGCTACAGTCTACAATCGGCTTGTTTTTATCCTAATAACATAATATCACGTTGTATGCTTTACTTCATCTGTTCTTTTAGCTTAGATAAAAGAAGATAAGGATTCAGCAGGCATAGAGCAAGCATCACACAACGCAACGTATTAAAATTTACAACCCGATATATAAATTTTCACTCTCAATTCAAAATTGCATAGCTTTCGTTTAAACTCACAAGACTAGTAAAGAAAAGATTGGGATAACAATCTCTACTCGCACTTCTTTCACAGTAACATGTGAAAAAATATGAAGTGTTACACACTGGTAATCATGTTCCCATAGTCCAGGAGCTGTCAAAAGATGAAGATTTTATCGCCATACCAGCGTTTCAGCTCGAGAATTCTATAAATATTCTAAGCCTACTGTTCTTGAGCCTCTATTGACTATGAAACCTTGGATTTTAGACAACTAATCACATTATTGATCTACGATTATTAAAAAGAGCTGTCTTATTTCCTCTCAAACGAAATAATGAACCACTAACTGAGTTAACATGGCGTCGGTGGCATAGCGGTTAGGACGCTCGCCGACCAGGCACATGGTCCGGGGTTCGATGCCCGGCCGACGCACTCCTTTACCTCGCTAAGCCAGAAATAATGCTGGTGAGGAGGAAAGGTTGGGCATGAGGCTAGATACCCCATCCTGTAAAATAATAACTGCTACAGAAACTTCAAGTCACTAGCTTGAAGCCCTATGTTCCACTGGGGAACGTGAAGGAAGAAAAAAACTGAGTTAACATATGAATCTTCAAAAAAGTGCATAAGTTTAAGCTGATACACTTCAGAAAAGCACACAAAACAGGGAAAATATATGCAATGAGACTGCAGATTCAGATTCAGATTATAAATATAGAAGGCTTTTGTTGCCTATGTTAATCCTGCAATGGACAAAAGTGTACGGAGGAAGGAATAATTAGATGGCAACCAGTAAAGATTTTCAGAATCTGTACAGAAACAAGAAGCACAACTGCAGACGATTTTGAGCTGTCGCCAACAGTCCTCAAACATTGGTAATTAGCATCCCGAGAATGCCAGCCATACAGCCTACACCTCTTTACGTGGCTAAAGCCATCAGTTTGACTACTAGAGTTAATGTCACGTCTTCATCTAGATTTTCTCCCCTTTTGCAAACCACTTCAGCTAAGAAATAAGTTGTGATGCGTGATAAATAGCCTAGCCATCTGAATCGATGCAACTCTATAACCTCACTGACTAATACACCTGACTACGCCCAACTTCATTATTACTGTACTAATCGACAAGAGAATGAATGCAAACACAGACCATGTCCCCAGGAAAATAGAACGAAGTAGACTGCTATACAGCAGACAGGTTATTCGATGGATAGAACGACACTACGCTAGCACGAAAGATGACACTAATTGATAAGTCCCAAATGAGCCTCATGTATTCTTTCCGAGATTTCCGAGATTATCAAATAGTCCATTAGGAGTGATACAACTCCCCAAATGAGCAAACACATCCAACTATTTCAGTACGCAACCATAAACTAGGAACCAGTGCAAGCTAGTTCTGTAGCACCACTAATCAAGGCACTCTACTCAAACTCACGTAGCCATGTAAGGGCTTATGGGGAATTGTCATCTGAAATGATAACAACCAGTGGTGTCCGTCAAGGATGTCCACTTTCCCATTTCCGTTTAACTTCATCATATATATGCTAATGGAAGTATCCTTAACTGAACTTAACGACTTAGAATATGCAGACGACATAGTCCTGTTAGGGGAGGATGCTGACGAAATGCAGAGTCTTCTGAACACCTTGAGCAGCAATCTTCGTATGTTTGGCATGCGATTCGCCCCTGTAAAATGTAAGATGCTGCTACAGGACTGGACTACGTCAACTCCTAGCTTCGTGATAGGGAGTGAAGTGATAGAACATGTTGACCACTTCACCTATTTGGGAAGTTGTATCAGCACCAACGGATTGATTGGTGACGAAATCTCAGCACGGATCCAAAAAGCTCGGGCTGCTTTCGCTAACTTACACCGTCTCTGGCGTAGGCGTGACATCCGGCTATCAACCAAGGGACGTGTGTACTGCTCAGCAGTTCGCTCCGTCCTTCTCTATGGTGGTGAGACGTGGCCACTGAGAGCGGAAGACATGAAAAGGTTGACTGTTTTTGACCACAGATGTTTACGATCTCTTTCTCGCGTTAGGTGGTATAATAAAGTAAGTAATGTTGACGTTAGGCGTAGAGTGTTGGGCAAAGAGGGAAAATCAATCGAAGAGGCTATAAAGTTACATAGATTGAGATGGCTAGGTCACGTGCTGCGCATGCCTAGCCATCGCCTCCCACGACGGGCATTACTAGCTGATATAGGTGCAGGTTGGAAAAGAGTAAGTGGTGGCCAAACAAAAACATGGCATCAATCCATGAAATCCTTGACAGTTAAACTGAGTCAGGTAGGGAGATGCAGACTTCCGGGTTGGAGCCCTCGAGACCCTAAGAATCAATGGCTGGATACAATAGGTGACATGGCTCAAAATCGTTGTCAATGGCTTACGCAGATGTATTCAGTCTCTGTAAACTTTCATATTTCTTTCTACCATTACTCATTCTCTTTCACTCTTAAACTTGTCAAAACTATTGATTCTCTTCACTCATTTTCTTGTCTACCTTTGTGTGCTATTTGGAACGTGGCAACTCGAACTGCTGCACTTCGGTGCCAAGTTCTATGTTGAATCCAGCCAGCCAGCCAGCCAGTAGCACCATCTTGCATGTGACGGCGGAATCGCTCAGAAGACTCTTCATTTTGTCAGCATCTTAATCTAGAAGGATTGTCACCCTCATACTCTAGATCAACGAGATTTCGTTGATATTAAGTCAATCCCTGAGACAAAGAATTCGACTACGGTCACCTCCATGAGTAAGTCTACTATGAAAGCAAAAAAGTCGATAGTGGATAGTCCTGACAGACGCCACTGGTTTTCATCACCTGAAATGAAAACTTTTCACAAGCTCTTTCACCGCCACATAAACTATTATAGTTCCGTCCTTCTCGAAGATCATTTAGCGTACCATAGGTATCTCAGAACCCATTTGCTTAATGAGCCTAAATACTCTATGACTACTGTCAAGTGCTGATGTATTTTCCGGTTGCTCAGCTTGCTTCTTCTACCACTGTTTACTGTCATTGTGCAGGCCCTTAGTTGGATTACATCTAAGCTCTTCTTGCTTCTCATTAACACACCGAAGAAATCCACTGATGTTTAGTAACCTTTATCTGCAGTTCAGCAGCAACCTTCACTGTTTTTTACAGCAAACTGGAAATGATGTCGGGCTTCCTCAAAATGAATATTACTATCACACTCAGACTTGGTGCTTTCGTAGAGAAGCTTACCGAGTAACAGATAGCTGGTTGTTTTCGACTTTCGTTTAGTCACAGGCATATACACCATGTATGTCTGTCTGTTTTCAACATAGAACTTTGCACTGATGTGCAGCAGTTCAAGTCGCCACACTCCATGTAGCATACAAAGCAAGAGAAGAAATGCATAATAGGGACAATAGACAGGGGTATGAGACAAAAGGAATAGTAATAACGAAGAACAATATAGTTTAATTGGAAATTATAAGTCACAAGGAGTGGATGCCTTTGCGCCACTCAGAATGATTTTGAGTTACATCACCGATTGTCTCCAGCTATTGGTTTTTACCGTCCCAAGGAACCCAACCAAGAACTCTACACCTCCCTACTTGGATTAAACTAACTGCTGTGGATTTCATTGACTGATGAAGCCATATTTTGATTTGACCGCCGCTAGCTCTTCTCCAGCCTGATCCTATGTCAGCTACCATTGACCATCGAGGAAGGCAATGACTAGGCATACGTAACACTTGTCCTAACCATCTCAGACATATACATGCGTAGACTTATTCATGATCACAATTCGCACAAGTTCTAAAAGGAGTGGCAACCTACTGCCCCTCTCCATTGATAATTAATAGGTAGGCGATATGCACTGTACTCATCGTCGGCTTGATGTAGGCGATGAGGGAGGGTAATGTATTCCCTTTTACTTGAAACTAATCCAGGAGAAGGAAACATGACTACAAATGTCAGTTTGTCGTCATGGAACACTATAGAACCCCCCCCCCCCCCAAAAAAAAAAATTCAAACCAGTTTAACCTCCCTATCTAACCATTAACATCATCTGCTGACGAGACAATTTGAACGTTGGAGTTCAAGCATTAAACTAGACAGTTTCTGACAAAATTCGTCCATTACTTTCGCCGAACTGGAATAAGATAATGCATAAGTGCAGAATAGGAAAAGGCATCGGACAGTATTATACCTTTGCAGGAATATTAGTTCCAGCCAGTGCAGTTTGTTGAATCATTGCAATATGCAAGCCCGACCACCACGTCAAGGTAGCAACTATCATTCACACAAAAACGAACAGGAAAAGAACTGGGCATATTTCAGTTATAAGTCCTAAGACAAGGGGTATTCAAAAGTACCCTATAAACACCCTAGAAGCGTGAATGCACTAGTGACCTTGGAAGGCGTAATTGCGCTAAAAAGTGAATTTGGTCCCATAACCCTAGACTATCCCCTTACAAAACCTAGTAATTCCCTAATTACGTTAACCTTACCTTAACCTAACCCTAGTTTAAACATAACCTCAATCTTTACCTAACCTAAATCATAACTAACTAGATATCCTTTTTAATATCTCTACACTTCAATTACCACTTTCTCTTCATGAATACGGTGTTATTTACCTGACTTTACTGCCTCGATCTGACTGAGAGTTCTAAGGTTATGCTGAAAATTCCTTGCTGTATCATTATTACTGTTTTTGGAATAAAGCAAAAATTATTATTATTATTATTATTATTGGTGGCTAGATTTTAACGTCACCCTAGACATCATCTTAGGTAGTAACAGAAACTGTCATGAAAGTACTGAATCAAGTCACTCGTAACTTCCCGACTCAGATATCGACCGGCTTTTCTGACTAATTCGTGAACAAAAGGGGCGTTATTTAATTTGGTGGACTCCTGGAAACGTCTACGTGATCCACACAAGTTGGATATAAAACTCAAAAGTTAACTAATCTCGTGGTAGTTGGATGACAACTGCAGAGAAACAATAAAGCAAACTTAATTTACTACTACGGTATTATTAGAATACTTACCGATAAATTACCGACGACAAACTATAGCAGCCTGTGCAAATAATCGTGTCGTGAATTCAGTGTAAGTTTCATGTCATAAGTTTTCAGCTGGCACGTCCAGACCTTCGACTGGGAATAGTTCTGTAACCTTCCCACCCATCTACTGTATGTACAGGATACTTGATGAAAAAAATTTTCCTCACAGCAACTGTCTTTCCTAATTTTTCTCTATTTTCTCTCTGTTTTTAACCACTAGGATTAGGGTTAACGGTTAGATCAGGGTTACAAGTAATGGATAAAGCTAAGTTTAGGATTAGGTAATAGATTAGGGTTAGAATGTTAAGGCAATTCAGAATCGTCCTGCTAAGAAGCCTAAACATTCAAATACAGTCAGTATATATATATTTATATATATATGTATGTATATATATAGTAGTTCTGTATGCTGATTGTCTAATTTTATTTGATGGATGCTATAGTCTACTTCCCCTAAACAATACATCAGAAGAATACAGCATACTTGAAGACAGCTTACATTGATTAGTTGTAAAAGTAGACACCACAATGTGCCAGATCTGACCTCGAGGTCTATGGTCACAGACAAATTATTAAACTTCACTGTCAAACCTAGATCTTTCTCTTGATCCCAATAATAAACTAACTCCCGATTCCAATTCATGACTAAATAGGAACTTCTAGAAGTCAGTAACGCAAGTTATAACATACAAACCACTGAATTCGTTTCCATGCAGACAGTAAGAATACAAAATATGAATCATGAGTCAGAAAATGCTACGACTTATCCATTATAAAGCAAACCAATTGGGATCTGAAACTTACCCACTCTAAATTGATCCTTTTGTTGCATTTTAAAAGCAGTCAAGTAAATATCCAGTTACGTCAATAACAAAATGTGCGCCAAAAATTCAATATTATATTAGTTTATCTTTCTGATGACCTAGACGAATTATGTCTGAACCAATTAGAACAGATCGTGCTTAACCGCTTTTTGATTGGATAATCCATTTTTAAACATATGTCTGAAATTAACAGTCACGTGACCTTAGAAAAACCTATCGTCATAGCACTGTCTGCACAATTTTTTATAAATCTACGATACTCTAGTGTAATACTTAGCATATACACGATATAGAGTTGAACTGATAAATGCCTAAGATTTAGACACTAATAGTATGTTATCGCATATAGAAAAAAAAATCGCATATTAGCTTTTTATTATTGTTAAGTGTTGGTTTGCAGGGATTTGATTGGTTACAGGATTGGTCACGAGCTGACTCATTTAGAGAACCATTGGAAAACCTGATGTTACTGGACAGCTGTTTCGTCCTAGTCATGGACTCTTCATGTTGTGAAACCGTATTATATACTAGATTTAGAGTTAATTTCGTCATTTTACGAATAACATTGACTGAATTAGGTTTGAATTGCAGTATCATTAAGAAGGAATGAATAGTGAGGATGACAAAGAAGTGTCAGCCTGCTATTCCAATGTTATCTCCCCTAAAATCAAGGCAGACCAAGGTACCAACATTTCGTAAAAAGACCTTCTTCTTACAAATGCAGTTCCTCGGGGACAACATCAGCGAGATACTAGCACAGTGCCTTAGAAATGCGGTAGAAAGAGCATTCCCTGGTGCTGAATTACGCTGTGTTTTCAAAACCAGTCCTATTTTGTGTTCGGGAGTAAAAGATAAACTGACTAATTTTGCCTCTTCCATGTGCATCTACCAATTTAACTGCTCCTGTGGAGCCAGTTACATAGGCCGTACAATTAGGCATGTTTCTCGTCAAATTTCCGAATATCACCCTGTGTGGTTAAGTAAAGGACAAACAAAATCTATTCGCAGCACTATTCTATCTCATCTTGTGGATACAGAACACAAGATTGACGTTAACCATGCTTTCAGGGTCATTTACTGCATACCAACAAATATCAACTTCACCTTAAGAGTTCGACTACTAAATATTGCTGAGGTTAGCTGTTGAGATCCACATTAAGAAGCCTTATTTGTGCATCCAAAAGAAGTTAGTTCAAACATTATCCTTACCTTGGCCATCTAGGTTTGAATGATGCTGAATTTTTGTGGAATTTCCCTAATTTTAGTTGATATTCTATTTGCTACTATATCTTTATTATTGTTATTATTATAATTTAAGCATCACTAGTGAACTGCAATTCTATTGATTTTACTTTACGAATCGATATTATTTAAAAAACACTAATATTGTTATTGACTACTAATCTAGAATATTCTAAGTATATAAACATACAGATATCTAATTGTAGAGCCAGAAGAGGAAATTATCGAAAAGGATATTCTCTGATCAACTATTTTGTGTTTAATTATAACTGACAGCAGAAGTCCTAGTTGGGTAATTGGTGTGATGGTGATAAACGAAATGTTATTCACAAATCATACACATGACAGTTACGGATAACCTGTAATGATTTCAGTGAAACAATTGTGTCCGCCAGTTTTTCTCTCATCTCTCTCGTTAGACGATCGGTCCAGTAACCCAGCTACTGTTTCTATTCATAAAGCGATCAATATTTATATTCTATCATCTACCGTTTACCCACTGTTTCCTCACATTAAATTCATTTCATGACAGTGTTACACAGTTGATTCATGCTAAACCTCTGGTTCAACGCAGCCTATCCCCTGGACTTTTATCACAAGCGCCATATCTATTCCAAAGATATTCGCTGTCAACCTTACAACAGACTTCTGAACACTGGTCATACATGACAAATTAGACACTGTCACTACTCACATGCCAGTTTTCTTCCAGTTTGCTTAGAATAGTTGGTTATGTCTCACCGTCCACAAGCTGAAATATTATAAACACAGAACGTTACAAGATAGCCACATCTTCTGTAACCGGTATTAACTGTTATTTCTTGTGGCCAAGGTGTGTATTTCGTAATGTTCAGTCCTTTGAAACATTGGGTGCTGAGTTCGAGTCTTAATGGGAACATATTCACTTACTGAGAATGTATGCAACTCGTGAGTACCTGATAGGCAAGTAGTGTCAAAGAAACATCTACTCTACAGTATTTCAGACGAAGTAAAATGTTGCCTATATATAGAATAATTTTGAAAAAAATGACGACTTTTCCCCATGAGATTTATCTTCTAAAATATTGAAGTTATTCTTTGGCATATAGATCTAACTGCAATGGCCTGTGCTGTCTGGAGACCTTCAGCGACTAATTCAGTACTCGACTAATGATAGAAAAAGACTCTCCAATGCTAGCTAGCTGTGTGGCCTGTTTTCACAAGGTGACCTAATATCGAACAATAAGTGATGGTTTTAATCTTTATTTAACCACAGTGTTAGGTATTTCTGTGAGTGAAAAACTAAGCCTTTAGAGCAATGGCCAATACAACTCGCTCCGCATGAGCACTTGAATTGATAGATACAACAAGAGTTGGCTAGCCCTAGTACTTCGTTTTTCAGTTTCAGAATCAAAACTGGTCGTGTGGAAAATAAAGAATGCAGCTTACTGGCATTAAAGGTTATTTGGATTGATTTTTTCAACACGTTGGTTATTATTTCGCTTGGTTCATCGCCCCTGAATTATTATTATCGTTTAACTGTAGAAGATTATGAAAAGGAAGTTATCTAATAGAATATTCTTTGTTCAATAAACTCAGTCTTTTAATGTATACATATATTTTTTTGTATTCTTCACGTTCCCCAGTGGAACATATGGCTTTAAGCTAATGGCTTGAAGTTTCTATAGCAGTGTTTATTTTACAGGATGGGGTTGCTAGCCTCATGCCCAACCTTTCCTCCTAAGCAGCATTATTTCTGGCTCAGCGAAGTAAAGGAGTGCGTCGGCCGGGGATCGAACCCCGGACCATGTGCATGGTCGGCGAGTGTCCTAAACGCTATACCACCGACGCTTTATGTATATATATGTCAGCTGCATAAAAAGTCTTTATAACAGCAGCGTTCAATCTTTATCTAGTTATCAAGCTGCTATAATGCCCCATATAGAGTTGATTTTGTAAGCCATTCTGGCTTCTCTTGAAAGTCAACCTTTTGCTTTGCAGGCTTTGTAGCGATTTCATCAGTTTATGTGCAGTACCATTTCCAAAGGGAGAAAACAATTAGCTGATGACTTCACTATAGTATGAACACTACTATGAACCTTAGTGATAAGAGTCAGTTAGTGTATGGTTCCTAATCTGCCATTCATGTTTATTGGCACCCAGATGCAAGGCAGGCTTTCCAATTGGAGTAATTTCATCTGTTGTGTGAGAAACGAAGCTAACTCACTGTATAGTGATTGTAAAAATCCTGCTGCTAGGTTAATGCGATCTCGATTAATCCACACAAATTAATCCGATTTCAATTAACACTACATAATCTTAACGTTTTTGTAATTATTCTATAAGTTACTATGGCTTTTTAACCGAAAAACTACCGGACAAACTGATGTAAGAGTTTTTATGTGATTGTGACTGTACAGCTGTAGTAAGTGAATCAAATGTAGAATGAGCAAGTTATTTCTAATTTCCACTGTTAAAGGAGAAGATGTCTGCTTTCCTGGAATCAGTTCTATCAATCGATCTCTGGCTAACTGATAGATTGAACTGGAAATGAACTGAAAAGCCTAGAAATAGTCCTTTCTCTGAGTCACATATTCTCCATTCTCTACACGTCCTGTTGGAGATTTTCTTAGGACTAAGAAGTAGCAAACATCACCTTATCCGGAAGGGAGTTTATACAGAGAATGATATTCACTAAAACTTTTCAATTCCTAAAATGTTGTTTTAAAAGTCCTTCGACGCTGCGATAAATATCCTAACTCAAAGTCTCCGAAGCCCCAAACGAGGAAAACGGTCATCCGGTGTTTAGGTCACTTCTGTCTGGTTAGCTAGTAGGCACTACTGGGATGCCAATTTGAGTCGCATACAACTACTCATATTAGTGAGTTAGTGAGTAGTGTATATTTTTACAAACTGTAAATTACGTGGACTTTGAAAAATAACTACACATGATCTTAGCTCAGAGAGCCGAGAAGCGAGAAGTAAATTATTTACAACTAATTCTCGTTGTCATTCTTAATACCATTTTAAAATCCATACAGATGTATTCACATATATATAAGGCAGTATTGCACAATAGGCTTTTGTTGTTTGGTAAAAAGACGCGATACCTGTTCAAATTGAATTGGATTCTAGACACCCAAAGCAAATCGAGGAGTGGTTTTTATAACAGAGGCGAAGTAATAAAAGAAGGCTGGGATTCGAAAATATTCAAGTGGATTTTCACTTATGATGAATTCGTCAAGCGAAATGTCCACTTGATGTATGTGAAGGCGACAGAAATCATGAAAATAAAACGTGCTAAATAACGTCTACTTATTGGGGATAAACTTTTTATTCAAAACAAGAGGTTTTGGGTATTTAAAAGACTAGTAGAATTAACAGGCTTGTTTTTTTCGAACTGTAAAAGCTTCTGTTATGTACAATTCATGAAGCTGCTTATAATAGCATAGTGATAGGACCAGGTTTAATAAGATATTCATTTGCCGACTGACCAACTGGTTTCAACAGTGAACTTTGTACTGATGCGCAGCAGTTCGAGTCGCCACACTCCATGTAGCACACAAAACAAGAGAAGAAAGTAGAAGAAATGCCAAACAGAAACAGTAGACAGGAATATGAGACAAAAGGAATAATAATAAAGAAGAACAATATAGCTTCATTGGGTATCATTAGTCACAAGAAGTGGATTCATCTGCGCCGGCCACTGAGAACGATTTCCAGCCATATTAACAATTGTCTCTAGTTTTCATTGGCTTTTACCATCCCGAGGACCCCAACTAGGAAGTGTACACCTTCCTACGTGGCTTAGACTAACCGTTATGGATTTCA